GTAATCGTAGGCCATCAGGTTCCAGAAGTCAAGATACTGATCCATCCGAGCCAGATGTTCTTTATAGTAATTGAAAGGGCCTAGAACCTTGATTAACTAGCTTAGTTAAGTTGTTTCAGAGAAATGACACGTACCAGCAGGGGATGCAGCAGTGAGCAAGAAATGATAGCCGTCAGTATTGACTGAGCTGTACGAATCAAGCGCCTGAAAGAGTTAACAGAGTCAGCAAGAGACAAGCGTAAACATACCTCACGAAGACGGCGTAGGGCATCTACAAATTGGCCCGCTTCTTTATCATTGGCAGGGTACTATCTGATATCAGAATCAAATGCCGAAAAACAAGGTGACATACTCACTTCAAAATCTAAATCAATCCCGTCAAAGCCCAAGTTCTTCAGCAATTCGATAGAACTATCAGCAATCTTCTGGCGCCCTACCTCAGTCTCAAAGGCCGTTCTGAGGTTGGAAGAATAGGTCCAGCCTCCAATCGACAGAAGAACCTTAAGATTGCGATTTTTCTTTTTCAGTAGAAAAAGCTGCTTCACACAGCCATAGACATTGTTTCCAGTATCAGCCCAGGAATCAGTGGAGTAATGCTTGTCAGTGTCAGACCAACTATCCGACAGGATTACCTCGCCAGAGGCCTGGGCATTGGCAAACGCGTAGAGAACATGGGTCAGCCGCTCGACGGGGATATCTTGAGGCTGGAAATCACGAGCATAGATGCCCTAGCCATGCTAGTTTAGCTGTTGTGATCCATTGATGGCGTATATAAATGACACATACCCAATTCACAAAGTAGGCCACGGATCGATATCCGTTAAAATCACGAGTAGCAATGTCAGTTGAATTAATCTTTGTCAAGGAGGGATTGTAGGCAGTATTAGTCAGTCGCGCTAGGCCCAACAAAAATGGGAGAACAATGTGCATGATGGGGGATTTTCAAGGATATATCCGATGAAATGGGTCGGTTCAGCAAGCGCCAGAAAGGGAAAGTCTTGTTTTAAATGACTCCGAGGCAGTGAGAAGCCTGATTAGTTGTACTCGAGGTTGAAAAAAATGCCCTGGACAGTGTGGCATACAGCCATTATTTAACACCTCAATATAATTCACAGATGAGACTTTCCAGAGTACATACTTCAAACAAATTCCAGCCATTTGTGTATTGCGAGATTTGAACACAATGAATTCCACCACGATATTTAGAGTAGTCCACATGTGCGTCCTCTGAGCATCATTGGAATGAGGTAGCGTCACTTGAATGCCATCAATCAATTACACGGATCTGTCGCTGCTCCTTTGCACTACCACCCATTATTTCGTCTTCCAGCATGATAACCAGCCCAGCTCTGTCGCCGTTCAAACTGACACCAAATATCGTTTTTAGATAAGGTTGGGTTTTGGTTTATCCTTAATTACAATATAATATAATGGTGTAATTGGGTTTTTGATCTATTTGTTTCTACTAATATGACACGTCACTTATCTGATAATTTGTCCTCACGTTTATTTCTATCTCGCTATAGGAGCTTGAATCTAACCGATGACAGTATGGTAGGGGTTCAGGCGAATTGAGCTATATGCAATATGCCTGGCTTTCGACCTCTTTGAATAAATCATCGTCTTGGCGGGACGCGAAAATTACATCTTGAAAACAGTTCTCCGGTCCGCGGTAATGCCGGACTTGGTGTTGAGGAATATCAGTGGATCAAAGGACCCCCAAGAGCTCATATGACGTATTCTTTCGTCAAACGGTTGCAGCATCGTTTATCTGAGACCGTTAATGCAGATTGCGAAGTACTGGGTATACATGGTTCTCGAGGCGCTCTTTTGAAAGTTACGCTGTCATCACACGGGTATACTGTGCCTGCAAAATGCACCGTACCGGTATTTACGGAACACTTTCGGCATGCAGCTGCTGTATACGCCAGACTTCGTTCAATCCAGGGCATATACATTCCTCTCTACCTCGGAAGCATCGACTTGGCTCATCCGTACAGCTACGATGGTATCGCGTATCTCAGGCACATGATGCTATTGAGTCCGGGTGGGCAGCCTCTCGATCTGGCACTCAGGGCAATGAGTTAAGATTCCTTAATAGCCAAGATGAAAGAGTCGCTCTCACAGATTCACCGCCTTAATGTTGATCACAAGGACCCGGTGCCGTGAAATTGGTGCTACAATCCAGAAAGCAAAAAGGTTGTCTTTTCTGACTTTGAAAGGGCAGAAATCCTTACAGTGCCGACCGCTACCGCCTTCCATGTCGAACAACACACAGAAGCTCTTTTGAACCCTAATCACATGATACGCTAATCCATATTTGATTAAAGTTATATTTCAATGTCTGTTTCAAGCGTGGATGGTATGACTCGGAACAAGTAAATTACCAACTTGGGTATCTATACATTTAGTAGTACAGATCTAAAACATACCAGGTTAACCATTAAACAGGTATCATCTATCGCACGGGACTCTGAGTAAATTAATCGTATCTTTCGTGCATCGTCCGTCCACAGGATAGATATATTCAGGCTTCGGTTATACCAATGATTTCGCCGTAGCCTTCTTTACGTTGACGCTGTGATATTATGATCCTGTTTAAGTCATACAGAAGATAAACTGCAGTGATGTAGCCATTTTTCCGAATTGCATTACAGGCATGCAATTCTTGCAGTCTTATTATTTAAACAATCTAGCGAATTTCTTAATAGCCCGCCGTGCCGTACTTGCATTGAGATGTGCGACCTTCTCATTGTTTGGCAGTGCTGGCTGGGACATCTCCTCTGCCTCTTTCAGCTTCCCTTGATCCCTGTAGAGATTGCCAAGGTTGTTGACTGTGTTTAGAGTGGACGTATGATCTGGGCCGAGGGCCTTCTCATAGCCTGCTAGTGCTCGCTGGTACATCTCCTCTGCCTCTTTCAGCTTCCCTTGATCAGAGTAGAGAATGCCAAGACAGTGGACTGAATCTAGAGTGGATATATGATCTGGGCCGAGGGCCTTCTCCCTACCTGCCAGTGCTCGCTGGTACATCTCCTCTGCCTCTTTCAGCTTCCCTTGATCTCTATAGAGATTGCCAAGGTTGTTGACTGTGAGAAGAGTGGACGTATGATCTGGGCCGAGGGCCTTCTCCCTGCCTACTAGTGCTCGCTGGTACATCTCCTCTGCCTCTTTCAGCTTCCCTTGATCTCTATAGAGATTGCCAAGGTTGTTGACTGAATCTAGAGTGGATGTATGATCTGGGCCGAGGGCCTTCTCATAGCCTGCCAGTGCTCGCTGGTACATCTCCTCTGCCTCTTTCAGCTTCCCTTGATCTCTATAGAGATTGCCAAGGTTGTTGACTGTGAGAAGAGTGGACGTATGATCTGGGCCGAGGGCCTTCTCATAGCCTGCCAGTGCTCGCTGGTACATCTCCTCTGCCTCTTTCAGCTTCCCTTGATCTCTGTAGAGACTGCCAAGGTTGTTGACTGATTTTAGAGTGGATGTATGATCTGGGCCGAGGGCCTTTTCATAGCCTGCCAGTGCTCGCTGGTACATCTCCTCTGCCTCTTTCAGCTTCCCTTGATCAGAGTAGAGAATGCCAAGGTTGTTGACTGTTATTAGAGTGGATGTATGATCTGGGCCTAAGGCCTTTTCGCATCCTGCAAGATCTCGCTGGTACAGCTCCTCTGCCTCTTTCAGCTTCCCTTGATCTCTGTAGAGATTGCCAAGGTTGTTGACTGAATCTAGAGTGGATGTATGATCTGGGCCGAGGGCCTTCTCATAGCCTGCCAGTGCTCGCTGGTACATCTCCTCTGCCTCTTTCAGCTTCCCTTGATCTCTATAGAGATTGCCAAGGTTGTTGACTGTGAGAAGAGTGGACGTATGATCTGGGCCGAGGGCCTTCTCATAGCCTGCCAGTGCTCGCTGGTACATCTCCTCTGCCTCTTTCAGCTTCCCTTGATCTCTGTAGAGACTGCCAAGGTTGTTGACTGATTTTAGAGTGGATGTATGATCTGGGCCGAGGGCCTTTTCATAGCCTGCCAGTGCTCGCTGGTACATCTCCTCTGCCTCTTTCAGCTTCCCTTGATCAGAGTAGAGAATGCCAAGGTTGTTGACTGTTATTAGAGTGGATGTATGATCTGGGCCTAAGGCCTTTTCGCATCCTGCAAGATCTCGCTGGTACAGCTCCTCTGCCTCTTTCAGCTTCCCTTGATCTCTGTAGAGATTGCCAAGGTTGTTGACTGAATCTAGAGTGGATGTATGATCTGGGCCGAGGGCCTTCTCATAGCCTGCCAGTGCTCGCTGGTACATCTCCTCTGCCTCTTTCAGCTTCCCTTGATCTCTATAGAGATTGCCAAGGTTGTTGACTGTGAGAAGAGTGGACGTATGATCTGGGCCGAGGGCCTTCTCATAGCCTGCCAGTGCTCGCTGGTACATCTCCTCTGCCTCTTTCAGCTTCCCTTGATCAGAGTAGAGAATGCCAAGACAGTGGACTGAATTTAGAGTGGATATATGATCTGGGCCGAGGGCCTTCTCCCTGCCTGCCAGTGCTCGCTGGTACATCTCCTCTGCCTCTTTCAGCTTCCCTTGATCTCTATAGAGATTGCCAAGGTTGTTGACTGTGTTTAGAGTGGATGTATGATCTGGGCCGAGGGTCTTTTCATAGCCTGCCAGTGCTCGCTGGTACATCTCCTCTGCCTCTTTCAGCTTCCCTTGATCAGAGTAGAGATTGCCAAGTCCATGAAACCCTCCCAAAATGGAAAGATTGTCGGCAGAGTATTGTCTTTTGCGTACGGCAATCGCGTGTGGAATAAGCCGTCGCTCTAGCCTCGTATAATCGCGTTCACTTGCATTAGGGACCGAGTATCCAACACATACGAGTGCTAGTTCATCAAGCTGGAGGGAATCCACACTTTTATCTGTGCTGGCTATGTGGACGCACCAATCCTGTACCACAGGATGCATCGCATAGCTTCCCTTTTGTTGCTTTGTGTAAACAAGAGAGAATTCTATCAAGGGTCTCACGCAATCTCTAAACCCAAGTTCACTTGAGATGGCTCTTTCGAGCCAATCTGGAACTTCGGAGCTATTAGATGCCTTTTCTAATAACTCGAACCAAATATCACGATTATCGAAGCAGGCAAGTAGCAGTAGAAGGTCTGCTGCCCTTGGGTCACGCCTCTGGATTTCTCGATATGAGATCATCCATGTTTGTAGCATATTGCCTTGCTGGTACTGACGTCCAGGATTCGATTGCCGCTGTAGCTTAGACCAAGCTTCTTGGTAGTACTGCAAGTACTTAGTGATGCTGGTTCCAGTTTCCCGCATAAAAGCCCCGGCGATGACAATGGCCAAAGGTAGTCCATCTAGACGATTGGTAAGAGTAAGGAGATCTATATATATTAGTATTATCTGTAACGTCTTTTTTGGATGTGGTTTAGTACCTGGATTGACATCAAATTTGCTGGTGGTGTTTCTTGCTAATAAACCACTGCTTTGTAGGAGTAATGCAATTGAGTTATGAGAGTCAAGCCTGTGAGCTGGGAAAGACTTCCCTAGCTCACTCAGAGTTTGAAGTCGAGAAGTGACAAGGATAGAGCCATGGTCTGCTTTGGGGAAAAATTCCGCAATATCGTATCCCTTATCAGCAGCGCTATTAAAAGGGGAGTATTGATCGATGTTGTCAAAAATGATCAGCCAGCGCGAGTTGCCCTCCAATGCTAGCCACCGTAGCATATGTCTGGCTCGTTGCTCTACCTCTCCTTCATTAGTCGCCTCGCTATCCCAACTCTGTCCTAGTAGTCGGTTTAAGGCAAAGCTTAACGATTGTAAGAGCGTATCTCGATCCTTGCCACTAAGCCAGAAGATAGCCGTAAAATCATGTTTATGATCTCGCGCGAAGCGAATCGCTAGCTGTGTTTTTCCCATTCCACCTAGCCCGTGGAGAATTCCAACTTTCCGCGATGGTGAATTTGTTGGTTGGAGATACTGCCATAGACTATCTAACTCGTTTTGTCTCCCCATAAATTCCTCAATCACAGGAACTGCGGTAAGGTCTAGGGGGATGTTGAAGCGGTGGACTACACACGGAAAGCTTGATTTAGTCATCAATTCAAATCAGATAAGGAGTGCCACAAATTTAGATCTAGAAACTCATACCAGAGTCTGCTAGAGTATCTCGTGCTGTTGGAGTAGTCTCAATATGGTCGATTGGAACTATTAAAACAAGGTCCTTAGCGTAGGCTGCTGCCACTGCTGCCGCATATTCTTGCCATTCCTTATTTTTATGTGAGTCAGCATAGTCGCAAATGCCCCGGATGACCAAACAAGGAAAGTCATTCATAAGCCCGGCCGCTTCCATTTCCACACAGCACACTCCTAGCTCCTGAGCTAGCTGATCTCTCTGTTTGCCATCTTTCACTACTTGATTTCCAGATGCAATCAGTCCATAGTGAATTACCGGTTCTTCATGATCCCGAGAAGGCCGGAGAGTCAGTTTTGACTTATCACAATCGATGCACGTGGCTGATGCTGTATGGTCATATTCAGTTTGGTATAGAAAGTCGCCCTTGGTCGGTCGTGCAAAATTCGCAGCCGTCCGCGATTTTATTTTGGCTTGGGCGTCGGATATGAATTCAAAGACTCGACTGTCTTCGGTGAAGTGGTGGGCTTGGAGTGTAGCGAGGGCAGTCAGCAGGACCTTAGGTGGCCGGTTCAGCATCCCTGTTCGCTGGAATTGACCACCACTTAACGCTTTGCCAAGATCGTATTGAATCACGCCTCCAGATGTGCCCGCTGGCTGGCTCACCACAATGTCGCCTAGTCGAATATCTGCGTTGCTGCTTGGTACCCCTCCACCGATACCGACCATTAGACCGAACCGGATAGAGTGGAAAGTGGAGAGCAATTGCATCGCTACTGTAGCGGCTGATACGTTTCCATAAGCACCAATTGGTAAACAGGCAATAACGATGTTGTGATCCCCGATATTTCCCAGAATGTACGTATTTTGGTCTGTCGGCGGCCGTGGTAGACTCGGGTGTATGGAGTCTAACATCAGCTTTGCGGCTGCCATCTCCAAGGGTAAAGCGCATATCCATCCGACCGTGTAATCGCCATGGGATAGAGAGGCCCTGGCTGCCATGATGAAAAAAAAAAAAAAAAGAACGTTTCGGTTTGAAGATCGAATAGCCTATGAATTTCTCTGAACATGAGACAAACAGATTCATTATACAGCCTAAGTTTGGGGAATGAAATGCTAGAGTTCAGGAGTGGAGAGCGGGGTCAAAAAGTGAGGCGAAGTCAAAATGCTCTCGCAACCAATCATTTTTGTGTAGTGGAGAGTGGAACTGTTGACAGATTGCCCTTTCAAGAGCTGCCATGTTTGCTCAATTTGCATCGAACTTCCAGTCTAGGCGTCAAATTGTAGACTTGTATCTTCCATACTGGTATTTTAAACTTCTGGTATTGATTACCTTGTTCACTTCAAAACGAATTATTTACGCGCTATTCTTGTTTGGATTAGCGTATCATGTGATTAGGGTTTGAAAGACGATCTCTCTGTTTCTGACATGGAAGGCGAACGCGGTCGCTACTGTACTTTGCGGTCCATTCTGGTATTGATCTCACCAAATCGCAAATGAAAATGGATACCCTGCGATGAGCTTGGTAAATATCTGTGCGAGACAGGGTTTGCGAGTGGAATAAACAAGGCAGTGCAGGAGTTGCGTGGTTGGAAAAAATGACCGAGAGCCCAATCGCAGTCACAGAGTCCAGCCATTATAAATTTGTGATGATTGGATGTTCGTAGGATCTGTAGAAGTTGGAAAGTTAGTCAAGATCGAGTGAAGTTGGTTGAAAGCCCTCACGATGATAGTGGCTGATTGTACTCGATCTTCGGAAACTTTTGGGCGGAGTTCAGAGTTTCTGAACTTGGAAGAATCTGACCAGAGATGGTTTGGATCATTTTGAACACCTTTGGAATGGCACCGTAGATAAATCGCAGTAGACGACTCAACATTATTGAGATGGTACGTAGCATAATAAAGTCTATTTGTAGAAGAAGGTAGGAAAAGAGGGGATATGCAAGTATGAGATGCACAATTCCCAAGTGGTGAACGCTATATTCTAGGGGATAGGTCACAAGGAAGTATGTAGTGCCCATCTATTTGGTCAATAACGCTGACCGCTTGTTCTACGGCTACCGCTGCCGCAGGCAAGTGTCTACCGAGTTCTCTAAGCCTCGTTCCAGCGCCTCCATGTTTTATATACTGACGTTTCGAGCCCTCTGTTTCGTTGTATACAGTACTAGTAAACCATAGGAGAGGAGGGTAGTTCAAGTTCTCCAGACTCGCTCGAGGGTTCGGAATAGAGCGGAGGTGAACCTTTCGAGCGGGTTGGAATAATTTCTTATCAGAGACCTGGGGTACTATTACGATGCAACTTTCAAATGGCATACTTTACGTAGAAAGCTCCTGGGCATTACGCCGACGTCAAGCATACCCCAATCTCCAGGTTAATTATGTCTAGGATACGTGTGGTTTCTGTTAGCGCTGAGGTGTTTTATAGTGGTGAATTTAGCACCTACCAGACGGGTGAGGCTGCTAGCTGCAGCAAGTGCACGGGTTCTGCCTAACCTATGGCTTTGACGACATCAAATGACAGCCTAGAGCGCGGTCTGCATAGGCAATCATATAGGCAGCTATATTATCACTTCACATATAGCATCGTTCTTGGCATCACCTGTAGGGTCCTTTTACCTATCTCCTCCTTCCCCAATCTCCCATTCGGCAAGGAGAGATATAGCAATATGCAGAGGTTCCGTGCGAACTAGACAAACAGTACACAAAGTAAGGCCAGATTATGCAAGTATGTGTTGTCCAAACCCGTGCGGGGTAATACATGGGACTTGTGCTGATTTAAATACCTTGAGGGACTCAATCCAAATCTCGTTCATCTTGGCTATCATAATATCACCAATCAAGCAAAACAACAATGGGTTCTATTTGGATAACAGACATACCTCGCCCGGAGCTGACAGATGTTGAGAAGATCGGGCCATCCATCACGAATGTGGAGCATTTGTGTTCTTATAATTGGATTGAATCTTTCACCCCCACTATTGCTGTTCCCGGCTGCCCGCCTCTTTGGTCTCCACCCCAAACCCCAAGAAAAGTGGCCAAAGACTCTGGGCTCATTTATATTGCTCAAAACGCGTTTCGCCATCCTGAAAGTCCGCTCGAACCACTTTTTCGCTCGCTATACACCGAAAAGCCTGCATACAACATACACCAAGTTGACTTGATAACTGATCGAAATAACGTCCGCAAACTTCTGTCGTTCGTCAATCCAAATCTCTCTAGAAATGGACTGGAGCCTTTTACCATTGAAATCGAGACCACAAGCAATACAGCAATTTTTGGCCGGGCAGAATCCGAAACACATACATTCATCGGGCCACACGACTTCAGAGGTTACGGTCACGAGTTTGAGAAAGGTTTCACAACAACTCAAGTATCCGGCAGCACTGGACATCATCGGATTATCTCCTATAACTTGGGCGATTTGAAATTCATAGTACGCTACGAGACTGACGCTTACGTTGAAGCTTTAAAACTTCAACCTCAAAGTGTGGGTTCAGGACATGAGGATTTTCTGAACATGATGGAAAATCTGTCTCTTTCGCGACCCCAAACTTACTCTCGTCTTGCCACCGAGTCCAAATTAGTGGTTCAGAGAAAAGGAAAACTGGTCCCAATTAATTCAACTCTTGAGATCAAAACACGCGTGTCCCACAAGCCTTTCAACATCCAAGACGTTCTTCCACAGCTATGGGTATCGCAAACACCCAATCTTGTCCGTGCCTACCACAATGGTGGCACATTTGGACTACCGGAAGTCAAAGACGTCACTTGTGAGATTGCTGAATGGGAACGAAACCATGCTACTGACATTGGGAGATTGGTTGTATTGGTCAAGGGCATCATGAGAGTGGTGAGAGAGAATGGTGGGAATGCTGTCGTAAAATATGACGGTCGAAGTGACAGCCTTGCGGTTTTGAAGAGAGAAGGGAGCAGGATGTTACCCGATGATCTTTATTTGAAACTCGGCGACGAAACGGGACCGACTGAAACTGTTGAATCAAATTCTCGGAAAACAACACTCAAGATTGGGGATACTTTCCACAATGTTGACATCTCGTCGATACCATATTTATCAGCCTTTATCAGATTCCAACGTCTTTCCCAGCCGCAAAATGCTGAATTCATTCACGGCGATATTGCTTTGTTTGACGTTGCTCTCAGGGGCTTGGTATCAGGCTATCGGCAATGTTTCCGCTCTTTGCGAGGTGATATCCCTCAGTATCACACTCTCTGTGAGACATATGATTTCCTCGGGGTTGACGTACTTGCCGGACAATCAATTGATAATATTTTTGCTGATTTGAGGGCCTGCAAAACCGATTACCAACTCGAGTATAAGCGTTATCGAGCTGTAATGGGCGATAAATGTCGAGCACGGGACGCGGCATTTCGACTTCTATTCCTGATAATACATGGCGAATTCAGCGATGAAAATAAGGATCCTGCTAAGGTTTACAACGCCGTGTTATTCATTGTCTCGCATCCAGGCACCTTCAAACAGGGCACGAGAATTGCAGTGCGGTCGGTCTTTGAGGAGCGCTTTGTCGTGTCCACGAAGCAACGAAGCCAATTGGATCGTTGGAAAAAGGGAAATACTACAAACTCATCAGGCGACGAGAAAACAACCGAGGATGAATCTGATGAGCCATATCTTTCTGACGAATCTTAGCCAACAAAATTCGTGGGAATGGTTTCTTTATCGGAGGGAATTGTGGTCTGTCGTGGGATGCGAAGCATCGGACGGGCCACGCTTGAAGAGAAGACTAGGCAAGGCCATCTGCTTAACCAAATGACAATACACGCAGTTCCTTGTTTGCTATACAGTAGTAGTAGTAGTATTCATTTACACTGGCCCCTCGACGAAGCGATATGCAGTATACGACAACTATATCTCCCAGTATGTACATTGAGAATGATCCACTTCCTGACATGAGCTTAGAGCCTCGTCACGGCCTATCATGGCCCATTGCCGCTCCCATTGTTAGGCTGCCCTTATGGCGCACGACTCTGAAACCTCTGTGACGGTTGGTTTCCATACTTTATTCTACAGTGATATTCGAAATCAGATTTAACTCAGTTCTCACTCTCTTCATCTCCCGAGGCCCCACCTCAAGCGCACTAGCCCGTATTAGGACATTTTTCCGCTGGTCTGGTCTTTCTTAATGAGTCAGCGTAAATTACAGTGGTCACATAGTCTTAACGCACACAAGGCTTTCGGGTCTAGCAAGCAAATTGTTGAGGATCATCTGTCTGGTGCTACGTTTGAAGATGACTATGGTCTCAAGGCCGGCGATCAGGATGAGGATGAGGATTAAGATGACTGAGTGTTGGAATGATACTATGGATACTCAATGGTGTATCGAGAACTATTTGTCGAATACTAAGTCCGAATACATGGTAGAAACCAGGTAATATACCGGAAACATCATGTGACATTGGGTACCAGGCATACCATACAAAAGTGCATATTACAGTTAGTCATCATGGTCCGCACAGATTGTTGAAATAGCGGGTTTTGTCATTTTAGTTAGAGTTGTCAACATTGGTCATTTATACCATACATTGTTCGTACACCAGCTTTCCGTCAATATTCTATTTTCCCTCATCTCACCAACCTCGCACAGCAATTTCCATGATCTGCATGCTTGACAAGAGCTGTATACTTAGGCCCTCTTCCGGCTGCACTTACCAATTATGTATGCATATCCCTGGATGTTACAGTAAGCCCGGGGCAAGAGGGTGTAACCATGTTTACCTCGGAATTGCCGTCGGTTTCCGATGAAACTACCCTGTGTTGCGGCACGGCTGAATGTTGAATCTTGACTTCCTCTCCGAGGATCAATTGGTTGCGATCCATAGATCACAGCCGTATTGGACTTTGCCGAGGCGTCACAGAGGTTTCAGAGTCGTGCGCCATAAGGGCAGCCTAACAATGGGAGCGGCAATGGGCCATGATAGGCCGTGACGAGGCTCTAAGCTCATGTCAGGAAGTGGATCATTCTCAATGTACATACTGGGAGATATAGTTGTCGTATACTGCATATCGCTTCGGCGAGGGGCCAGTGTAAATGAATACTACTACTACTACTACTACTACTGTACAGAACTTGAACAGAAGACTTGCGCCTTTGCGCATTGCCTCTAGAGCTGTTACATATTCAAAGCTGGCAACGGAATTTAAATGAGGGGAAGAAAGCATTACATATGGAGCCTAGGTCGTGGCAATGAAGGCCAGCTCTTCAGAGAAGGGGTGGGTTAATTAGTGAGGCGGAGGCATACTACTCTCATAACCAATCAATTTTTGCGGCGCAGAAGGTAATTTCTGACAGACTGCCTGCTCAAAGACCGCGATATTTGCTACGTTTGCATCGAATGTCCCAGTCCAGCCGTCTAGTTCTAGCCTAGACTCATGTACCTTTTGGGTCCATCTTACGCGATGTGTATAGACCTGCACGAGTCGCTGCCTGGCAGGCAGATACTCCACTAGGCAGAAGTGAAATGAGCTGGGCCTTTAGATAGATCGATTATCAGACTTGGACCTCAATCCAGGGTTCAACTTTTATTTGCAGGGAGTCATGGTAAATGACGTCATCCATCCATACATGTTGTATCTAACTATTTTTTAGAGTTACCAGTGGGGGAAATTCACAGACACGATCAATTGAATCAACAGCATCAGCTGCCTTTTTGCAACAACATATCCTACAAAAAGGGCGAGGGAGAATAGACAAGATTGCCTAAGTACGTAAAAGAATATCACATATCTCGTGGAGAAACTTAAGCTGTTGTAGACTAAAAGTAAACTTCAGTTTCCAGACCTACCGTATCTAGGCATGTAAAGTGCATCACGACCCAAGGATGATGATAGTATATGGAACCAATACACCCTTTTTAGCCTCAAGGTTAGCTGCGTGACCTCAAGCTAGAACGCCGTTGGAAAGCCGCAATAGCTTGGGAAAATTCATCGGCTCCTTCGAAGACATCAGGTAGAGCAATTTGCAAAATGTAAGCCCCGTTCACTTTGTCGGTCACCATGCATATCCCTGGAAATTCGTTCAACTGCGACATGAGAAACTGTTTTATAACAGGTTCACTACCGATATCATTCCTTATCCAAGGTTTCTTTTGTTTGAAAACTGTTCGATCAGTGAGCTTGAGCCCATTATTGCATGAGGACTGGGGTAACTGGTTAGCAGTACATCTTTCTGTCTTTTGTCTTTTTGTCCGTTTAGAAGATCGCGAAGTAGAGGATCGTGTGGTCGCCATTTAGTTTATAATGTATTGCCTCGAAATTTAACCAGATTCTTAGTATTGAAAAGTGGCTGTTGTCTCACATGTCTCCAACAAAATTAACTCAATGTCCAAGTACTTGTATTTATAAGGATTCCAAGATTTATTCAACTGCCAGTGAGGTCTCCTCATAACCTTCCTGAAAACTCTTTCCTGCCCATTAATGTTTATTGCTGCAGTTGATTTCTAATGGATTGATTTTTTTTTCTTCTTTAACTGACTGTCTGCGAGGAAAGGGGACCACAAATCTCAATCTGGGGCATGATATTTGAGGAAGTCTAATCGGTCAACTTGCCGTCGAATCTTGGACGGATCTCCTATTCGTTCCTATGTTATCTGTTCTATATTACAAACTTTAGTTGTCCGCTACAAATCCTTTGGTCACATTCAGTGCTGGCAGTTCGTTAATCAACGGCACTGGACAAAGTGATATGATTGACTCAATTCCTCGAATATTACTAATCAATATTGAAGTTCAGGAACTTTCATCTGCTCCAAATTCCAGTCAGGGTAACTTGTTTCAAATCCTATAAGTATCAAGCCAACAGCTATTCTTATCTTGTGTCCAGGCCATTTTTGATATTCTTCTTAGTTAAGCAAAGGCGGAATTTATTGAAAATAATTTCAGTTGACCTCAAACCTTAGGTTGAGTTCCACATCCCTATGCATTGGCTGCAGGGCGTTAGGCTGTGGGTGACCCACAAGTGCGTAATTTGCCTATCTAGGTCAATACATAGCTTACGAAATTATCATATGTTAGTCTAGGACACATGGCTACCATTGGGAGATGTGAATGCAATGATTGCATTCGCTCTTCAAACCTCGAGCCATCCCAGTACCATCTTCCAATGCCAGTGTCTCGGCAAAGCGAAGTACTCCACTGCCAGCGCTGCCATGGCCGCCGATCGTCTTCCTACCATCGCGATTATCAGGAGGACCCTGCCACAAACCCTCCTATAGGCATTTGCTCTCGAAGAAAGACAAAATGTGCTGCGGTGAAAGCAAGCTTAGAGTTCTCTTGTGCACCTCATGACCTCCGGATCCATGAGTTGCCGGTGAACTAAGAATGTAGATGATAAGTCTTTTGCGCTGCAGAAGCCTATCTTCAGCCAACAAATGAAAGGACCTACTAGATTTTAACGCTCTTCGTTATAAAACATTGACTCAACACATTGACTCAACAATGTGTGACTATTATTTTACCCACAATAATAGACAACGTAGCACCTAGGTAAGTGAGGAATATCTTCTTAGGCACTATTCATGCAGCATTGGCCTATTGGGCTTGCTTACTCGCTTATTTTCCTCCTACTCTGCCGTGGATTGCGTTTACTGAGAAAATGTTGAATCTTGCCGCCAAAGCCTGAGAGAATCTAGATCATATTCAGCTGCATTATATATCGCATTCTCCACCACTCTCTCTTTTCTCAGTTTGGCGCACCTGACTATTTAGCCTTGTGTACTCCAGACCTTGCCAACTCCCGTCATTTGGTCCCATGGGAGTGCCAAGAGATGGGAGTGAGGTTCCAGTTCGCTCTCGTGGGACTGTAAACACTGCAGATACGTAGAAAGTCGTAACCTGCACAATGTATACAGAAACGCCCTGTACTAGTACAGACGGATGGATGGATGGATGGGTGGATTATTTTATCTTGACCGCTCTCAATATAAAGATGTATCTCAGGTCACGTGATGTACATAGGTCTATATAGACCTCGCCAAGCGCGGGTTTTGAACTGCATAGATCCGCCCATGGGTTCTTGGCGGGTACCCGTGGGTTGCCCAAAATACCCACAAATGGGAATAAACCGTGACTAGAACTGATTAGTCACCTAGCGTAATCTTGGTATTTTATTATTGTCACGCTCTTGGGTGGGTATTACACTTAAACAATGCTTTCGCCTTATCGGAATATATATATATCTACATAGCTCGATTTTCCTCACTGTGTTCTTTCTAGCTCTATTGGACCCTTTACTCCTCCCGGCAAAATTTTGTCCGATCTGTCTCATCACCTTCAACCAAGCAAGATTTTTTATAGGGTTTTAAATCGAGAATAATAACCCGCTACGGGTTATGGCACAGACTACTCTAGGGTGACCCTACTCTCTGGTGTTACAAGGGACATTGTAAACCAAGATTTAGATATCACATACGACTATGAACAGCCAAGCCCAAATATCGAACTAGTTGATGCTCAACATATTCCTTGTATGAGAAACTCTATCGATGAACTTATGAGGACTTAATGTATTCTAAGCCAAACCCACTATATCAAGACAATAATTTTAGACCTGACGAACTAAACTAGCGACATGTGATGTTCTCAGCGTCCTCCTAAAGTCGCGGGGGTTTGGGTTAGGTTGGGTTTTGGGTACCCGCGGGTTTACGCGACTCACGAACAGATAGATCCAAACGCACAACGCGACTTCAACAAAATCTACGTTTGAGCAGTCAACATGAAGAAATTAATTGTCAACCCTGATTACATGGACCATCAATATGGCGTTTTCTTCCTCGTCATCGCGATCAATGCATCAGGCTTTTAATCCTCTGCTCTCTATTGAGCCATCGTCTGACGTTTTCTTAGACTCGGACATTCAATCTTCTGTATGAGAATAAATTCCCTCCTTCGTGTCCTTAGCTGTCGTAGGACTCGCCACCGGTATACTAAGACGGCCTACAGCCTTTCAGGGCTCGAAGTCGCAACCATAGGACTCGCCCGTCTCGTTATCCCACTCCCAACTGAAGCCGACCTCAGCCACCTCGGCCAACGCAGTCGGCAGAGCCAAGTCGTATCTCAGTTTCAGCTGTGACGAGGTGTGTGCTTGATTCACCTACTAGAATGACTATAGAGAAAACACCTGACGACTTGGCTCTGCCGACTGCGTTGGCCGAGGTGGCTGAGGTCGGCTTCAATTGGGAGTGGGATAACGAGACGGGCGAGTCCTATGGTTGCGACTTCGAGCCCTACGAACACTTCGAGGCGCTACAGGAGACTATGACGTGGTTTCGCCTGTGGACCGGTAACGACGAAGTCGACGGCAGGCAATTCCGTTTCTTCGGCTCGACAGGGGCAGGCGACTATGTTGATTTCTGGCTGGTCTTACCTGACGCGGCGGTCACCAGGCAGCCCGTCGTCTTTATTGGTTCAGAGGGTGAGCTTGCTGTGATAGCTCAGGATCTCGGCGATCTGCTGTGGCTGTTCGCAAACGGTTCAGGCCCAGCTGAAGCACTTGACGATCCAGGGCGTGAAACGCAACAAAACCAGGCATTCCGGGCGATTGCAGAGAGATACGCCGCAGGGAAGAGCCGCCCCACAGCGGAAATATTCACTACAGCACAGAAGGAGTTCCCAAACTTCTCAGAGCTCATCCGCGCGATGTGTCGGTGAGCGGAAACTCGCCAGTACGAGTCGTCTGTCAATGCCGTCACAGGGTTAAGCAATATAGCCACTCCAACACGACTGATAGAACGCTCGCTACACGATACTAGTTTGGCCATTTGCTATATAGTCAGTTTTTCCTTGCTACTTATCATATGTACAATCATCTTACTCTGCTAGGGATTCAGGTTTCGCGCCATTTTGCACCGTCTTAGTGGTTATTCTTGACTAGGTTAGACGCTGAAAATGCGGCGACGACATGGGCATAGTTATTTTGGGTCAGTGATAATACATAACATTACAGTTCTCTTCCGTTTGAAATTTTACCGTTCAAAACCGAAATATGATCTGAAGTACGGGAGTAACCATATTTGGATTTAGGAGATCATGTGATTAGGGTTTTAAAGAGCATCTCTGTATTTCCGACGTGGAAGGCGATATCGAGCGCTACTGTACCATTGAATAAGAAGAAATAAAGACAACAGGTACTGTAGTAATACATGAGATAGTCGCTTTCTACCACCTTAGAATTTCGTCCATACTCCATGGCTCATCACCAACATCAAACTCGTCCGTTGGAAGATTCTCGACATTGGCATTTGGGATCGACGCACCCGCTTGCGTTCTCTGTGAAATAGGCACACTACCTACCACTTGTTGTACCGAGGGTATCCGATATTTATGTGCCCAGCCTGCACTCAGTACAGCCGGTTCCATCTGGCTAGTGTCCATTGACTTTGACCAGTTGGTCTCCGACAGCAAGTGTTCGCTGTTAAGTGATAACTGACCCACGTTCTGCACCGAGGGTTGAGCCTGGTTGAATGACGAATGGGTTGAGTGCAGCTGCGGTTGAAGAACAACAGACTCGTAGGTCCGCCCGTTCCTTGTGGCGCAGGAGGGCAGCTCGTTGCTTGAATGATTTTGGGCTATAGATACTCCGTCATCTCTATTGACTGGCCCTGATACTGGCAACTCAATAGCCAAAGCCTTCAATTGGGCCTCAAGCCTGGGGTTAATTTGATAGTGACATTTCACGGCCTCTAATTTCTTGACAAGTGTCGTCAAAGTGTCTTTGGCCATGTTGCATTTGATCTCACATTCCTCATGGCTTGGAGAGAATCGTTTCTGTAGTATGAGGTGTAAGGACAAAGCGGATTTGGAATATGGATTCTACTCACAACCATCTCCTTACTACCCACGAGGAGCTTTATATTATTCAATACCGATGCCGCCTTCGGTGGAAGAGGAAGTTGTCTTGTCATACCCAAGAGTGTTATGATGGTCGATAGTGAGAAACGGCCTCGCAAGGCTTTTTTACTAGCAATAGAGGGGTTGCTCAGTCTCCTTTCCCACAAAGGAATGGGAGCCACTAACCTTTCTAGTCAGTGTTCACCACTAATGTGTGGCCACCCACTTCACAATCACTGCCATCCCGTCTGCTGCTATCTAGGACGTTTGAGTTTTACACCCCTGACCAGCCTTGCTAGTCCCCGTCGTCGGTAACGTGGTGAGACAAATCTAGACCACGAGACCGTTCTGGGGCCTACGCGAGTAGGCTAGTTGCTCTTATCTCGTTGGACGGAAAGCAGAGCCAGTGACATATTCTGTTCTCATGCTGTAGTGTGATCAAGACTTTCGTTGAACATTTCCTTAGTTGACTAGCTTGAACGACCGTGTTGAACAAGAACTCTGCAACGGGAACAGTACGGAAACTGACTTTGCAACTTCTAGTCCTTATCAGTTTGACTTGGAGCCATAAGCCATTTAGTGAGCAACATATTGCATCGACCGATAAGTATATTCTCAGTTGTGTACGTAATAGAGGCACATGGATGAATTCTCTTCCCCAGCGGCCACTGCGTTCATTACATGTCCACCTTCTTTGCCGTGGAATTCGAAAACAGTTTACCCTTTTGTTGCACATAGTTTCTTTCTCGGCCCGTACCCAAAAGAAAGCCAATCAATATAAGGCTAAGCCGTAAGTTATTAGCCACTTATAGACCTAATTGACTTGCAGCCTATCTGAATCAGACTTAAATTAGCATCTGTTACAGGCTGAGAAACAAGGTGTGTGTTCCCAAGAGGTAAACTGTCTTCGAATTCTACCGTACCCGCGATCGCAGTATCTTCAAGCTATAGTTGCTAGTTCTCAGCTTGAAAGGGACCAATCCAGAAGACTCTCAACTCAAACATTGTACAGGGTTTTTTGCTGAACTAGAAGGCTTTATTGGTCAGAACGTTCATTCTGCAATCTCGCTTGGGCGAAACACCATTACACACAATGTACTACTCTTGAGAGATTAGGTCCCCTTAAATCTGAATAATATAAGCCATCGCATGGTTTCCGCGTTCAGACAGAGTCTCCTAAGACCCAATACATTTCTGGCATAGCTGAACTCGCCTTCAATCCCTACCTCCGTTGAGGAATAGGCAAATAATCCCGAACTGCCTTTTCCGTGAGTGGATATCTAAATAAATTCGCCTTCCACCACTTGAAAACATATTTTCCGTCTGCACCGTCAACCATATGGTGGGACCAACCCACTGGTGACGCATCTAGGTACCTATCAATATCTGAAAGAAGCGTTCGCTGTGATGACTGGATGGGCTGTGCATTTCACGGATCCTTTCTTATGGCTCAGGAAGTAGGGAGAGCATGTCGCTATTCAGGAAATAGAGGCACGACGCGGAAGACCACGCGTCTTTTGCACGAATGGGGTTCGGGAATATGCCATCCTATATTTGTCCAGTATGAGCAGCGAGGCATGGCGTACTTTCAGTATCATTCGGCAATACTTAATAACCTCGCGGGTTGGGAATGAAAAGTGGTAATGAGAAAATAATGGAGAAAGCTCAGCTGTGCTTTCGCCTAATGCAGTCCTATCAAAATGGAAAGTCGACAGGTCTTTTCTTTACTCGCGACGGTTCCTCACTCGCGATTCTCCTGGTAAACAATCTGTGGCCTAGATTATAAATGACGTAAAGTCGCATGACAAACGCGTTTTTACATGCCAATGGTCATACAGTACGTCCCGTAACCTCGCCTTATGAAATTTGAACTTTCTGATTAAGTTCTGTAATTCATGCAGGCCTATATTATTATTTCCACCCTTTGCCTAGTGTCAGGCCTGCCTCATCAGTCTTCTCACTTCGCGGATTCGAGGTGGCTAAAATCACGACAACACGCAAAAACCAGATGCATCTAGGCAGCGGGGTATATTCAGTTCAGATTGCATGACAAACCCACATTTATATAAAATAGATGCCTGGTTGAGCCGTAACAAGCACTCTCTGCCCGCCTACCACTGCCGGCGTAGGAGAAACTAAAGTAATTGTGTTAGCCCGGTATTGATACATTTAAGCAGTAGCAATAGAAGTGGTGCTAGTGCTGGGCAAAGCGGTGCAGGTAGATAAGCTCGTACTTTGGAGCGCTTTGTTGGGCGCTATCCTATTGCAGCTACAGGTAGTTAATAGATATTAGCACGCGCCAGGAACGACAATTTTCGAAGTGAGGTATGGAGGTATCAGCAGTATCGAGAGTACACGTGGATACACCCACGTGCGTGCTCGTTATTCTGTGTACGAAACAATACAGGCCCCACTGACAGGGATAGCTCGGCAAATCTATTGATATATGTCGAATACCAAGTCCGAATACATGGTAGAAACCAAGTAATATACCGGAAACATCATGTGACATTGGGTACCAGACATACCATACAAAAGTGCATATTACAGTTAGTCATCATGGTCCGCACAGATTGTTGAAATAGCGGGTTTTGTCATTTTAGTTAGTTAGAGTTGTCAACATTGGTCATTTATACCATACATTGTTCGTACACCAGCCTTCCGTCAATATAGACTAGCGTATCTTGGCAATCAGGGTTCGACAAACAATGGAAGAGTGTAGGTGGTGGCACCAGTTACGGGACGGGACGTAGTGTAGTTATATCGTATCTTAGATTTAAAATAGAACGGGCGGAAATAAGTAAAGTTATGGTAATCTATTTAATTGGAGCAGCAAAGATGTAGGAACGCGTCTCATAGATGTATAATTTTCGCTCGACTTCTGTAGCAACATCTATAGTTACCAAAAATAGACACCTACCAATAGGAATTCACTGAAAGTGACCACACAAACTACGTAGACCTTACTGAACCTTTAATATAGGTATACACTTCTAAAACATGTTTCGCATAGGAGATATTTCCTACGGCTTGGCCGAGGCCGTGATGGCACTTGTGACTAGGGTTTGAAACAAGGTCTCTGAAGGCGAAACCGGCCGGTACTGTAAGTAACTGGTCATAGATCAGTTACATATGAGACTGCCTAATGAGACAGCTTATGATACTGAAGTATCAGTTTTTTCATCCAGTGCGTCTAGTAAATGCACAATCAAGGCGACAGCATTCCAGAAATACGAATCGCAGGAACGCCCTTGCTTTCTACGATGGAGGAATTTCTTCAATACTAATGAAACCAACGGAGAATGCTTCCTCAACTGGCTGATGCGAGTCCGGGGTGAATCTCCGAACGCATGATTTAACGAGGCCAATGTATTGTAGTTGAAGTTTTCCAACACAGGGCTCCTCGAATTGGACAATGAATCAACCGAATAGAGACTTCGAAAGAAAGCCTGATTGCGTTTAAAGCTGTTCCTATATCGCTGGTTCCGTTTCGACCTTATATACTTCCGCTTGGTGAACAGATGCCACATTAGATTGGGTAAGATTCGTGAGACATCATGCACTGATGCCAGAAAGAGTTTTCTTATTTCAGTCTTCCTATTATCTTCCACAAAGGCTGTGCTGGCGAGCGATCTTGAGCAATTTTCTTTACGGGTATATTGAGTTGTTTGCTCGAGTGCAGCCATTGCACGCACCAATGCTTGAGTCCGAGGCCTCGGGGCCAAGTCCAAAGATGGATCCATCAGCTTGATAATCAGTAGGATCCAGCTGAATTCCTGCCAACTATGAGACTTCGACCACATGGCTTTCGGAATATGAGATGGGAATAATTCAAACAGCGGAAACTGGGAACGTTTGATGTGATAAGCGCACTTTGCAGAACGTTCTTTCTTCCTCTAAATGCGCGTTGTTTAGGCTGTTTCTTTTCTTTTCCAAATTCAAATTATAGAAGGAGAATTTCACACACCCCCCAAAAAAAACTATTCTTAATAATAGAATCGTGCTCTCCATGCTAGTGATGAACACTTAACTGAACCGGGTTCACTGCCACTCTCAATAAGACTTTCTGAGCCCATTGCCAACCCATCGCCGGAGGTACCTACACAGCAAGGATATGTTCCCAATTAAAATAGATCTCGCATGTGATCCTATTCGAATAACTGAGAGAGACTTTTCCATCTGGACTTTTCTATATTAACTATGAAGTGGAGATTGGGATCCCGAAATCATTCAAAGTCATTTCTTAGGGCCTGGAGAAATAATATTTCCGGCATATGATTCAGTGCGGATCATGAAAAGGCTGTCCTTAGGTATACATACCATTTCAGATTTCGCGGGCGGCCGGCAGGGTGTAGGCGTAGAATTAAAAGCATGGATCTGATTATCTCTCCTGATTCAAATGATAACGAACTCAGACTGTGTATTTGGCGGCCATCTTGAACAAACGGTGTCTCTGTCGCCGATTCTGTTGACTATCGGTACACGGTGGCTTTAGCTAGCTTTGAAGCATGCTGAATTCTTGATCATCCATTCTGATGAGATTTTAAATGCTGAATTGGCTAAAACCAGCGTTTTAAAATACAAGAGCCTGGACCTTGAACAGACTGTCTATGTTCTCACCTTACTGATGTGAACAAAGACTGAACAAAAATCCCAAAATCTATCAAAACTACGGACTTGTCGTTGACCCTTGCTCTGAGGGCCCTAGAAGCATGGAGAGCCCCCACATACTTGTGAAGAGTCCCTTTAGGTACGGCGTACATAGAGGGATGCAACTCATACAGTAGAAATCAAAAACAGTTTACCCCTAGGGCACTGACGCTGTGTTTCTCGGGCCGTAATAAACACGGGGCTTAGCTAAACCTGGCCGTCCTATAAAATAATATGTTCTGTGGGTGGTGATTGTCGTATCATATGTATATTCGTTTCTTGAGATCAAGCTTTTGGAAAACCTTTCAGTAGCTCAGGATGTTTATGTGAGTGTTGCAATGATGTGATGGTTAGTGTGGTATTTGTCAGTAATAGTAAATTGGCACCTACAATACTTAGGCTTTTCTTCGTTTTGTATTATACCAAATACGGCTTAGCAAATCATGTGACTAGGGTTTGAAAAAGCTACTCTGCGTTGTCCGACATGGAAGGCGCAAGCGATCGCTACTGTAGGATGTTGAACACTTGAAGAAGCGCCTTGAAGCCAGTCTACTAACAAAATTACTAACCCACAAGGATCCCTATAATATTGACAGCTGAGAGGGCATATACTGCAAGGATTTATGTATGGGCTGGAAGGAGATACGGCATATGTATATTAGGACCTGCATTGATAGATCAGATTTAGTTGCCCTTTTGGCTTAGCTGCCGGGCGTTAATGAATTGTATGTGTGTGTAGCTATTCTCTTCATCGTCAATTGCTTATATTTACACTTATATAGGGATTCCCTTGCCCCTGATTACTCAACGGTTGTTTCAAGACAAGACCACTCTCCTATCGCTCAGATTTCCAGTCAATAAAGGCAAGCCGAATTAATATCTACTTGTATCATCCCCTTCATTGAACAAGGCATATTCCCTTCCCCAGAGTGCTAAATACCTTATAAAATCAAATCTCGACGAGCGAGGCACATGGCCCGTGTTTTTTAACACAGTAGTTTGCACTTAATGATCAATGAAAATTTCATTTAAGCTTATGATCACTGTAGGAGGATGATAGCGTAGGTGGTGACGCCATTTTCGAGAAGTACTGTAGGATTGTAATGTCATACGGTTGCAGATATACGTGTTTACATATGTAGCACTATAAGTTGTTGGTAGGCACTGCAGCCTCCCAGAGCTGCATGTGCAAGAACTTTTGTCAGATTTCTGAGGAACAGAAACGCAGTATTCAGGCTAGAACTTATAAAGAGGCGACGAAGAACGTAGTGAATGCAATAGCATGGCTGGAAATTTATTGATTATAGTCTTTCCCCAATGGACTTTATCTTTATGCCTCTGTACATTATACTTTGTGCCGTCACTCTCGCGAGACACGCCTCCAACAAGTGATAATATATGAGGAACATAATACAATGAAAGGGTTTGGAGTCAAGTATTTTTAGACTTCTTCATACTATAACTCAGAAAGTCGTGATTCGATTGACTGCAGCCTTCATGCAGACTATCTCTGTCTCTAGACACGGATGGTTGCAGAGCGCCTCTCACTTCCGCATACAAACGTATGGGTTAGCTTATAATGCGGACAGATATTGAATTAGTCAGAGGCACCGGAAATTGTTTGCTGGGTTAACTTTATTCAACGCGTAAGCAATATTTCAGTAGGGTTTTGTCATTCGCAATCTTATGACAAATTGGAAGCATGCCTTTTCAGAAGGGGGATCTTGGTGTAACCCCCTAATTTTGGGAGACCATGCCTTTGACACTGATTGTATTCTCTCATAAATAGCGATAAAACCCACTCAATGAATATAAAGATGCATTTATCCGGTTCTGCTATTCTTTCAATTCTTGAATCCGTCGTGACAGGGATCAGTTATGGCTCAATGGCTACATCTTAGCAGAAACACCGATGGTTGGATCCTCGGAGTGGATAGTCGCTTTCGAAAGATCCTCATTGACATGGAGGACCCGCTTTGCCAGTTTCCATCATTGATATGTTTTATTGGAGGGCATTCAAAGTCTCAAGCATTACGTGCCCTTTTTCCATTCAACAATACACGCCGCAGCTGTGCACCATGCTTTGCCAAGCTTCACATAAGCACTAATACTACCAATACCCCTCATCCTATTCTGATTATAGATGGAGTGAGCGATGAATTAAAAGAAAAGGGGCTTGGTGGGAGCAGCAGGCGTTATGATAACCAGAGGACTAGTTTTGAGATCCGTCGGAAGAATTATCAGTCATTCGACGAAATTAGAGATACTATATATAGCCATCTGATTTTGCCTTTCACACATGTTGTTTATCTATTTCCGGATGATATTGGCGGGCTTGGAAAAATACAAGAAATATTGCTATCTTGGCTGGGAGAACTGAAAGATGGAAGACTACGCCTGGGCTTGACTCCCCAGGTAGTTTTGGTGCTGACCAACCCCGAGGTAGAATATCCAGCCTGGGAAGTCCTCTACAACACATTATCCACGTCTTTAGGTTCTTCCATAGCGTCGTCCTTGGCTATTGTCGATCTACGTAGTCGGCACGCCCTGTCCCGAGAAGCGAAATTTGAACCACTCCGTTCTCAACTATCACGCGATATTCAAAAAGCGCGACGCAAACGCGAGGCAGAACACATTCTATTTTCCGCGACACACCTAGAAGCACTTTTTAATAAGGCCACGGAACATATGGCATATCAAGGAGAGATTTCTTTCAATGCTATTCAAGCTGCTAAAGACCACTGCAAAGTTCCTCTTAACGCTTCAATTTATCTTCAAAACTTTATTGCCTCGGCGATAGATGCGGGTGAGTCCATACCTGCTATAGCAATGTATATCTCCTCCGCATTGATTATGGATGCATATCCGCCTGGCATGCATAGTAGGTGAGCCCTGTAATCTCGCCAAATTATTAAGACGTGGCATAATGCTTGATTTTCAACTAACAAGCCTGTCAGGATTTGACCCCCTCTTAATGTTCCAAACTCACTATGCCGAAATATGTCTCGCGGCATGGAAAGAAATATCTACAGCCGATGCCGAGCATGGACTCTGCGCTATTGAAGTCCATTTTTGCCTGTTGTTCAGAAATCTTACAAATGATTCCAAAACTGCAATGGTCCGAAAGTGCAGTGTTGCAAGAAGGCAATTTGGGTGGAAATACCTGAAATTGAATGTTACTTGTCTAAGCTGTCTTCTGCGGGGGACCGATGTAATTCTGCCTTGTGGCCACGCTATCTGTGAAAATTGCGTGCGCATATGGGGCAAACGGGCGGGAGGGGCAGAGTATCATTTCGAAGTATCATTTTGCATACTTTGTCCCAAAAGGTTCAAGCATACCGTACGTTGCTTACCTCCCACGAAAGGCCCTGATATCTTAGTTCTAGATGGGGGCGGAGTTCGGGGTGTTCGCATTCTCGCATTCTTGTGCAAACTGGAGAAAATGCGACAGTGGAGGCCATTACGGAATGATGTTCATTTTTCAATGGGTACAAGTGTTGGTAAAATAATTCTAAGTCCTGATCAAAATCCATATCGAACCAAGGCTAATAACTCTCGTAGGCGGATTGATACTCCTTGAAACCTCCGTTCAAGGCTCCAGTGCTTCAGAAGCTTTGGAGAAATTCAAACCACTTGCTCGTGAAATCTTCCCCTCTAAAGCACGGCACAAAGGCCGTGTAAGTCTCTTGTGGAATTTCATACGACACGTTTTGGCAGATGCTGCTTATGACTCCTTATCACTAGACACGGCTCTCCAACGGGCGTTTGGTAGCACTCATCGTTTTTATGATACACCTTTACCGACAGCAGGTGGTCGAATAGCTTTGACAGCTAGCCACATAGAAAATGACGGCAAGTTGTCTTTGTTCTCGAACTATAGGCGCCTTCGCCGGCCTGAGGAGGAAACTTCTTACATATCAGTGATACCAACCAAGTTGGCCGATGAGCCTGAGGTGTGGAAGGTGTGAGTAGCTGTATTATCCTTGGGCCTAAAGAATACCCATATCCGGGACGAAGTCTGTCTCCAACTAACATTGACTATTTCAGTGCCAGATGCTGTATTGCAGCCTTAGGGTATCTGCACACCCTGGTTCATGTTGTTGGTCTGACTTCTAACAAAAACTTTCTTCAAGATACTTCAAACCAAAATATATCCCTGGCATTGGAACATTTCAAGACGGAGGGATTCAAGCAAACTGCCCCTTGAGAACTGCCATCCGAGAAAGCATGAACATCTGGCCTGGTGCCAGGCGACCGGATCTTGTGATAAGTATAGGCACAGGGTTTGAAAAGTTCAGTCCTGAACGTGGGCAAGAGCAGAGCCAAACCCTTTTTAATAGTAACTTCGTGGGACGCGGTATCCGCACTTTTCTTTCCTCGCCCGCAGTAGACGGATACCGTGGTTTTGAAGATGCATTAGATAATCTTCCACCTGACTTAAAAGAAGATGTTTTTCGCCTCGACTGTGCTATTGATGGAACCCTGCCTGACCTGGACGATACGGAACGAATGGAGGAGCTTTCTGATATGCAATGTCACATTCCACAGGAGCTCTCGTTGGCTCTATTGGCGACCTCGTTCTTTTTTGAATTCGATCAAGAACCAGTGTTCCTGGATGGTCGATTCCACTGTATTGGATCAATTATGTGTTGTAAACCTGATCCTAACGGCATTCTCTCCATTCTAAGAACGGAGTTTCCATGCTCACGATTCGTGATCCGGAAAAGCGAAGACATCGGTCCTGTGGATAAGCATGATGGCTGTCATATTTGTGCTTATTACCGCAAAAAGGTTTCATTTACAGTTAGAAGTCTACATGAGGACTTTAAACTTGCAATCGTCAGCCAAGGGGTTAGTCGGAAGATTGGTGGGTTTCCGACATCCGTTGCTGCCCTCCTTGTAGCCCAACAAGCGTATGCGCCATTCGGGCGTTCTGATCACCACAGTGATCTTTGGCCACTAAACCGGCGTTGCTACTGTCATATCAGTTTGAATAAGCGTGATGGCGATAATATGTTTGACCCTTACAAAAGGAAAAAGTTGAAGCAAGGTAGGGTTTGAAACATTAGGTATTGGGAGCATTGAGACTCATCGGATGGACATTTCATATGGATGCTTCAATCATCTCTGGCCACAGGGACCATTATGAAAGTAGACATATCTATACTACTATTTTGCAGGGAGGAAAATGCCAAAACTTGTGTTCATCTTTAATCACAACTTGTTTTCACATTCCATATTATCGGGGGCATCTTCTGTATCCAACTAGAGATTATTCATTGAGCCATGTATATCCGAAATTCTCATCAAAAGCCTTGAGGCCATGTTCTCAAGTTCCTCCGCCTTTGACTTGCTGTCTTCAATGTCTTTCAAAAGCAAATCTCGTTCCTTTGTCCTGAAATTTTGCTCCTGTCTTATAATCTCCTCCATGCCACTCCTTTCGTCTTCCACTATTCGCAAACTCTCCCGTAGACGATTGTTGTCTGTATCTGCTGCCTTCACCTCAGCCTCCAATATAGCAATTCTGGAACCCCAATTGCGCTCGGGTGACGTGGGACCATCGTCCTATCGAAATCAGCACTCGGTCTCATTTACCTGGACTGTCGGTCTTGCCTGAAAGTCGAAAGCTTCTGTTTCTTTCGGTATCCCAAACCCCGATCTGTTTGCAACTGCTTCAAATGTTTTCCCAACATAGGACTGAAGCTCTTCGTGAACCGACTTTGGAAGCCCGCTCAATGAAACTTGGTTTGGGCTAGTTTGGAACAGTTTGAGCAATTCCTTATTTGACGGGTCCAAGACTTTCCAGTAATATTTGTCTTGACGCTTAGGCGTGAGCCGAAGGTGAACTTTTGTGACTCTAATGCCGGTCCTTTTCCCTGTGAAGTAGTAAGCAAAGCAACTCTTGGTACGGGTGATAGACGGGCCTTTTCACTAACAAATGTGCTCAACCAAGGTTTTTCGGCATAGATCCCTCTCCTCGGAGCGCGCTTTGTTACTTGGTCTTGGCATTGCCAAAGAACAGAGATGTCACACACCAAATACTGCAAGCTAATAAATCTACTTATAATGCATTCCAAAATACTAAAGAACTAAATCAATTATTCAGGAGTAGATATTTGTTCCCTAAGATGCAGGGGCTCTATCACTTAATCTTCTCGGCGTATAGCAGCTGAACACTATCCGAGAGTCAAAATAAAACGGTCAATTGTTGTTCTAGAAGAAGAACAATCATTATACTAATAGGATCACGCGAATTCTATCTTAGTTTAAACAAAGATATCAGATTCCCCCAGTTATTTTGTATGGTCAGTGTAACCAGCGATCGTGGTTGGCAAAGATGGAGAGGGGCAGTGGCCAGGCAACCAACCGCATCTCCCCAGCTAGTCAGTTTGGCTTGTTTGCAAGTGCGAGGTTCGACAGCGCATGGCAACTGTTGACCCCGGTCCAAACATATGGATGCAAGGATTATCATATAGAGGACGTTGAACTGGCAACTTAGTCCAGCAGGACTCTTTCTATAGACGCTATTGGTGCAATCTACAATCTGCTCTGGCTGCACATGTATGTTGAACCTTAACTTCCCCTGATCGACTTCCTATGCCAAAGCTCCCTCCACCCTCAGAAAGATAATGGCGCTATTTCCTTCTTCTGTAAAAGGGGGGGAACTCTTGTCACTAAATCCGCCTCTCCATGCCAGCTCTGATGGCCCTCCTCCGTGTCGACCCGCTCGGGTGAGTCTGTACCACACCACATCATCCCTATTATCTATTCCGGCTCATCCTAAAACGGATGTCTAGACCAATATATGTACGCAATAAATCACGACCCCAACGTTCAAATCCAGCACAGCAGATACTTGGGTCTGGTAACCGTTCGGTGTATCCGCGCGCGCCCCTCTAGGCTAGCTCGTAAATACTGATTTAATTGATTGCGCCTGCATAGAGAGCCAAGGTTAAAGCCTCTAAGAAGACCGCCATCAACCCAGTGGGCGACTAGGATCGGATGCGGGCGTGCGTTTCGCGATCGGATCCAGTACAAGATATTCCGAGCCTATCAGACGCGCCGTTTGCCACTGGGCAGGACAACAAGCGAACGAGCGCTATGACATTCGGGTCATGTGAAGCTTGACATCACGGCCGCGGATCATTGCCTGTACAAGAGGTCTGGAAAACAACAACGAAAATCCAAGGGCTGTCTAGGTCATAGTGACTCGCAAGAGAGTTATAAATTTGATGACAATGCTGATGGACCACAGAATAACACACCTCGGTGTCGTTTCTTCATACCACGCCACAGCTCTACGACGCTCATCAGAATCTCGCGCTGACTAGGGTGGCTACAATAATCCGCGGCGCAGGACATGACCCAAGGCTGGCGGTAACCCTGGTACCGGACATCCGGAAAACCAGATCCAACTACAGACGGAAGCCCGCGGATGGTCATTTAGGCCAATGGCCAGGAGCGACTAGGGTTCCCTGGTCTAGGCTATCAGTGCTGTTTGTGGCGAATGGCGCAACAGGCCATGTGGTGTTTGGGGTTGGCAACCGTAGTCTGTCAAGCGTTGAGCAACTTTTGAGTCAGATGTACCCGTACCTTTAGTTCCGAATTCAGTGATGGACTCAATGGTGGCTAGCACGGACAGATTATGGGGACTTCATGCCTTGTCGTCAAACATATAACTACCTTTTCAGTCACTAGTTTCGTTGTTATCTTTTTGTTGAACTGTCTAGACCGGGATGGTCGTTGACCCCTGTCGCCAAGCCTCACATGACCCGAATGATACCTAGCGCCAAATGGAAGCGCGTGATTAAGTTCGGTATTTTGTGATGGGTCCGGTCTTAGAGGACGCGCCCGCATCCCGTTCTTGATCAGCCATTGTACTTGGAGAGATTGAAAGTGCTTTGGCGCAATTAGTCGTCTCGGGCAAATTTAAGGTTCAACAGACGGCCTGTGAAACCCAAGCACATTTTATATCACACCAACAGCGCATATAGAAAGAGATTTGATTGGCCCCGTTTCATGGTAAGGGGGGCTGATATTTCGGACATTTGCCGCATAATTGCCGCAGGCAATGGCCAAGGCAAGATGGCAAAAACCGATATTTAGATTATGGAAAAATCATTAGGGTAGCATTACAAGGATTAAGATCCTGGAGATGTCTTAAGTAGTACTTAAGGTCAACCTGCGCTATGTACACTAGATCTATTCAGTATCGCGGGTCTCCAGCGAACACCTTTCCATTCAACAGAACCCTTCTGTCAATATGATAAAAGGAACTCATCCAGCACCCTCCCCCAATGACTCGGTGCAACAAAAGCGCGGTGTAGCGATTATGCACGAGTTGGCAGTCGCACTCGGAGGGAAACAAAAGGCCGTAAGTCCAACTCATGCATTACTTGATTTGTACTTACCGTCTGCCTAAGGTGCAATTTGTCCAAGATCATAAACCTTGTGCCCAGAAATACAAATTCTACAGGGCTACGATTGCTCAGCTACTTAAACAACTGGAGCAAATCCGAGACCAAGATCTGCCATCCCAACTGAAAGCCGACTTAGATACCTTGGGAGTCCAGTCAAGTCTACTTGTTGTGTCCAACCGGGATAAGTATAGGGAGCCTATAGCAAATAATTCACCAAATAGAGCTCGGCCAGATAATTCATCAGGTGGAGCTCGGCCAGGAGGCCAACAGCAATCCGTTTCGAATAGGGAAGTGCCATCGTCCCAGCCCACACCTACCCAGTCGGCTCCACAAGGTTTACCGAGACATGCACCATACGGCTATGCTGGGGACAATGCGGCCGCTTGGCACCGGAGTGCCGATCAACCGGAGTCAAGTCAAATAGGACTATCCTCATTGAATCAAAGCCAATATGCCATGATACCGCAATATTATCCTCAACAAACAGCCAATCAGGCAGTGGGTCCAAATCAGTTACCACCTGCAGCTATGGATCGGTATTATGTACCCAATACCAGTGTGCCTCCATACCAACAAAGTGTCCTCCCTTCGACAGACAATGCCAGACACTCTTCAAACCGGTCGAGCGACATAGAGCCTGGCAATGGTTCATGGATGACGGAGGACTTTGACTGGTTTAAATAAAATCTCTCGTCATTGCCGGGTTATGATAGTTGTGCCTTCTTCTTTCGAATTTCGTGAGCTAAGCTCGATCCTCCCGAAATTAGAATCAAATACCTCATACTGTAAGAGATCATCGTAGCCCGGAGGCGTGGATGAGCTTCTTTGGTTAGTATTAGTCCCTGACTGAAGTATACTTTAGGAGCCACCAGATGTACCCAAGTTGTATACGTCTCCTTTAGCCTTCGCTGGGGTCTTGCAAAGCTTTACAGCGGGCTCGCTGTAAACAATGGAAGCCTAGCCGGCCAAACTTACTTGTTAGTTTGGCCCTACTTAGCTTAGGAAGCGTAGGAAATTAGCCTTACCCCCCAAACGTCTGATTAATAAACACAGCAGCATATAAGATTCATAGTTCGAAAAAAAATTCCGTTTACAGTATGGATAGTACATTCTTAGGACCAGTTCGTTACAGTGATGTTTGAAATCTGTTGTGATACTCGGCGAGTGCAAACCAGGTACCAAGCAGACTCATCGTCATTGATTCCTCTGCAATTTATACGACGAACCAAGTTAATTGTCAATCAACTTGGATCTCTCAGTTTATAAGGTCCTGAATACCCTTGCGAAAAACGATGGACAGAATGAGGCATGAGAGTGAATTGTGAGAAAGGGTTGGATTGTCGGGCTTTGATTGGAGGAAAAGCAGCATAACAATTTGTATATAGAAATTTTTTACTTATTATGACTAACTGCGAATGCGCCGCAGAACGATGTCGAGTTCCACCAAACCTGTGTGGCTCTTATCGAATTCAACGCGACTACTATTTACAAGCTGGCCACTGCATATCCATGACTCAATTGCCACCGAGACTACCGACTCCAGGGCGTATCCCATCTACTTCACCTTGAACCACGTGCCCACCAGCGCAGCTTGGTGACATTTATCTTCCAGTGTATGTAGCTGGGTTCCTCAAGTCTCCGAATTTCAAATAAATGAGTGACCTTTCCGGCTTTCAAAATAACATGGTATTAAGCATTCACCGGATGAATATTCCACCGGGGGTAAACTTGGAATGGTCTACTCCGTACGTTGGGATAAATCAGGATATGTGTGCACTTTACATCCTAGTTTCTTAAAAAAGGTTATGCTAGCTAGTTAATAACTAATAAAATTGCCCGTGGAGGTTGTGGTCACATCAAGCGCGCTAAAATTAAATATATGATTGGCTTCTATTTCGTTCAACGACTATTAAGTGGATTAGTGCCGGCCTAGGCCCCTAAATGAATAGCCGGTCGACCCTTGTCTCCAGGTCTTGCCACTAGCGATAACGAGCGGGGAAGTGACCGGGATTTTGGGACTCGAGAGAATGGAAGGAGGGGTAGCAGATAGCAAAGGGGAATTTTTCGATACAAATAGGCCGGTAGTTTGTGACTCATGCTAGAAAATATCCCATCACTTCCTTTTTTAAAAAAAATAGTTTAAATCTTTTTGAAATTACTTAGGTATAATGAAGCAACTTCATCTGACCCGGAACGCGGCATTGCTATTGACTGAACTCAGGCACCTCATTGGAGAAGAGCGAATTGTGAGAACAATTCTTTACTGAACGTATTCTTTATCCTTACTTCTACCATCACAGAAACGCTTTTTCCGGCGCCATGAAGAGTGCGAGAGAAAGTGCCAAATTGCTAGGGATATCATGGTTCAGTTAATCAACATATTGGAGATAATTCAATGTCAGAGCAACATAGAATCCAGACTCATTGTCCAGTTGAAGGCATTGGGTATGAAATCGCCACTGCTGGACCCAGTCGATGGAGCAGATGGGGGACATTATTGCGTTCCGAATGTATTGAATAGCGAGGGGGCATCCTCCGCTATGTGCAACCCGCAGATCCCGTCCCATACCTGGCAACAGATTCAAGGATTTGATGATACTCCGCCGCAGGTGGTACTAGCCCATCACACATCCACCCAAACCCAGCCAGTTGGACCACCACACATGCCGCAGCTGAGGATCGACTCCCCGATGGAATCGAGGGTAGCTAGCGTATTGAACGAAAACCAGATGTACATGTATCCATCTATACAGCAAAAGGCTAGAATCGTGCCTACACCACAGGGAGCCCAAGCAGTTCCATCCCAGCCAAACGTCAATTTTGAGGAGCCTCTATCAACTGAATTAGACCTCAGCGTTGAGCCATGGAGTATGCACGAAAGCCTCAAGTGGTAGAGATTAATCTTATTTGTTTATACGCTACCTCATTATGCTTCCAAGTTTTCTCTTTTCCTGATTTAATTTTGCAAGGGCGGACCGTGGTAGATTCGTCCTCTAAGCAATGTGCGCAGGTTGTTGCGGCGATTTATGTTCTGAGAATGTGCGAAGTTTGGTTGATGAAGACTCTGAATCTCCAAAGTCTCTATTACTTTGCCATAAGCACTTCATATTGGATTTATGGTGCGGGTTGAAGAGGCGAAAGTCGGATAGGAGTAGCGCATGGATGCATTTTCTCTCGCTGAATTGGCCACCATTGTCTTCGCAACTCCTGAACAAGAATAACCCCATTAGAAGATTCAAACTAGGGTAATTTCAGGGACTGGACTTACATGTCTTCTATTTCCTTACACGATTAAACTCCTCATATTCTTACTGGCGGGTAATGAGAAGGTATTTTCGAGATGCCGTTATCGTTGTCTGTTACACTCCAGGTATACTAACTTGTTGCCCTTTCTATCCTTAACAGCGAGGGTGATTGGCCCGTCGGTGGTCTCTACCATACAGCCCTTGCATATGGTGGGGGTTGTTGTGCAGCTGTTGCCGTTGGCGTTGCATTTCTTAAAGAGCAAAATATATGAAATAACTGGATGATGAATAGTGCTTGTTTCGTTTGGTTTATTTGGTCATTGCAAGGTATTTATGACGATAGAGTGATAAAGCAAAAAGCCCTATTGGTATATCTATCTGACCCACACCCACAGGGTTCTTGATAAACATGCCAGGGTTCACTTGGCTACTAGTCCGTTAGAGTAACGGTCATCAACTAGTACTGTTCAAGTTTCCGACCTTTGTACCCCTAAGCGCCAGCTGACGTTAACCTGGCGGATGTTGCTACTGCACGTAAGCTGGACAAGGGTATGGTTAAACTGATTGATCTAATGCTGCAAGTAGTCACGTCAATTCCAATGGTGGAAGGTACAGAGGAGCTCCGCTCGCTCAATTTGTTCCCTACTTAATAATAAATACTGAGTGAACAGGGGCCTTCGTCCTTCCAATACGTTATTCCATTCGCATATTTGGACTCACGTTGGCTAACTAGCTGGTGCTCGACTGGTCAGAATGTTGACCACAGTAATAGCGATACGTTGGCATGAGCAGTTAGGAAATGCAAACTGCTACCTTGCTGGCACATACCATGGACTTTCTCGCAGAACTGCTGAAGTTCAGCGTTAACCTACTTCAGATCACCGAAGGCAGGGCTGCAGTGTGCTGGGAAGGGATGTAGAAAACGTGTGCTACCCGTTTCCGTGAGTCGCATATCGCAGTTCTGTCACCCGCATTAGACTGTTAATAAAAGCAATCATCCAGCACTATTATAAACTGCGAGAAACCGTCAGTCTATGCTCGTTACGATGACATCTTCTATCCATCGTGAAGCAATCTCGCAAAGTCAAAAGATGGCCCAGCGCAACGGTATGGCATTAGCAGGTGGTAGGTTAATGCTACAAGACTCAGACTGGCTGACGCAATTACCTAGGAACGGATCTAAAGCAATTTGACGAACAGATGCAACCTATGGATATTGGTCAAGACGATCTTGATGCTGATGAAGACTCCACATGGGATCAAATGAAATACTCTGAGGAAGCTGAAGACCAAATAGACATATGGGAATATATATGGGACATGGGAGATAGGACCAACAGGGCATCCTCATTATGTTCATCAAGCTCAGTTGTGTTTCTGAGGACGGAAGAGGATCCAAGAGAGATGGGAGGGCATATGTCCAAGATGAATACTGATGGTAAGTCCAATATATATTTGACACAAATTTGGATTAAACCGAATCTGCTTGGTCGAGACTGACAAATCATTGCAGACAAAGCGGAATTAAGGCTTGATGGTCTTCCTTGGCTTTTGAAGCAACTACAGATACAGCGTAGTGGGCAAAATGGCGATTCAGACTCTGAAGAAACAATGGAATTAGAAACGAGCAAGGTTGACATGCCTCAACAGGGTTCGTTGGGGGAAGAAGTTCTAACCAATCTGGAAGGGCCCGCGGCAGTGTGAAAGACCTAAGAAATGACGAATGAATTGACAATTTCTCTTTGTAGTAGCATAATACAGACGCGTTCGAAATTAGTTTTCTACACATTCTTTAATTCTTTGCTGAACTATGTTTTGCATTATGCCATGCCTTTTATGGCTAGATTACCCCTGACCCACATTTCCGGCAGTATCTTATTACGGTAATAAGCAATGGTATAAAAATAGCTGTTGTAACATGGTTATATGGGCTATGTCCATCTAGAATCTCTCAGTTGCAAACAAACCGATAGACTAGTTGGCAGGAGATTGGGTTGGTTGTCTGGCCACTTGCACGACTCATCTAATATACGTAAATACATTACTGGTGGGGTGGAAATTTTCTTTACAACCGACTTATCCGCCCTATGAAATGCTGGTTTCATGGAGTCCCACCCTCTGTTGAACCCTGGATGACCAAGATGTGCTGTTTTGATTTACTAGGAAAATAAGGATGATGATTTATCACTTCTATCCCAACCGTGATGAATCTCTAGCTCATGACCCCGATCCCTCGGACTAGGACTCGCAATCCACTGAACAGAGGGTGTTCACTCTTGAAGGCCATAGTGGTCCCATTAGGCCGATTGCCTGGTCGATAGATGGAAGCCTGCTCGCATCAGTGTCTAATAATAAGACAGTCAGTATCTGTAGTCCGGGCTCCTGGTCAGTGTGTGTTGCCTCTTCATATCAACTCCCCTGACTTCCTTCAATTCGATAAGGTCAATTCTGATCATCTACGCACGAGGACGGGTACGCTTGATATAGGTTCAATTGCTTCTGTCACATTTATGCCTCATCGCATTATTTTATCGCCCAAACAATATGGATATGGCTTGAGTCATGACCTTTCCTGGATAACCTACAATGAAGTAAACCTCCTGTGGTTACCCACTGAGTTTAGACCACAAGGTTCTTCTCGATTTGCTATGTCAGCAACAAATTTGGCGACCGGCTGCTCATCAGGTCACGTCATATTTCTCACCCTCAGAGAAAGGGGCCCTGTTGAGTAGCCTTTATAATACCTCAAATTATACAGCCCTTTAGGTTTCGTTATTAATAGCTTTTACGATTCTGTATATATATTTCTAAAACTTAGGCCTATGTAATCTTTTTGTTACGTACAGCCAACTAGTCCCAGCTATGTTAGATAGAATAGGGAAGATACTTCTCTTATCGTCCTGCAGACTTCCAACCTCAACGATCTGTCTCTCAACCTTACCGTTGCCTAACCGATCTATCTGTCATCCAGATCACGTGCAACACCCATTACCCAGGTTGCCCTAGGTTATCAGGAAAAGAGAACCCCCAATCTGCTTATTGAGTAAGAGTATAATCCGAACTGATCAGGACCCACCGGCAGAGGTTTTCCGGTACATGTGGTAAACTAGGCGGACCAAGCTCTCAAAGCTACGAACGCTATGGGACCTTAGAGATCTAACGTTTTGTACGGCATGTGAATCAGTTATAACGAAAATAATCATCCCACCAGTACAGACGCGCTCGAAATCAGTTTCACCAATTTGTTCTCTTTGATTACTTTACAAACCTCTATTTTTATTGACGCTAAGCCTAATGTGACTAGAGCATATTAATTCTCCTTTTCCTATTTGACAGTCATAAATCAGCCAGGCCAGATGTAGGCTTAAGTGGGTCTGGCCAAGATTCAAGAAAGAATCATAGAGATTAAAATGGTGAAACTGATTTCGAGCGGACCTGTATCATCTCTGCGGATGCCTTTGCTCGTCCACGGTTTTGATGAGTGAACGTGGTTGACGGAAGGAGAGTTGAGAGGTGGCCAGACGACGACCGAATTTCCTGCCAACTATTCTGTTTGGTTTGTTTGCATGTGAGTCGTTCTATAGGGAATTCAAAATGTAATTTCAAATTTTCGATATACGGATACAGAGGGTTTATCACTAGGAACTAGATCTCGGGACTAGCTGGAGGTTCAAGGCAAACTCCTCTCCGAACATAAAGGGCGACTCTGCTCCTGACCATTGAGGAAATTCTTTCCATTCCCCCGAAGGCAAACAAACAAAAATACTCGACTATCTGAACAATTCAAGAAGATTCTACGAAGGTTTGTCAGGCCTTCGAATAGCACCTCTGGGAAGACTGTCATCATAGCGGCGAATTTCCACCTTGATATAATCGGGAGGAGGGATTTCTTTGAGCCTTTCTTGTAAAATGGCCGGCTTTCTGCTATAAGACAAAACGGTTCGAAGTGTTTTGGGGAGGCTCGTGTAGTCACGGCCGAAAAAAGAGAAAGTTGGCTCCCTTTCAAACGACAAGACACCCAGACGAATCATTGAAGGGGGAAATATGACATCAGCAGACAGGTCGGACTCGTGTGCTGTGAAGTTTTTCAGAGAGCTGAAAGCCCCAAGTGAGGGTGCTCCGAGAACTTCACTCTTAGAAGCAATGCAACTATCTTCAATGTTTAAAGTGAGCTCACAAAGATTCCGTCTGGATGGGTAAAGAGCTTCGACGATTGCCGCCAATTTTGACTTGCGGCTTAAGGGTAAGTGGTGCCATAAATCAACACCTTGGAGTTTGACAGTCACTAGATTTTTGAACCGTTTCAAAAGCCTGAGTATACTCTCGTGGTTTAATTGACATTTGCCAATCTCCACATCTTGCAGTTCGTCTGAGCGCCATTCGATGCCCAAGTGGCCACTAAAACCTCGAATAAAAGTAAACCGATTGAGACTGAAGATTGTTTGAAACACCTTCTGCACATTTAGATCCTCTCCGAAATCGCAAAAACCACAACTCTCGAGGAGTTTAGCCGTGCTTGAATGAATTGGAATTGATAAAGAGCGAAGGTTTGTAGCCCGAGACAAAATAGGACGGAGGCGCTTTGCAAGCTTTTCCACATCCTCTAGCTGTCCTAATTCAATATCAATATGGTCGATTCCCCACCCAGGGGAAGGATTCTCTAAAGCCTTTGCAAGTTTGGCTAATCGTTCCCACAGACCTCGTTGGCTGTATAGGTCCGAGATAAAAACTTTGGGTATAAGCGGCTGCACCCGATTTTGGAATGTGGTCGATACGGCACAAAGTTTTATAAGGGAGTCACGACTCAGATAACGGCAGATTATGTATAATAGCTCGAGTGGCAAGAGTTGAATCATATTCTTGACCGATGAAGACTATTGAATATAATATATCAGCCACGTCAGACAAAGGTGGTGTTGTGACTACTTACTGAGCTTCTCTGTCTTTTTTTCTCCTTAGACCCTCCTTGATTCTCACTTAGGCGTTTTTGGCGTCGGGTTTGCATTATATAGGTATTGGGGGGGTGAGGTGACGAAGATTTTCAGAGGTAGGGTAATGATATATAAGTACTAATGTCAAAAATGCACTAAAGGGGGTGGCTAAGTCAGCCTGATCCCTGCCGTCAGCTACAGTAAGTTCAGCCATTAAATAACTACGTGCTCGAAATCAGTTTCACCTCCTTTCTCTCTTTAATTCTTTCTTGAACTCTATTTTGCGTGACGCCATCCCTTATATAGTTAGTCTACCCCTGGCTCACGTTCTTGGCAGTACCTCAGTACAGTAATAGATAATAGCCCAAAAATAGCTGTCGTGTTACGAGTGTCTAGGCTCTGCCCGGTCTAGAGCAACTCACGTGCAAACCTACTATTGGAATCAGCCATAAGCACATATATGTAACTTGTAGATAATTAAGAAATCATTCATGAGATACATAGTGAGCATTTCAGATGACATTCAGCGCGCCTCCTCTTAAGCTATCTTTTGATCCTTGAGTTTCTTCGCAGCCACCTGCTGTGCCTTTGCGTGGGCTTTCTTTTTATCCTTAAGTCTTTCGCAGCCGCCTGCTGTGCCTTTGCGCGGGCTCTCTTTTTATCCTTGAGCTTCCTCATGGCCTCCAACTGTGCCTTTGTGCGGGATTTCCTTTGTTCTTTGACATTACCCCCTGCTTTGAACTTTCGGTGGGCTGTTCAGCTTTGGTAATTTCAGCTGAAATCATGACTGAAGTAGCCACTGCTGTTTCCTTTGTTGCATTTTTCTCATTCCACATTTTGTCAAGAAGTAAGCATAACAGGTCAAATAATATCAATATGGGTAACCAGCTCATAATGAGCAGGAATACCATTAGTAGTAAAACACCATGAGTAGGTTTGATGAAGGCAACCTAGATAATATCATAAGTGATACAAAGTCTGGAATAGCGAACCTTATGTCATTCGAGTCGTTCAAACTTCTCAGTAGAATAGACGTGCTGTTCTGAGAAGGCCAACGGGCTCTTCAATTTCATTTTGTCCTTGCTGTGTCCTACTTGTCTCCACTTCATCTCGCAAGGCCTTGATCCGAATTGTTCCACCCATTTGTCACTTCTGTCATTCGGCCATAGCTCATATAGAAATTCATTACTTTCCTTGATCGTAGGATGCGCTATATTGATTCTCTGAACAGCGTTTTGATGGAGTAAGCCCCGAACTATGGGCTCTTCAATGAGTTGGTAATAAGATAGACCCAACGGATGAAATCGCTCTGGTGGTGGAGGTGAAAGCAGCGTAACCTTTTCACCTTGGGCTATGCGCCAAGCAAAGATCGCGGAAGCACCATGGACATAGTTACTCCATTGCCGAGAGTTCTTTCTCAATCTCAAGCAATCTGGGTGTTTCACATCTATGAGCCGCCCCATTGCTGTGGTTAAAGTCTGAAGTCGATGCTTGTCAGCCCATTCTTGGACTTTTTCGCGAGTGATTCTACTCCAAAGTACTTGGCCATTTGGAATCCAGTCATTTGTTTGAAACTGTTCAAGAATTTGGGCCGCTTCCTGGATAGATAGGTATTGTCTCAATATTCTGACAAGAGGCGCTTGAGCTGACTGTTGGTCCGAAAGCGATTGAATTAACTTTCACAATCCATCAGCCCGGTTGAAAAGGAAATGAAAGAACGCAAACCCCTTTCCCTTCTTCAGGGGTTGGAAAGTTTGCCAGAAGAGATAGTAGTATAATACTGATACTATTCTGTACGCGCCGGACGGACTCGGGAAGGTCTGCCTTGTCACCTAAGCAAGATTTAGCAACGTCATGACTTTGGCTGCCTTTTGTCTAGATCCATGGGTTTCATCTTCTGCAAGAACTACGGTGGCGATTCATGGGTTGTCGAAGACCTCGCATAGAACATGGACGGTAGTATATATCAAATGATCATCCTGACGTAGAAGCCAATCTTCTTGACTCGAAGGCTATATTTATATTAGCCCAGAGAGAGCAATACTCTTTTCGCCCGCCCTGACTAGAATCGGATGCACAAAACAAGCTTTATAATACATTTCTATAACCCTTGGATGGAAACATTCTGATCAAATTGATAAGCCCTGGTTAATATGTTAACTGTAATATTGATGTTACAAGACATTTCATCTTACTGTACCTGACTCAGCCAAATAATGACTAGTTAGCGTGTTTCAGAAAAGGTGAAGCTGATTTCGATCGCGCCTGTACCATCACTAATAATGCCTGGATTTACGAGCTATTCTCCTCAATGAGACGAATTACGTTGTCGTTGATATAATTTTGTTCGGCCTCTTCATCAGTGTCATACCATCCACCGAGCTCTGGGCACCAATGTGATACTTCTTCGATTTCAGAAAAGGGCTCGCTTTCTATTAAACCACTCAGCTGAACATGTCTGGCTGTATACTATGAGCGAGATATCAAAGTCGCATACCATTGTCAATCTGGAACCTGGAAATCAGGCTCAGACAAAGAAACCTCTGAGTGGTGCTCATAGATAGTGCTTACATACTGGCCGGCCACACAAGCCTGCATATCAAAGACTGTCCGTTTTTTCACCACCAGCAACCTCAACATTGGTTCCTCGTCATAAACTGCATCGGCATCTCCTCTTGCTTTCATGCACTGCCTACCGCATGCTCCAGGTTGTCCCCTGTGCACATATATCCCCCGAGGGCACACATACACCCTTTTAGTTCCCCATTCAGGGTAGTACTCCACGCTTGTATCCGTGGACAGTGTTGTAGGACATGGAGTTCCTTCATCTTCTTCGATGAAACACTCCACAGATAGCGCATAGAGATACTTTTTGTTTTCAAGCCATTCTTGGAGTCGAGCAATTTGGAAATACTTTGCCTCTTCAAGAAGGGCTAGATACAACGCGTGGTCATGTCCTTTGCTGATATCGTAAAATATCGGAAGCACCCTACGCCGAAGATAACGTAGGATATGTTCAAATAGAGTCGGATCTGCATCAATGAAGTAAGAACCGTCGGTCAGTGCATCGTCCCACCGCCCAGACAACAGGGAGGCGAAGAAGTTGCTCTCAGGTACTAGTGTTTGAAGAGTAGTGACAAATCGGCGCTCCCCCACCTGCAGAGTTATCTGTCTGGCTTGGGTGCGAGGTGGATTTTGGGCCGTGCCTTCATCGTTGGACATGTTGAAGAAAGTTATTGAACCTTGATTCAGCAATTGATAAACAAATGCCATGCAAAGACTGCAACGACTGCAACAGTCGTTCCACCGTTGCTTAAATAGTGATTGACGGACCACGAAAGATAAATCGCCAAAAGAGCAATGCCATCATCATGAAGTAATACACAAAATGACGCAATGAATACTGTATAACCTAACGGAGTGTAAATAACTCTTGAGAGACTGTTGTAAAATGCGTGCAGATTGACCCGGATCGCCATAAATGCAAAGTGGAGGCTCTCAGAAGCGATATATATATCCCTTGTCGGTATCCAATTTTCTACCGTTCGAATTATCGGCCTTTTATTAATCCGTTACCGAGGCTCTTGACCGCTCAACCTCCTACCAAAGTCATATAAAGAGGCACGATTTATCAAGTGACGCTAGGAAGCAAAGATTGGTCGTTTTGGTTCGGGCCTCCTCAATTCGTCGAAAACACAATAGGCCTAGTTTTCTCCATTGGGGGATTTTGCTGTCAATATTGGAGTGGTGACTCGGGTAGTATCAATCGTATGATTATTTCCGTTATATTACATAGTGCCTCATCATGTGACTTGAGGTTACAATACGTTTCGATACTCTGAAATGACCTAAACCGAACACAGACTAGCGTGTTTCATCATAAAGTTTGGGAAAGAACCGAAGAGTATAAAGTGGTGAAACTGATTTCGAGCGCGTCTGTAGTCCTTTTTGTTCCCATTTTTGGTGGTTTACAGGGACGCCATGCCTCCTAGGAGTGATTGACTCTATCGTAACTGCGGGATCCTTGGGATCTTTGGAGCAAACATCCTTGCTTGCTATGATATTGAGATTTTACATTTTAGAAGTATTGTACCATTGATGTAAGCTCCAATGTCCCTCTCACCGCCAGGTTGGACGTGGTGATAGAAATGCATGGGATGGACAGTCTACAGACTGTATTTACTACAAAATTGAGTGGAAGGTTAAGTTGAACAACCGAGTTTGGGTGAAAGATACGAAACAAGACTTGACACTGCGTCCCAGCTCTTACTGGGAAGAGATAAAACGGACTCTAGTAAAATTATACGACGGAAGATAGCCCGCACCCGGCAGGTGAGACTTGATGATACTGTTATGGTATTATCGGTCAACTCCCAACGGAATATTGATAAACATTTCGAGGGTAATAGTGTTGATTGGCAGGATGTGGAGAAACAGCTACTAGTGTGAACCCGTCTTTTTCATCGCGGCAAGACGACCCGGCTTCAGATAGCTATCAACTATATAGATGACAGCGTGTCGCTTCCTTCCAGCACTGACAAGAGAGGAAGATCATCCGTGACTAAGCGAATGCTCGCCGAACGAGACCCTCAGATTGACGCCGAGCATGCCTCTGGCCATGACTCAGTATGGAGAGATGTATACCCTATCATGCGATGCCCTGGGCCTCCGTGCCGCCATGAAGGGCAATATTGCTGGCAAGACCCAGAGGGCAAGAAGCATTATATATTAAGGACGCAACATTTAAAGGAGCTCAGACATGTGGAGGAGGGAGGACTTCTCGGTACCCATGATGATGTTCCCGACACCTTTCGTCAGCAGCTTTATGAGGATGAACATAAGTGACTCGAAAAGAAAAAAAGCTCGAATAACTCTTCAAACCATTCTACGTGTCCTCCGATCAACATCAACAACAATATTCTACAGGCGGAGTCATCGCAAATGCCATTGTCTACTTTGCCTGTCCATGACGCTGTGCTCGCCAAGCCTGACTCTATTGAACCAATCACGGTCCACGGCTTCCTTGACGGGATCAATATACGGAATGGGAGCAATAAAGCATACGATTTGACCCTTGAGAACTGTCTCGACGTCATGCAGATTTATGAAGACCAAGACCCAAGCTTCTTCGTTACACACGGTGTGAAGATAGGAGCTGCTCGAAGGTTTGTAGGTGATATCGGCCTCCGGGTGAAAACTGGTGGAGAAATCAATTACAGTACGTCCCATAACTGGTGTCACCACCTACACTCTTCGATTGTTTCTCGAACCCTTATGCCAAGATATACTATACCCGGTTGGGAATAGTCCCGGAATATCAGTATTCCAGTAATAGTACCTATACAGTATCGTACCCTCAAGGATACATGACTTTACGAATCGGCTTGTATGGAAAAGCTGGAACTTTCCATTGGCATGCAAACAAGTCAAACATAACAAGGTTGGAAGATAATCTGGAAAAGTGTCTTCCCTTCGCGACGACGTCTCAGCCATTCCCTTATGCTTCGCCACAAGAACACAGCCCCGTTGGGCCGTCACTCTTCCGTCCTTGTTCTGGACAAGTCAGTTACATGCAGGCAGCAAGATGGCCTGGCAATGTGGGAGGTAATCTCTTGGCATTGACCACGCCCAATCATGTCGCCCAGCCAGCTAGAGACCTCCGCATGCAAGCGCCCAGTTCAAGGCCTCACGAGGACCTGTTGATTTTACCTGACCTCGTCCTTTTCAGCTTTCCACTGTCCTTCTACAGTGGGATGCAAATCCGTCTAGAGGGTGTTAGGCCATAGCGACTGTCCTGCATAGCAACGAAGAAGGTTGCGACCTTTGACGGACAGTGATACACCCGGCTATCTGGCAGTTTCGTGCGCTTCCTTTCGCATCATGGCATCCCCGAGCACCCTAGATAGCCCCGACTACTATGAAATTGCCTGGATCGCTGCTCTTCACATCGAGAGGGCCGCTGCAGAAGCGATGTTAGATGAGGAACATGCAGCTCCAACCGGCTTCACTAGACACCAAACCGACGCGAACGTTTACACGTGGGGTCGAGTGGGAGATCATAACATTGTCATCGCCTCCCTAGCTTCTGGAGTCTACGGAACCACCTCGGCTGCGACCACGGCCTCGAGCCTGCTTGCCTCTTTGCCATCCATTCGTATTGGTCTTTTGGTCGGCATAGGCGGTGGCATTGCTCGACCGGACGAGGATCACGATATCCGGCTAGGTGATGTTGTCGTGAGCCAGCCCTCTGGGACAATGGGCGGGGTTTGCCAGTATGACTTGATCAAGGCAAAGTCTGGTGACAAGCGTGAGCGCAAAGGCTTCCTCGGACGGCCTCCGACGGTCCTCCTCAATGCGCTTAGCAGAATCCAGGCCTACCACGAACGGAAGGACTCCAAGGTTCCCTGCTTCCTTCAAGAAATGCTAGAGAAGAACCCGAAGATGGGCAAGAGATCCAAGCAAAATCCTGGATATATTCACCAGGGCTTCGAAAACGATCGCCTCTTCAAAGCTTCATGCGACCACACCCCCAGCCCGGACTGTCGGGACTGCGACACGGCTGATGAAGTTCAACGCGATACTCGAGATCATATAGATCCCAATATCCACTATGGGACGATCGCATCCGGCAACACACTCGTTAAAGACGCTACTGCTCGCGATCGTGTTGTTGATGACATCGGCGAGGATTGTATCTGCTTTGAGATGGAAGCGGCCGGCCTGATGAACCACTTTCCCTGTCTTGTGATCCGAGGGATCTGCGACTACGCCGATGCTCATAAGAACGATCGATGGCAACGCTATGCCTCGGCGACCGCCGCTGCGTATACCAAGGAGCTTCTGGCGTACGTGCCAGCTTCAGAGGTCAAAGAAACCAAGAGGGCACTGGAAGTGCTTCAGTTAGGTTAGTTCTTGTTTCGATTACTAGCTTGATTAGCAAATATACAAGATCGTATTACATTTGAAATTTGTATATGTCCTGATTGCGAGCAGTTCAACGACAGATTGATAGCGTGCAGCAGACGACATTTGCAACTAAAGCTGCAACTGATTCTATCGGGTCTGGTCTTCGCACCGATAGGATCAGGCGCTGGCTATGTCCCCCGGATCCGTCTACAAATGTCAACCACGCAAGGACGCTCCGCCATGAGGGGACAGGCGCGTGGCTCCTAGAAAACCCCGTCTTCAAGTCGTGGTACTCAGGGACACGTCGACATTTGTGGCTGCATGGGCTTGCGGGATGTGGGAAGACGGTCCTCAGTACGACCGTGCTTGATCATCTCGCGAATGGAAACGATGGTCTAATCCTTAGCTTTTTCTTTGACTTCAGCGACTCCACAAAGCAGACATGGGATGGCATGCTACGGTCGCTCGCTTTCCAACTTTACCAAGGCGGGGTCGGCTCTGCTACTTATCTTGATGCTCTATTTGAAGCACACCAGATTGGCAGCGGCCAACCTACGACAGAAGCACTCTCGGATATTGTTTGCAAGATGCTCGCAGCCCAGAGAAAGGTGTCTATCGTTCTAGACGCATTGGATGAATCAAAAACAAGGGATGATGTCATCCTGTGGATCAAGGAGGTAATATCTAGGCCGGATTTGTTCCACACCCAGTTACTTTGTACCAGTCGACCCGAGTCCGAGTTTCAAAGTTATATTCCCCCTTTAATAGGACAGGAAAACTGCCTACCACTTGAGAAGCCGGCTGTCAACTCTGATATCAGATCGTGGGTAACAGCACAGCTTTCTCAACGACGAGATTTTGCAGAGAAGCCTTTGTCCGAGAATATTCTTGAAAGGATCCGGACGAAGGTTGGCGACGGGGCCGACGGGATGTGAGATATTACTACATGGGTCAATATGCTTATGGTTTACTGACACCCTCCTTAGGTTCAGGTGGGCGTTCTGTCAATTGGACAGCCTGGCTCGATGTCGTCACGAGGCAGCTATGGAGAAGGCTCTCGTATCCTTGCCGCTAAATCTTAATGAAACATATCGGCGCATGATTGCAAGCATACCGACAGAGCTAAAAAGTGACGCGATACGCCTACTACAATTCCTAGTGCACTCTAAGCGACCTATCACGCTAGCCGAGGCTAGAGAAGTAATAGCAACGCAGATCGAGATTGAGCCGCGAGGGTTTGACATCAAGCGTCGACTATTTTGCGAGATTGATATTATAGATTACTGTCCCAGCTTAGTGACAGTCGTTCACGCCACTAGGAAAGAGCTACATCTTGCCCACTTTTCCGTCAAAGAGTACCTTCTCGGTAAGAATGAATTCGAGATCACGACTGCCAGTATTTCAATCATAAGGACATGCTTGACTTATCTTACGGATATTACGGGTAGCAACAGAGAGATTGAACGTGATTTTCCGATGGCAGGGTGTGCGGCGGAACTTTTCGCAAGCCATGGTTCGTCGGCCCAGGCTTCCGAAGATGTAGTTTGGATGACAGTCAGATTCCTAGAAAAGGAAGCAACATTCCAACGTTGGGCTCGTCTGTATCAGGCTCATAGGAGTTCGTACAGTAATCCTGGTCCTCCGCGAGGATCCAGGCTCTACTATGCTTGATGTATTGGGCTCGCAGCGTCAGCACGAGAGCTTATTGGTAAAGGAGAGGATGTCAACACGCAGGGTGGCTACTACGGCAACGCTCTCCAAGCCGCCTCCTACAAATGCGATCAAGAGATTGTGAAACTTCTCTTAGACAAAGGAGCCGATGTCAACGCGCAGGGTGGCTACTACGGCAACGCTCTCCAAGCCGCCTCCTTCAAATGCGATCAAGAGATTGTGAAACTTCTCTTAGACAAAGGAGCCGATGTCAACGCGCAGGGTGGCCGCTACGGCGACGCTCTCCAGGCCGCCTCCTTCGAAGGCGACCAAGAGATTGTCAAACTTCTCTTATACAAAGGAGCGGATGTCAACGCGCAGGGTGGCCACTACGGCAACGCTCTCCAGGCCGCCTCATGGAGAGGCGATCAAGAAATAGTCAAACTGCTCTTGGACAAGGGAGCGGATGCCAACGCGCGGGGCGGCGAATTCGGCAACGCCCTCCAGGCCGCCTCAAACAAAGGTCATCAAATGGTCGTTACACTACTATTAGACAAGGGAGCGGATGTCAACGCGCGGGGCGGCTACTACGGCAACGCTCTCCAGGCCGCTTCAGAGAGAGGCCATCAAAAGGTTGTCACACTACTCTTGGACAAGGGAGCGGATGTTAACACGCAGGGCGGCGGCTACTGCAACGCTCTCCAGGCCGCCTCGGCATGGGGCCACCAAGGGACTATCACGCTACTCTTAGACAGGGGAGCGGACGTCAACGCAGAGGGCGGCTTTTACGGCAACGCTCTCCACTCCGCCTCCTTAGAAGGCCATGAAGAGACTGTCACACTACTCTTAGACAGGGGAGCGGATATCAACGCGCCGGGTGGCCGCTCCGGCAACGCTCTCCAGGCCGCTTCAGTGAGAGGCCATCAAGATATTGTCACACTACTCTTGGACAAGGGAGCGGATGTCAACACGGAGGGCGGTGAGTACGGCAACGCTCTTCAGGGCGCCTCAAACAACGGCCATCAAATGGTCGTTACACTACTATTAGACAAGGGAGCGGATATCAACGCGCCGGGTGGCCGCTACGGCAACGCTCTCCAGGCCGCTTCAGAGAGAGGCCATCAAGATATTGTCACAATACTCTTGGACAAGGGAGCGGATGTTAACACGCAGGGCGGCTGCTACGGCAACGCTCTCCAGGCCGCCTCCTTCGAAGGCGACCAAGAGATTGTCAAACTTCTCGCAGACAAAGGAGCAGATGTCAACGCGCAGGGTGGCTACTTCGGCAACGCTCTCCAGTCCGCCTCCTTAAAAGGTCATGAAGAGATTGTCAAAATTCTCTTAGACAAAGGAGCGGATGTCAACGCGCAGGGTGGCGAGTACGGCAATGCTCTCCAGTCCGCCTCCTTACAAGGCCATGAAGAGATTGTCACACTACTCTTAGATAAGGGAGCGGATATCAACGCGCCAGGTGGCCGCTACGGCGACGCTCTCCAGGCCGCCTCCTTAAAGGGCGATCAAGAGATTGTCAAACTTCTCTTAGACAATGGAGCGGATGTCAACGCGCAGGGTGGCCACTACGGCGACGCTCTCCAGGCCGCCTCCTTCGAAGGCGACCAAGAAATAGTAAAACTTCTCTTATACAATGGAGCGGATGTCAACGCGCAGGGTGGGCGCTTCGGCAACGCTCTCCAGGCCGCCTCTGAGAGAGGCCATGAAGAGATTGTCAAACTTCTCTTAGACAAAGGAGCGGATGTCAACGCGCAGGGTGGGCGCTTCGGCAACGCTCTCCAGGCCGCCTCGTTATGGGGCCATCAAGAGACTATCACGCTACTTTTAGACGGGGGAGCGGATGTCAACGCGCAGGGTGGCGAGTATGGCAACGCTCTCCAGGCCGGCTCCTTAAAAGGCCATAAAGAGATTGTCAAACTTCTCTTGGACAATGGAGCGGATATCAACGCGCAGGCTGCCAACTACGGCAACGCTCTCCAGGCCGCCTCATGGAGAGGCGATCAAGAAACAGTCAAACTTCTCGTAGACAAAGGAGCGGATGTCAACGCGCAGGGTGGCCGCTTCGGCAACGCTCTCCAGGCCGCCTCCTTAAAGGGCGATCAAGAGATTGTCAAACTTCTCTTAGACGAAGGAGCGGATGTCAACACGCAGGGTGGCTACTTCGGCAACGCTCTTCAGGCCGCCTCATTGAGAGGCGATCAACAGATTGTCAAACTTTTCTTATACAAGGGAGCCGATGTCAACGTGCAGGGTGGCTACTACGGCAACGCTCTCCAGGCCGCCTCAGGAAACGGCCATCAACAGATTGTTAAACTTCTCTTAGACAACGCAGCGAATATCAACGCGCAGGGCGGCAAATACGGCAACGCTCTTCAGGCCGCCGTGGTTGAAGGCCACCAAGACATTACTGATATGCTCCAAAGAAGGAGCGGTATGGCACTGTCTTCAAAGCGGTCCAACTCTAGGACACCAACCAACCCGGCGAAACCTCGTTTGATGGAATTTGAACTTTCCGATTAAGTTCTATAATTCGTCCAGTAGCCTACATTATGGTGTCCGCCCTTTGAGTAGCGTCAGGCCTGCCTCATCAATCTTCTTCGCGGATTCGAAGTGGCCAGCGAAAATCATGACAACCCGCCAAAACCTGATGCGTCTTGGCAGCGGGTTATATTTAGCTCAGATCGCATGACAACTCCACATTTATATAAAATAAATACCTTTTTTGAGCCGTAACAAGCGCTCTCTGCCCGCCTACCACTGCCGGCGTAGGAGAAAATAGAGTGATTGTATTAGATCGGTATTGATACCTTTGAGCAGTAGCAGCAGCACACTGAGAGTGGTGCTAGTGCTGGGCAAGGCGGTGCAGGTGGATAATCTCGTTCTTTAAAGCCCTTTAGTAAGCGCTATCCTACTGCGGCCACTGGTGATTAATTAGATATTCGCGCGCACCGAGGGACGATGATTTTCGAATTGGGGTATCGAGGTATCAGCCGTATCGAGACTACAAGTGGATACACCCACGTGCGCCCTGGTTATTCTGTGTCCGAAACAATACAGGCCCCACTCACAGGGATAGCCCGGAAAAACTATAAATATAGACTAGGTGCCTTGGCAATCAGGGTTCGAGAAACAATCGAAGAGTGTAGGTGGTGACACCAGTTACGGGACGTACTGTACCTCGAATACTTGTAATTAGAAGTCATGAATAGAGGACAGTACAATGGCCTTATTTCTGCTTGGTTTCACACTAGCCCCTCCTACTAGTATAATCCAAATCGAGTATCGGATATGTCTAAGATGAGTATAATATTCCGCAATGAATCACGCTTTTGAGAAGTAGATAATAATTTTGTACTGAATATTCAGAAACGAACATTTAGTCTTACTCTAAATACTGTCTTCGGTTCCTAGAGGGCCCTTTAATTTCTTGAATTGTCCAGATTGGTCAGTGCCAAAGTCAAGAGAGTTTTGAGTTCGCTTCGTGATTCTGCGCATAATCTCATATTTTGCCTCCGCTGATGGGTAGCCAGGGCCCACTACTTTGGTATCCTCTCTAACGTTTCGTGACCTCTCCTCCAAAAGCGGAGTGACACATGAGTCTGCTGGGTCTGAATTAGATTCTGGTGTCTTGCAACTTTCGAGATATTGTGCAGCTAAAATACTGTCCATGGAAACGACAGTTGCAAGAGATTTCCGATCCTCAAGTATGCTTATGTGAGGAGTAGTTTGTTCATCCTGACCAACACCAATCTCAATGTCAACTGAATTTGGCGACTTAGCACTATCATATAAATCAATAGATTTAGGAAGTTTTGATCCCGACAATGATGTCTTCATCGATTCTCCCAGTACTTCATCATCTGGAAACTCGACCACAACGCCACCGGTGGCTATAATCGGGCTACTTAGGTGGGAGTTGTGTAGTGGCGGAAATCCAAATATTGCATCTTTCTTGTACCTTGCCACCATCGGCAAATAGGCTTTCTGGGCTGTAGAAGAGAAGATGGCCGACCTTTGCCTTTGCGGGATGCGTTGGCGCGGACATGCGCACACTATCGCGTCTTCATGGAAGAGGAGTCTATGTACCTCCGAAAGGCAGTCTACGGAATGCAGAATGGCAATATATTCCACTGACGAGCCATAAAATTGTGAAAAGGCATGACTATGCCCGTCGTCCCATAGAACCTGGATCGAAGAGTCCTCATTTTCAACAACTCTCACATGCCGAGGCATATCGTGAAGCTTCTGCTGGACCATTTGTGGGGATAGATAAAGAGACTTATTTGGCTTTGACTCACCGTAAATGATCCACTCCACGGAAGGGTTAATTAATCCCACTGCACGATGGTAAATTTCATGAACAATGTGCTCACAAAAGAAGGAATCGCTCTCGATTTGAGGGCTCAATCGCACTGGACAGTCACTATCAAGATGCGCTCTCTCAGTATACAGCCACTTTTCATGGATATATAGTGTGTTTTTGTTCTTGGAAAAGGCGATATCGGTTTCTTCATCCCCGGCACGCACATAAAGCACAGTAACATTTCTAGTAATAGAAGTCGCCACGAGCAAAGCCCGAAGGGCTCGGTCGAATTCCTGTGCAAACCGCATACTAGGTATCTGGATTACTTCAAATTCTTCTAATCGTCGCTGTAGCTCTTCATCAGGTGTGAGAATCAAGTTATGCTTTCGTAGTATTCTCCACAAAACTAGCGAGAGAGTCTGTGGCTGGAGTTTGAGATATTTCGTGATTGTCTCTAGGCTCTTGAGTTGGTGTTAGAATCTTATAAGTATGCTCTATATTGGGTAGCACTCACTTTGCGTCCGCTGTTCTCGTAATGATAGAATCCGGCGGTCTTTTGGGAGTCTTCTTTCAGTTTCGCCCAAATAATTCTTGCCACAATTTCCGTCACCAAGTCTTCAGCATTTTGGACGTCCATTCGTGTGGGATGATTTCGGAGAAAATCAATATAAAGTAAGAGAGCGCCTTCATTGCCTTTTCGGATGGCACTTTCCCAAATCTCGGCAATTAATTTTGACCTCCTCTCAGGTTCAATCAATCGACCAGAGCTCCAACCAGGGCTTTCAGTAGCAAGGTTGTAGCCGACATGAAGGCCACTCCCATTATTCTCACCTGGGCTGAATTCGATTCCTTTGAAATAGAGATGTCCGGCAAATCTCTCGTCTAGGATTAAGTCGCCCTTAAGAGTACGAATAAGGCCTATTGGGGGATTGACATCAATAGTAGCCCGCATCCAGCTCCAGAAGATGTCTCTTGTCAGTCTGCTCTCATCACGACTATTGTGCTTGCCTCCTTTTGTGATGAATACAGAAACATCCTTCCAGATCTTGGCTGTCAGCTGATGGGAGATACGACACTGTAGGTCTCTCTCAAGGCGCACCATGAGACGTTTGATTTTCCCCTTGCTCGCCGGTGTGACCTGGCAATAGAAATTATGGTTGAGCTTGCCCCTGAATCCAAAGTTCCAATAGGAGTTGTTTGAGCATATCTTTACATTGAAATCCTCACGACATAAAGCGAGAGCTGCCACTTTGAGCCCTTTGCCATAAGCTCCTGATAAACGATCATCATTGTTCTTTGTCGTATACCCTATTTCTAAACACCTTGAATCAAGCCTTGCATTAAAGTTAGTCAGTTCGACGCTTCCTTCCGATTTCTTAAATCGGATATATCCAGCCAGTTCTTCATATATTAGCGAAGCATGTCCATTATTTGCCTTTGGAACTAAAACAAGAATGGCCTCATCTGTCTCTGTCACATGAGGGCAGAACCCAAGGAGAGAGATTCCATGGACCTGAAGAATAGAATCTTTCCTGCAAGAACCGGTAAGTAAATATCACATTTAGTGATTCTCATAGATTTATGAACCAATTTTGATAAAGCTCTTTGAAAGCATCGTACGAAGTACAATTCGGCGCGTATAATCGGGTGAAACCAATTGGTTGGATTGACGGATCCAGAACACCGGTGCTATCAGTAGGAGTTTTCTGTTGTGTATCCATCTCAATTATTCCAAAGTTTGATGAAGTAAAGTATGAATTTGATGAAAAAGGTTATTAGGAGGACTTCTTTGGTTTGGCTTACCCTTTATATATGAATTAATCAAGACATTTGTAGTAAGTAACTGGTGGCATGTGACCAGTAAGGCTCAAACTGAATCCAGCCTATAACCTATCCCCGGATAAAGAAATTGACCCAGCGTTGCGGTGGGTGTTCTATACGCAACTAAAATTTTCTTTCTCAACATCAGCACTGTGTTGTTTATGTCGAGCCTTTTGGTAGAATCAACGTGCGCCATCGATAAAAGAAATTCCATTTGATGGACCAAGTGTATTGTTACCGAAAATGGAGCCGAACATATTCTTAGGTTTAGGATAAGACTGTTGACCTTAGGCTTTTGATGGGGATGTATGAACTGGTGATGTCTTCATCTAATCATAACCAGTAGCGTTATTTGTTGCACTAAAAATCAGTTATGAAGCTTTAAACTATTTGGATAAGAAAGGTCGTGTTTAAGATGTTTGTCTTGGAACTGGGTTCGGTAAAAGAAAGATGCCGAGGGTTTAATTACATCAGAATAGAAGATGCCTTGGATAATATCTCAGAAAATAAAGTGGTCGGTCTTTTCTCCTGCATTCCCTAATGTGGTCCCAAGGTCCGTCTCAAGAAAGGATAGACGGCTGTCACACATGAGTATACAAATATCCAAGTTGGAGACACCGCAAACTATACTTATTGTCGCTTTCTGGCCTTGATTTGATGCTACAGAATCTTCATCTCCACCAATCTTAATTCACGCAGATTGCTATGGATACAGAACCCCTCTGCCGCGTTCCAGTTGCGCTGAATAGCATTCGAGAGCTCTCGGAAGAGGAAAATAGCATCAATATTCAATTGACTGATGACGAAGATGAATCGTCGTGTTCAGAAACCGAGTCTGACAAAGCATTCGTTGTCCCGGATAATATCCAATTAGTGAATCCGGAACATGATTCTGATTATGAACCTCCTGATTGCGATTACGAGCAATCCACGCAGACTTTCGACGAAAGCGAGGTCAGTGATCCATTGAAGCCTAAAGATATATCATTAATATCAACCAAGGATGGTACCCTCAATCCAGAGATATTGGATAGAAGAAAGGTTTACCGACGACGACACTCAGTTACTCAATATCAGATCAAGATATGGGTCGATGGAGAACACATCGGATTTTTGTTTGACTGGATGCGAGCTTTTCAGGAAGCGGATAATGAGAGCACAACTTAGGCAAATGAACCCAAATCTGTGGAATGTTGATAACTTGAATATCACAGGATAGTTTTAGTAGTGTTGGAGGACCCGCGTCGTTCATGATATTGTGTTGTACCTCACGCAGCTGCAGCTCCACATCAATATAACCATGAAGAAAGAAAGAGCCACAGGCCAACAAAGCGAGAGCTCTCTTGATATCCGGGGTTGTCGATAACATCTGATATTCGCCAGGCTACAGATTAAAGACTATGCCTGTCTTAGTAAGCTGATAACTTATTGTATATTGTATTAATAATTGTATATTATTGCCTGCTTTTAGAAAGCGCGAAATAATTAGTACAATGAATCCAATACAACAACGTTAATCTGGGCAATCTTTGCCTTGGTCGCTAATATGGTAACTGTAAATATATCCCGTATAACCGCTACGGATTCCCCCTTTCGTCATTCATCCAGAAGCAGTTGCTCATTGGAACAAATATCTTATGAGTCACTAGCATAGCATAAATCGCTGTGTGCAGACCGTACGCACTAACTGGTATATAGAAACCCTACGCTATGGAGTGGCATACCCTAAGTCATCAGAATGATCTTACGGCGGCACGCTGCTTAGCCTGTGACATACAGGATGATTCGAAAACAGATTACCCCTCAGACACGTACGTTTTCTTTCACAGTGGCACACCCTAATCGCGCCAAGCTACAATTGGTCATATAAAATTTTCACACGAAACTTGAACTGCTACCCAACTGTTCAGACCACGAAATGGTCTCTAGGTCTACATGTACGGAGACAGTGGTACAGTATGTATGGATGAATGGATGGATGTGGTGATTACGCTAATCCTTTCCCTTTGGGCTATATGCAGTCTATCACTATGATGAATGTAAGCATTGCAAAAGGTGGCCACGCATGGAACGGAAGTATAATATTTGCTATGTGTTGCATTGTGTGTACGACAGAACCTTTCTGTCAGAATATGAGGGGAATCTCTTAGGACGAGCCTGACCTTCCAATTCTTCTCCCAGCATAATGATACGCTGAAGATTAGTTATATCCTCAGGGGTTGACGATGGTTTGAAAGGGTATGTTACTAAGCATCAAGATCATTGGTAAAGGTACATGTACGAATAACCGCTCAAAATATCCAAATCGGCAGTGAGAATAATGTACTGCACGAGGCTTTCCAGATAGGAACGCAGGTGTTTACATGTACTAGATTCCCACACTTGCGATGAATGATAGTAGACCACGGAAGTTCCAATTCAGTGGAGCATCCTGACTAAGTCTCACCGCTGCGCCCAAAGCGCCTTGGTCTTCCAAGGGTCTATGCTGGTTGCTGGTTGCTTCTCGCATGCAGCGTTTAGAGGTCTCTTGCGCCTCACAAGAAGCAGCGAGACCTTCATCTTGCTGTTGCGCTTGACGAGAAATTATGGGCTTGCTACTTTCTTTCGCTGTCCACTTGGCAATGTAATCTGCAGGGGTTTTCCGGGTAATAGGCAAGCCCTGGATCCTCTGGAAAGATATGTGAGCGGTGAAACGCAGTTCTTAATCCTGTCACATACAGCACCGATCTCCTTTGGCCACACTGCATCTTCCTCAGTAGTAAAGGTATAGATTCGCCTGCTTGGCATTCGCATTGCCATCCATATGTCAATTTTATAACGGCCATTAAACTCCGTCAATCTCTTGAAGAGATTGTGCCGTCGTTTCCGTATTAGTTCTTGTTCCCTCCGACGGTTCAATAGTGGTAGTGTTGTTTTGACGTGCTGTCTCGACATTTTAGTGATGCATAAGTCGGTGTCGAATTGCATTCGACTTGCAAGTTCTTATACTTCAGTTCCATTGCTGGAAATCCAGGCCAAGGAGGCAATATGCGAGTGATGGCTGGAGACCATTCTTGCAAAAGGTAGCTTAGAACACATATGATACGTAAGCACTTCCATCCATTCAAGCGTTCATTCAACGTGGTGATGATGTCTTAGCCAGAACAACCCCGTTTATCTGTCTCTGATACATTTTTGGCTAGTTTTCCCGCCCATGAATGCAAATAGATTAGTTACCTAAAATTTCCTGCTGCAGGCCAAAACACAGCGGCCAGTCGCCGCTGAACGAGAATTAAGTGTACTAGATCCGAATTCCTCTCGTTGAACTTATTGGGGTGAGTTAGCGTTTGAATGTAAGCGGGCCATAAACTAACACCAGGCTTTGTTGAACTCTCTTGTGCTTGTTTCTGAACTGGAGTATATAAAAGAAGGACAGATTAATTTGATGTTCATGGATAGTAGATAGTTGACTTGTGGCAGTTCAATGTTCAACACGGTCAGTTCAAGGCACGGTCCAACTTGAACGCAGTTGGCGAAATCATAGGGTTGGACTCGAACCTGGAGATGGTCCATGCTTTGGGAAACAGGTCAACAGAAAGCGGAACAGGTAAATTTCATTTTGAATTTCACAATACCATTTCTTAACTCGAAGAGTGTGGTGACCGGTATTGATGCCTTGATACGAACACTTTTCGCCAAGGCCAATTGCGGCTCCAGGTTTGCTCCAGGTTGGCTCCAGGTTGGCTCCAGGTTGGCTCCAGGTTGGCTCCAGGTTGGCTCCAGGTTGGCTCCAGGTTTGCTCCAGGTTGGCTCCAGGTTGGCTCCAGGTTGGCTCCAGGTTTGCTCCTGATCTGCTACTGCGACAAAGCTCAGGCAAGATATCCCTTGATGCCAGCAGGCAATATGATATGAATTTTTCGCCTGATAACACAGAAAGAGGCTTTCTCGAACCCTGTTACTAACTACTTATCAGCTGTTAGAGCTCCCTCGCCTCCTCCATAAATCCTTTTTCACCCTCTTGAGACATGAACACATGTAACTTTGAAATACTGAAACCCGACCAAGAATCCACATACTCGATATACCCTACATCTTTTAGTAGTATAAATAAGCCTTAGTCCAGTCATTAACACTCGATACTTGAATGCCCCAATTATCTGTTCTTGCAGTGATTGCATTTACCACAGTGTCGGCGTATCTCCTGATCTCGCGGTTCCTTCCCCTTACAGGGTATTTTGAAACAGGGAAGCTCGCCCCCTTTGACGGGGAGAAATGGAGAAAACGCCACTTTATAGATTGAAGCATGCCAGTAGATCTGCGATATCTCCTAAGCTAACCCCAGGAGTGGTGGAATCTCCCCATGAAACCTCAATCAACCAGAAATTGCCTTCCTCCCTCAAAGTCACCAGTGTGCCTATTCTCAAAGGCAGATCATCTCTCTGAGAGCAAGGACTATAGCACAACTACCTAGGGAGAGAAAACCAATCAAGATATCGGGGTAGTGAAAAGTTTTAGTTGAATATTAATGTGGGATCATGTTGAAACCTTAGGCCTCTTGGAAGGGGGAGGTTGGGAGGTCGACTGATCAGCAAACTGATGTCCCTGGAGAAGTTTCACTATATGGTGGTATCCTCCCCGACGAGCAGCCTGGAGGGCATTTCCGTCCTCTCCACCCTGGGCGTTGACATCGGCTCCTCGCTCTAGCAGCATCTGTGCGATCTTATCGTGTCCTCCAGAACAAGCAGCCTGGAGGGCATTTCCGTAAAGTCCGCCCTGGGCGTTGACATTGGCTCCTCGCTCTAGCAGAAGTTCCACGATCCTATCATGTCCATTTGATGAAGCCCACATGACCGGGTATGATTTTGTACCATCAGGTCTATTGACATCACTTTTATCCACACTAAGTATAGCATGTACCTCCTGTTCATGGCCATTCAAAGCTGCTAGATGTAGCGCACTCATTACAGGAGTTCCTTCATGTGGTCTGACTGCCTTCCAAAAAATGGGAAACCACATTGAGAACGGTTTCCCGTTTATGTCGTATAATCGATGCACTCGGTCGGTTTCCTTTTGGATTGAAGTCAAAGCCATGTTTCGTACGTGATCGGGCCAGTGTGCTGCTGATTATACTCCGTGACCCAAAATTAGTGGTCATGAGACTCCAACGATTTTGATCAGCAATACCACCCTAACACCAAATGACAATCTCGTTTGATTTCTTTTACTCTCTTTTCAAGACATAACAGCGTCCGCGCTCCACAATCAAAATTTCAACACTACATTCCAGAGCTAGAAACCAAAAACAGCGGGATCCACTTTTAGGTCCGGAATGGAGGTTATCCGCGTCACTTCATACCACCGGCGTGACTTCGATCTAGCGGTCGCCCGAACAAATCCCGACGGTCATAACCAGATACGCAGTTCGCTGCTTCGAACAATCCGTGCTACTTCCTCAACTCTGGGAAATCTTCAATCGTTACCGCTTGAAATTATCTATGAGATATGCTACCTTTTTGAAGGCAGTGTTACGCAACGAATATTTTTGTCTTAGGCCACAGAATAACAAGCTATATGGTTATTGCCGCAATTGGTTGGCTATTATTCCTTTCTCCAGGAGTGCGTATGCATGGCAATGAGGACTTGAGCTGGGAAGGGCCGGCGGCTACACAAACTCATCTGGCGAGGATAATAATTTACCCGCCGAGAGCGCTTACCTCTACATATCACCAGAAAGCCCAGTAGAGCACATTAACGACAGGCGTACGGGTGTGTTTATTTTAGTGATAAGTTATCTTATACATTGCTACTTCGAAAATTTTATATATAAGCCGTATGACCGAGAGAGCAAGGAAGAACGATAATGAATTCTCGAGAAAAGAACTAAGGCATGGCAAACAAGAATGTAAGATTGAGCATGTGGCACGCGAGATCACTATACAACTGACGGGTTCAGGAGCCTCTAACCATCCTTGTAGACTGTTTCAGTCGGAGGCTTTCCTACTTGAACCCTGGCATGAGGGAAGTACGTCATATTAGTATCATTGATCTAATGTGAGGCATCAACTATCGCACAGACTGAATGGCGCGAAGGTACAATTGATTCACGTATCTCAAGCACGATATTGCAAACAGTATTTTCCCCGGACAATATTCAATATGCTATTTAATTTTGAGAAGGTAGATGATAAGATTTAGTGGGGCTCAGATTGGGACTTAATATGGGACAACACGTGCCCGGCTCGAAGTGTGCCACCGATTTACCCCTCCCCCGCCACTAGACAGATACACTGGATTTCCGAATAATTAAATCTCAGCACCCCTTATGTTAGTTTATGGTTTATGATCTCCCTTTCAAATATTTCTATTGCTAACAGCTCTTATATATAGGCCATAGTGCCTCCTCGAATGGATACTTATGACCTTTCTGAAGTAGCCGAGCGGATTCGCTGGAAATGGGCTTTGATGGGCCCCCATTAATGGGCTGGGGTTGGGCTATGGGGTATCCTGAGGTCTACTCATGAGTATCCATGGGGGTAGCTTCCCTGTTCACGTGATGGTCCCGTTGTCCTGGAGCGGATGTGTAGTGTTGCTGATATGTATATCGAGGTACATATACACCAAACTTTAGTCCAACTCAGGGCGGATCATGCTCTTGCTCAGTGAGCATGATCGTGGCTTTTCTTCCGATACCTGGGGATGTCAGAGTATAGTATGTTGCACGTGATCTGATGACAGATAGATCGGTTGGCTCTGGGTGGCCCATCTGTGTATCCGGTGGGGCCCCAACTGATTGGTGACGGGTAGGTCCGTAACACTAACGTCGTAGCTCGGCGATTGTTTCTTCAATTACTTGTCGATATCACTATTCAGCAAAGAATCGAATGATGTAAATCAAAGTCAATATGGTAGGGAGTTTGTTGTCTGGCTCGGGTGAGTGGCCCGTTAAGGCGGAATGCGTCCAGATGTTTACCAACCAGCTTACTCACCCCTTGGCTAGAGTTGATTCGTGCCTCAGGCACCAAAGGCATCAACACGCTTTGGCCTTTTTGGTGTGCTAATAATGTTCAGACCTTTTTATGGACTACACGTCGACTTGAACAGAAAGACAACAAGCAGGAAAAATATTGAAACATTAGAAAAAACAAATGTAGCAAAGGGAAAGAAACTACAGTAGAATTCGAAAATAGTTTACCCTCCGGCACACAGACTTTGTTTCTCGGCTCGTACCCGACACAGGTCTTATCCAAATTGGGCCTAGCTGTTAGGAGAAATAGTCTTTTAGTGGATGTTAACTTACTACTAATCCACATAAACACAGACCCGGTTTCGGATACAAACCGAGAAACAAGGTCTTTGTGTCTGAGGGGTAAACTGTTTTCGAATTCTACTGTATTTAACAAGAGCAGAGACAGGCTGAGAACAAAGAATATAGGTCTGATCAAACTACTCAGCTGCCGAGAGAACTTCATGTTTTCCAACAATCCACAGCTCTCTAAACCAACTGTCCACCTCATCAACCAATTGCATCGGCTTGCCCTCTTCTACAAGCCTACCTTTATCCATCACAAAAACCTTATCGAAATCCATAACCATGTCGAGCCCATGGCTAACCATGACAACAGTGTATCCTGCGAACTCATACCGTATAATATCCTGCATGGTCTTCTGCGTCGCCATATCAACACCACGGTTAACCTCGTCCAAAATAAGAATACCAGTATCACCCGAAGCCTTAGTTGCGGAAGTGCGAGACTTGATGTAAGCATCCCCAATCTCGGCATCTAGATAGCGAGCATGAATACGCCGACGTAGGACCGCCCTTGCTAGGTTGAATAGCTGCTTCTGCCCATGGCTAAGCCTATCAGCACTCAGTCCGGCCGTGAGTCCCCCGCGCTCAGATACCAAGGACCATAACCCTGTCATCTCGAGTACCGCCTGGCACTCCTCCTCGTTTGCGACGTTGAATGGGTCGAGGTTTTTGAGGAAGGGAGTGCCATCGGGGAAGAATGTTGAATCCTGTGGCACTGCGATAATTCGTCGGCGTAAGGTGGAGCGGTCGATTGTCAGGAGTGAGACATCGTCAATGGTGAGTTCGCCAGTGCATGGAAGAAGTGGGTCTAAGAGGCGTAGTAGGAGGAGAATAATGGACGATTTACCGCTGTTGAAAGTAACCATCAGATTTAAGGACTAATGCATACCGATATAAGAATTTGCTCAATGATCACTTCAGACTTACCTTCCTGTTCTTCCGCAAATCGCTACTTTCTGCCCCCCTTCAATCGTGAATGTGAGGTCTCGAAGTGCAAGATTGTCTAAGCCTTCCGACTTCTCGGTTGATTCGGCACCGATGTATGATGTAGATATATTTTTGACTTCGATCCTACCTCTCACTGGCCATGCAGCTGGGGGAATACCATCCTCGCTAGGTAGATCTTCCGGAACAGTATTGTCGCTAAAAGACTTTAAGCGGGAAACGGCCCCAATTGAAGTCTCCAGCAATGTATACATCTGCACCAGAGTAGCCAAAGTTTTCCCAAGGGTCATGATTGACACCAAACTCGCACCGGTGAAGCCAGTACTGGGACGAAGCTGAGTAGTAAGAGTGACTACTAGTGATGCAATGATCGCCACGACTATGTCGAGCACAAAGGACAGCCATCGCTGTATCATGCTCAACTGATAAGCAGGACGTTGCGAGGTGTCTAAAAGGACATTGTTTACAGATACAGAGTCCTCTATCCAACCAAAAGCTCGCAGGGTGGCCGCGCCTTTGATCGTATCCAAGAAGTGCGTGCTAGAGACATTAAAGATTAGTAAAGGATACCCCAATACAGTAGCAAGAGAGACATACTAAAGCGGGCTCTTTGCCTCTAGATCTAAGAGCCGAAGCTGGCGAGATGTGCGAAGATAGAATCTTTGAACGCCGTAAAGAATCGCTACAATGAAGGGATAAGTGATGAGAATATAGGGAGACGATGTTGCAACCACTGCCGCCCCTCCTACGGCGATCCAGGTTTGTAGGGACGTATTGATCAAAGCCTGTGGAAGCTCGCCATCGAGAAGCGTCATATCCTGGGAGAACAGATTGGTAACGATGCCCGTGTCTGTCTGGGAGAAGAAACGCAGCGGTGCGGAAATAACTGTTCGCAGAGCGGCCTGGTGTAGACGTGACCCAGCGTTGCGAATGATTAATAGCATGCCGATGGCTGCCTCGCTGATGACTGTAGTCAAGGCCAGACATTGGAAAAGGGCGTATATACCAATGTAGAAAGACTTCGATCGAGTGAAAGAATCAGTGCTCCAATAAGTTAGCCAGATCGTAGGGAAGTTGTAAAAGAATCCGCAAAGAAGACCAATCAAGAAGAAGCTGACGAGCCAGAAAGTACCAATGCTCCGGCAGTAGTGTGCGAAGATGGAAAGGTCACCTAGTTTTCTGCTCGATTCCTTGCTATCGGTTTCGGCAATGGATGCTTCATCGTCAGTAGTGCTTGCCTGGGCCGACTTCGATTGAATCTCAATCCCAGACTGTGGTATCTTGGGTAATGTTGTTGTCCGATGAGATATAGCGTCGGCGTCAGCCTGGACTCCGAGGCTATGGACGTATTGGCGATTCGCAACAAGATCAGGGAAACGACCTTGTTCCACGACAGTACCGTCAGTTCCAAGTGCAACGATATAATCGGCTGATGGGAGGTGTCGGATGGCGTTTGTGCAAAGTATCACAACTGCGTCTCTTGTCTTGAGGATTCCTGAGGGTCCGAAAACATTATGGAAAATGTGTTCTTCTGTATTGGAGTCTAACCCACCAAGGGCATCGTCAAGAATGAGCACGTCGCATTGCAGATACAATGCTCTTGCAAGTGAGATTCGCTGTTTCTGTCCACCACTGAGAGCGAGTCCATCACTACCGATCTTGGTTTGGTCTCCTTTAGAGAGAAGAGGGAGGTCCTGAGAGAGCATTGTTGCTTCGATAACATTGGCATATCTTTCCTCATCGAAAGTTGAGAAGCCTATGATGGTGTCCCTGATACTTTCGTTAGGGAGGAAGGAAACTTGATCGCAGTATCCGATCCTGCGATATTTGGTTCGTATGAGGACTTCTCCAGATGCAATTGGGGTTTCTCCAAGCAAAGCTTTGCATAACGTCGACTTCCCAGATGCAACGGGACCAATAACTATATTCAAGCCCTGGGATATGGAAATAGTGATGTTCTTCAGAGTCAAGACATCCTTTTCCCAGCCAAAGTCTGCGTTCTTGATCTCCACAGTCGATGGCAATTTTTTACTCGAATGTTCTTTCTCAGACAATGCGTCTGTTCCCAAAATCTGACGGAAATCATCCCTAGGCTCTTTGTCAAGGAACTGCTGAATTCGTGATAGACATGAAAATGCGGCGAGCAACTGAGGAAGAACTTGGAATAACAATGACAGTGGTCCTGAGAGAAGCTGGAGATAGGACAGTGAGGTGAATATAGTCGTAACATCCAGTTCGCGGGATGAGAGAGCGAATGCAAAGACAGGGCCCAAGAGAACTGGCGTGAATCCAATTCCCACAGAACCTACGAGAAAAGCACGGAAGTGGCCTCCAGCCTTCAACTCTTCAAGACGCAGCCTCTGAATTGACTCTTCAACAGGAGCGGTGAGCCCTGATATCTTCAAGTGTTTCATATTACTAATGACATTCGCTGTATGGCCGACCCGCCTCTGGATGCCTTTCATCCAAGCCATTTGCCTCGGGCCAATAAAACGCATTAGGACAGTCGAGGTGACGATGCAAATAAGGACGACAACCACAGGAGCCACAAATGCCGTGCCAAGTTGGCGCTGAAGTAACCAACACACGATAGCTACCTGGATGGGATTTGCCCAGAACTCGTGAAGCTGCATGAGACCCATCCTGATCCTTTCGACATCGCTGCTCATAAGCGTAACAGCGGCCGAGTCGTCCGCGGCCGAAGTCTGTGCCTTGATCGTCTTGTCGTATATCGCAGAGACCAAAAGTGCTCGTGACATGAATAAGGCTCGTTCATGCAGATACCAATAAAGGGCAGTAGCAAGTGGCATTCCTATGTAGACCAGTATCGTAGCACCAATCAAGCCGTAGCCCTTATTGGTAGTCAAGTAGGTTTGAGGTTCCTCGAGCGAGTTCAAGACGGCCTCGATAAGCAAAGGCTGACACAGAGTAAATCCGATCAGGGCAATTCGAGGAGCCACGGGCAGCAAGATTGGGACTGCCAATGCCCGAAGAAGTGTTTTCGTCAAGCCGTTTTTGTCTCCGTGGAAATCGGCGCGCTTGATATACTGGCCAAAGGATGCTTGAAGGGTCTCCACAGCGACACTATTGTCAAGTGGAAACAGATCTGGTAGATTCAGAACCTTTTTGTATCCTGACCAGAAGAGAGGTGTGAGCCAGAAGAAGCTGCCTAGCCCATATAGCCCAGTGGTTTCTTCGGGGCTATGCGTTTTCCGGTCCCAGGAGAGCCAGCTCTGGAGATGCAGTGATTGCAACAATACCAGAACAGCCTTCCAGACGATGGCCGCAGTGAATATCCTCACATAGGTAATCTCATTGTAGCTCTGGGCTAGCAGCCAGAGGGATCGTACTTGTGCAATATCGAAGAGGACAGTCAGGGAGAGAAAGGCACTGAGCAAGATAGATGGCCGGGGTGAGCGGGAATGCTCCAAAGAACTCAGGGCGGATATGACTATCCCCACAACAAAGCTTAGCACGTCGGCTGTGATAGACAAGCCACGTAGCTCGAATGGTTCAATGCTGCCGATAACGAGGAGAGCAAGCTGCAAGACTGTGTAGATTGCCCCTGCTGCCTTAGTTGCCAAAAAATATTAGTCAAAATGTTTCAGTATTCAGTAGGGGCCTAATGAAGACACACAATCTTGGTAAATTGGAAGGTTGCGCCGCCCACTATTATCGGTCTTCGAGCGAGGTAAATGCCTCGAGGGACCGACAATGCAATAAAAATAGCGGACGGCAGTATCGAGAGGATGATTTTTTCGAACTTCAGCGTAAAGTCAAAGTTTCCGCGGCAACCTTCGACTGTAGGACCAAAGGAAACGTCGTTCACGCATCTTGACAATTCCATGCCAGGCACAGGATCAGATTGGGTTGCGGCTCTTTGGCCCGAAGAGGTGGGTACAGGCACAGTGCCAAGAGAAAATAAGTTTATAGGGGTTCTACTATTTCGATGTCAATTCAACGGGTTAAATAAGATTCTCTTTCTTGTTGCCTGTTCTGTGTTGACAGTTGCGTCGGCCAAACAACGCACTGTTCCCGCGCTTCCCTGAAATACGGTGGTGATTCGTTGAAGATAACAAAATTACCACCCCTGACAAGAGTGCGTATATCCCTGCAAATTTACTGTGAGGTATTACCCTACTAAGTGGAGCCTAGTTAAAGGAACATGCTGGGGAATATGTACTCCGTACCGAAATAGGTTACTGAAATTTAGTACATTATTTGTATTTACAGAGTACTTCATTCTACCAGGGTAAATTAGGATGATACCGTTGCCTAGCATGTCGCTAACAAATTGGTGACACTCTAAGACTGAGATGCATCTCCCTTTTTAGCCTAGAGAGTTATTATCCTGCACAGCTGCCCCCTCATTACTTAGATCACGAGTCCTATATAGGCAGCACGGATAGTCCTGGATATGAGCTATTGTTTGCTATTGCTTCGGTCAACTTGGCAAGCAGAGAAAAAGGTATCTAATTTTTTATTATTCACCTATCAACCCCACAAGAATGAAAGCGGGTCGTGGCTACTCCGGGGTGAGCGATGGCGACGACTCGGATGAGTTCGATAGTTCCTCCCACCTTGGGGGGAGAATTATATCTTACCGCGGCAGTCACTTCGTCCAAATGGCATGGAGCTTGATCTGCGTTCTTATGTTTCTCTCCGGAGGGATCATGATACTCGCCGCTCAGAGATGGAAGCCATCAGACAGAGAATGCGCTGCGCAGCTTAGCATCTGGTGTATGTATCTTGATAGTTGTTCTCGCCCTAATATGAGCACCTCAACTACATATTATGTTTTCTGACGCTGACTTATGTGTGAGAAGCACCATTGCTTGAGGCAGTCGAGTATGAAGAGCGCAACTCGGCCAGCACATTCACAATGGAGAGGTCGGGCTTCACAGGCACCCCTTCAAGGCAACTGGAAGCGAAATGGAAGAGTTTAGTGGAAGGTAGGCTCTATTTTGTCCCAGGCGAGCCTCAAGCAGAAATCTAGGCTGATTTACTGGTCTTTAGTGCCTACCGTTGTCGTCCCACCCGAGCGCCTACCCTCTCTTAACCGGAGCGCCGAGCAAGGGTTTGTGCCCACGTCCCCAAACTCTTCTGCCTATGGTTATGTAGCCGGTATAGAAGTTTTCCATCATCTTCACTGTCTCAATGTTCTACGTCAGTATGCGTGGCGTGATGCCTACCCTGAGGAGCTACTTCCTAGCCTCTTCAGGTATAATTCACCTTTCGCCGTGCGTGCACATGTGGATCATTGTACTGAGACTGTCAGGCTTGCACTCATGTGTAACGCCGACGTTACGCCATATCTTCTTTACGAGCAGGAGGCAGAGCCTGGTTCCAAGGTACCTGCCAGGGAAGATTTTCAAGCGTTTCATAAGTGCAGGAAGTTTGATCGTCTGTTAGACTGGGTCAATACAAATGGGGTAATGCCACCGTGGCTCCAAAAGGGTAATTCCACCTAGTTGACCCAATGCGCTTCAAAATATGAATATATTTAGTCTCTGTTAGCACCAAATGTACACCCATATCTCTTTCGTATTCACGGTACCTTGGATGCTAAAACAACGTCTAGTGCGTGCTCAACAAATTATTCGGCCTGATCTAGGGACTGGCCGAACATGGGGTTTAGTTACTTTTGAGGGGAAACTGAGACATGCGCGGAGGTCTTATCACGCCGATTAGAAGAAGGGTCTCGTCACTCAACTCTATACACAAAACGATTGGTTCCGCCCAGTTTGGCATCGATAAAAGACGGTGTGGGCTAATTACCACTTCCTGATACAAGAGAGAGAACTCCAGCGGGGCTCCGTCGGGGCTCCGTCGGGGCGCCAACAAGACCGCGAGAATCCCCTGTCCTTGGCGATTTGGAGTCGAATGTGATTGATGTAGTACCGCATTTTCGTGTTGATAGTCCATAATTCTCCTCATTATCAGTGAATAATAATCAGGTACGACCTTCCGCGACCACCTTAGCCTTGCGCCACGTCTCCAGGGTTAGAAGCTGAACGGAGTTGACTACGAATTACCCGGATAGTGAGACATTATTCGCCTCCTTATCTTGCACAAGAAAAATCTCATGGAAGGGCACCGTTGGCGTTTCCTGTCGTCCTCAAACTTGTTGGTTAGCCTTGGTCCCGCGGAGGAGCCATCCGGAGCGCATATGGTTCTTGCACATTTCTCCCTTCGATTTAATAAAACACCCATCCGTGTAGAATCAGTCTGTGGGCTTTTTTTGAATACACTCCTAGTGGATCATAACCCGCCTTACCCTAGCACGCATAAGGCTAAATAGATATGGCCCTAGGTACAGTGACTATTCATAAGTTTTAACACCCCAGCCCCACACCACTTTGATTATATAATATTCTGCCGTTCAAAAAGTTTCCTTCAATACCGTTGTATATCAATGTCCGTAGCTTTCAATGATTTTCTACACAAGGGTAAGTATAGTCTTATGAGGATGTTTCAAAACATCCGAAAACACGACATGAACTCGAGATAAATGAGGTCCACCAGTTCATTTGATATAGGCGGTATAGGCGATAATGGAAGGCGGTATATGAGTGGGGCTAAAGGTGGTGTTAAAACTTATGAACCGTCACTGTAGGATATAGGGTTAACACAAAACACCGAAACCCGAAGCTTTATCGGTGTTTTCCGCAATATACGGAGAAAATACAAACGTAAATAAGTCTCGGGGGCTAAGATCTCACCTCCGGCTGGCCGCATCAAAAGTTTTATTTGCGGGTTGCTTTTTCATTGGGCGTACTGCAGCCGCTAGTATGCGTATTGAAACACCACATGTACATAGTCCTTTTGTGTGCTAGCGCATATAGTTTTATAGCGCGTTTAAAATCTTAGAAGTATATGCTATAATTAGAATTTGTACTGAGACGTCCACGGATAGCTTCTAAAATTAACAGCTTTAGCTAGAGAGCTGAACTCCCGGTTTAATTCCAGCGATGATCAAGTTCTAATAAAAATGCATGTATCTACGACAAAGTTCAAGTCGCTGTGTCGTTGCCATAATTGCCAGCAAAGCAAGCAGTTATTCGTGACTGCCCCTGTCGGGCATTCGCTGCCTAAACAACCGTCCAATTCTCATCTATCCACCGCTCTATCTTCCCAAAATCCCTACACTTATGGTGCGAAGCAAAGTCTGCACGTCGGCCGGCTGCCCCTCCAATCTGCACGTACAACAATGAGACGTCACTGGAACACATGAGGGTGGCTCGCAGGGACTCAATACAATGGTCGACATGGATGCGGTTCTTGAGCTCGTTTCTCACCAATCCTTCCGGAGGCTCGTCATATTTACCTGCCTGCCACCATGTGTACATACGCACGATATTCTGTGGTAAGAAACTTAGTCTTAGCTTTTATCGGTCCAGGATAGAGAAGATAAAATAGGATTCTCACCAAGCAGTGTAGTTGATGAAATACCTCCAACAATCCAGTGTATCCAGGGCCAACGTCAGGAGGAACGTGTTGCAGGTTATCCGCTTCAGTTTTATTCAGCGTACTAAGTTTCTCCGGAGGAATTTCGACGCCATGCTCTGGGCGGAGTTAGATAAATGAGAACGATCTCAGGAATAGGATATTATATCTTACTATACGTTAAATTAAACCAAGCGGACTCTCTCTCTTCGGTTGGGGGCCCGCGGTAGATGCTGGTGGCATTGAATGCCCCGTCAAAGTCGTACTCAATATACTCGACGGCATCGAGTGCGGGTGCTGCGTTAAAATTAGGGTCGAATTCAAAGACTTGTACAGGTATCTTGTACTTACACCATGATGAAAGTTGCTTGGAGCACTGTAGGTCACTGGGATTGAGCTTCGTCAAGACAGCAACAATGAGAGCGCACACCAACAGACATAGTGCACTCAGGGCAATAAGCACCGGACTGGTCTTATGACGCACCCAGCCACGCAAACGTTGATGTCTTGAGAGAATTCGCTCATCATTCGAAATGTCTTCCTGGTCATGCTCTGTGATGGACTCGAAGTCTCGCGACTCAGATATGAGAGGGTGGTAGGTCACCTGTTTAGGCTCCATGATGCAGAAAATGATAAGTGCGAATTCTTGGATGAAAATTCTTGGATGAATAGAAGGAAATCGAGACGTGAGATGGGGGAGAAAACAAAAACGAAGGGGAAAGGGCTGGACCTTGAGTATTGAGTCTCTAATCCAAGTATCCAACCTTGGGACATCCTACATCATGTGTGTGAATAGGCCCGCATATCATTAGAGCTAGGTTACTAGTGGTAACGACTAGTTGCTTAGACACTCTTGTCTTCTCGGCCACTCCTCGGACCAACTGAATCGAGATACATGTCCATGCCCTGCTAAATTTCCCATTCGATACACCCATGTACATATGATACCTGTTCAGTTTCCCATCCAGCCCAGCCCCATGCCTAAAAGGTTACATTGCATGTCATTATCCCGACTATAGTAGGGTAACTATTGTGACACTACTTACATAATCTGGAGACAAGCTGTGGTCCGAATACAACATCATACAAAAGGACCGCGGTTATTAGCCTTATCCGGGGTTACTTCGGTGTTTCCCATGTTGACAACAGAACCCTAAACCAAGTTCATCCTGGTAGACATGAAGCCAGGGAATTTCTGCCTGCACATTACTGATAGTCAGCAGCTAGCCAGGATGTAGAGGCAACAGATTGGCTCCAATATACGCACGAAGATGATAAGAAGAGGACTAGGCTTCTCGGACTCGGTTAGCACGGCTCAAAGCGTGACAAATGTTCTCAACGACTTGACAGAGTCATAGGACATCCTGTCAGAGAAGTATAGCACTCATGCATTACAACTTGAACTCCGAAAATTCTGGGCTCCCCTCAAAGCTCACATATATAAGACGGTCTCCCGACGCACTCGTCTAGTCTTCGTCTTAAAACACATTATTCTCTCACAGTCTTGGAACCTCCAAAGTCTTCAGCCTATTTATTCACCGACCCTCATCCACATCCCTTTCTGAGTCCAAGATGAAGGTTACCTTTGCTGCAATTATGGTTGGCTGTGCGACTTTTGTCGCCGCCATGCCCGTCTCTTTGCAGGGCAATACTTTGGCCTTGACCATGGAGCGCAGGGAATTCACCAAATCTCAGCTTCACAAGCGTGCGGGATATGATGGAAATATCATTGACAGCGCCAACTACATCCTGGTGCTTCTCAAAGACGATGCCGAGGGTGTCGATCCATACCAGGATGAGGTTGATGCCGTTCAGGACCCGGCTGATGTTCTTGGTTAAGAGAAAGTTGGCAAACAACTAGCAGTAAGCCACTACGTGAAAATACTTCCCTCTGTATTCCCATACCTAACCGACTATATCTCAGCTGTGACTTGCGGGAAAGAATAGTTATACACTTGTTTTTGGTTTTTGGTTTTAGCCTTTCTTGGCACCTCTTCAGTCTTCGATTCGTGCCCATCTGAAATTCAACAAATGATGATAGCATGCCATTGTGGTCCCCATTTATGTGGTGTTTATTTCATGAAAATCAAATTCAACATCGTAGTGAATACTTGTTTAGTTGAGCGGGAAGTGGCATTGAAGGTATGAACATCTTAAGTTGGTATGCCACGGAAGTCTATCAACAGGAATTGAGTCCAAGAAGTATTATCGTCGTTTTTATATTTACTAGAGAAATGTCATATTCCACTATAAATAGATATCTCCTATATTGTGGAAAGCAAATAGCATTCATAGGCCCCTAATGCTAGAATATGGCATCATCCTTATAGGGCATAAGTGGTCTACTTGGTGTCCGAATTTAGCCATGCTAAACATCTCCTTAGACTTCGGCACAACCTATCGATAGGTCGAAAAGTAGACCTATCGGTAAACCCATATAGGTTATGGGTTTTTTGAAAGTTAAGGACCTAACCCATGGGTAACCCATGGTTTTTGATAGGTACCTATATAGGTCCAAAAACCCTATATCTTTTATAAATTTAGGGCTTGGTATATATAATTTTGCTTACTTAGTAGATTTCTAAAGTGTAGTATAGGGACCTGTGATTTACTACATCCGGTTAGTTTTGCCGTCCCTGGCCCAGCGCCCTAATATCATCTTGGCGCCAAGTACCGTAGCCTCATTCCTTTAATTTCTTCGCTCATCCACCCTTCCTACCATCTCCCTCGCAAGCCTATCTCTCCTCGCTTACCAGCGGCCTTTTCCCCCATATTCTTCGTTCTTCCTCCTTCCGTCCTTCCTGCTCCCTCGATCCAAAAATGACGCGCTTTCGACTCGACGGAATTGAAAGCTGGGAAGCGTCTGTGACGAGGATGATATAACCGCGACGACCACTAGCTCGGACGAGTGGGGCGATCCTACTTATGAGGCGGATCTGACGGAGCCGGACGATGCCCTGAGCTCCCGAAAACGTCTTCGTTTGGACGAGAACTGCTCTACCTTAGGGACCTTCCAACGACCTGGGTGAATTCTAGGACGATCCACTAGATAGTGATGGAATTGGTCTCTTCGAGATCCCCGAGTATTTTGACAAAGCTCCCGGTACGCTTAAATGACGAGCGCATTGAGGGCTAACATCGAAGTAGTTCCGAAATGGCACGATTGTCATCATCCAATGCTGCCCTTGCTTGAGCATGGCGCCCTTGGGGCAGATGTAAAGCCCCTGTACAGAGCGTCGAAGGAATCGTCCCACTTTGTATCAAAGAGGACGTCTTCCAAGTCTTCTCTACGCGCCTTTTCTTTCGCATAGTTAAGGGGTGTCTCGCCAAGTGAATCTTTGGAATGCATATCCAAGAAGTCTTTCCGTTGAAGGAACTCTACAAGCTCCTTGGTAAACGCACCATGAATGGCCCCGTGGTGCATGAAGGTCCTCCCGTTATAATCTTGAGCTGCTGGATCCGGGCCATCATTAAATAGATGCTCGAGAATCTCAGTGTCTGCTCCCTTATGGTGCATGAGGAGGTGGGCCAAATTTTCTCCACGTCCATTAACCCACCGTAGATCAGCACCGTTATTCATCAGTAGAAAGAATATGTCTCTCTGAACTCTTAGGTGAAATGATCCCACGTACAGGCCAAGGGATGAGTTTCCCTTCGCATCATACTGATTGACGTCGCAGCCAATCCGTATCAGGAAGTCAACCATGTTGAAGTTGGAGAAGATGGACGAGACATGGTGGTGTAATGGATTTCTGCCGTGATGATCTATCGAGTACCAGAGCTTCGAAAGCGCGCCGTCACATGCTGTTGTCAGACAATGCAGGACATTTAAGCGACTATCGCGCAATGCGTAGTGGAACGGGCTCAATCCGTCGCGGTCTTCCAACAAGATATCGTGGCCTTCATCCACAAGTTTTTGGACCACCTCCACGTTCCCTTGCTTGCTGGCAAGGTGGAGACATGTCTGATGACACCCGTTCAATCGTGAGCTAACTGCTCCTTTCTCTATGAGGTTGCATAGAATCGACAGCGAATAATGCTTGCTAAAGTCTATCAAGTGCTGAGGGCAATCCCCATTAGCATTAGCGATGTTGACGTCAATGGTTTCGCTCGCGAGGAGCGTGTCAACAATGTGTGTTCTAGCTTGATCGATGGCTCGATAGATATCAGAAGCTTCCTCATTTTCGTAGTCCGTGATCAAGTCTCTTAAGGCCTCGATGGTGTAATCACCGCTCTTCCATACGTCGTCGTATTCACGGCCCAGGATGCGGCTCCTGATCGCAAGATGGAGTGGAGTATCGCCAATATCAGATTGAGCATTTGGATCGGCCCCGTGTTGGAGTAAAAAGGCGGTCATCTTTGTGCATGCGTTCAAGGAAGAGAAATGTAGCGCTGTGAGGCCGGATTCTAGATTCACGCCAGCACTTTCTCTCTCGTCCTTGAACCTCCTGTGTGTGAACATGCTCACAGTTGTGCGTCCAGGCCATGATAGTCTTCGAATTTTGACTGTCAGATCGAGACTCCTCTGAAGAAAGACTTGTGCAAGTTCTTCATCGAGGTTTCCAACTGCGTAAAGGAATGGTGTCATGTTGTACTTATCACAGTCATATGGAGGGACTCCAGCGTCAAGCAGGAAATTGACAATTTTGCAGCCACTTCCATGACCATTCTTGCAAATAGTATGGAGGACGTTTTGGTGGTCGTTATTTACCGCTCTCACGCATGCTCCAGACTCAACTAGAAGTTTTATGGCTTCAAACTGGGAGTATTGGGCAGCAATGAGCAAAGGTGTTTGTCCCTGTGCATCTTTGACTTCCAGTCCATGCTGAGGGAAGGACGAGATTAACGGAATAATTCCCCAACGAGCGGCAACATGAATGGCAGAGATGCCCGTGTCCAAATCAGCCCCTGAGAATTGTTCCAGGTGGTTGTAACTCTCGAGCCACCATTTCCACGTCGCTAATCGGCCTTGAAAAAATGCCTCGTGCTCCTTCGGAATGTTGAAGTCTGTTTGAGCTAACCTTGCATGCTCTGGCCAGTGCAGCACTGAATAACCAAGGAATCCATGGCTAGGCTTCAAAGTTGATGTATTTATTTTTGGCCGGCAATGTTGAAGAATGACTTCGATGCAGCGATACGTCAGTGTATAGTTTGCTGCAGAAGAATTGATCTCTTGCATCTCCATCATTAAGAATTCTTGCACCGATCTGTGCAACATTCGCACATGGTCATTGTCAACAACAACCAACAAATGGCACAAGTCGATGATCTCTCGCGTGAATTGGAGGCGACTACTGGAATCTGTGTCAAGATGTAGGCGACATGCTTCAGCTACTTCCCCTATTGTGAGTGGTCGCAATGCGAATGCAACAGTCTCCAAAATCTTTTTAATCAGCGGGTAATCGTCTGGGCCGCATGTTGCTGCATCGAGCAGCAGCTTCCGATACAATTTGTATAACCCTCCTGGAAGATCCTGTAGCTTCTGGACTACTTTCCTCGACTGCACCGATATCAATTCATTATGAGCTATCCCGACCCAGAGGAAGGTACCCTCGGCCTTCTCTTCAAGAATTTGGCGTACTTTCTGGGCAACGGGATCAGTGTAGTCGTTCCTTCTCGCGAGGTCCTTCACTGTATCCTTGATCATAGATTGAAGATCCTTCTTTACCTCTTCAAATGAGCCTAGATCAACATAGGTGAAGGACGATAGGTAACTCTTGAGCTCGTGATTCGGACGGCTGATAATTAAAAAGTGCAACCTGGGTGTGTCTAAGCGGGTCGTGCCTGCTTTGCTGAACGACTGGGAAATTTGATGAGACAAGGTTTGCTGTGACTTGCGGTCGCATTCGTCCAATGCATCGATGATGCAGTATATCTCAGGGCTAGTAGTTGCTTGTCCAATATCCATAAGCAACGCCCACAAGGAATCAAATGAGGCGAAAAGTGCGTCTCCTCGAACGTGATATTTTGACAAGACCCGTTTCAAGACTGGGGGGTGCTGAGTAATGATCTGATATATAAGACCTCTCAGTATCGACGTTGCCTCTCTCCGGCGTTCCGAGTCAGCTTCGCAAAAAAAGCAAGCTAGGACATTATTCCCGCCGGCAAAATAATAACTATGCGGTATTTCCTCCACAAGTGTCACGGCCATCGTCGACTTGCCAATTCCGGGGTTACCATACAGCCACAAAATGTTTCGCTCCAGCTCATCATTGCCCTTGTCTCGCTGAAACCAAGTCTTGAGTTTGTCTGACTCTAAAAACCAGCTGCAAGTTCCTGGAGTACGATCCCCTTTTGTCCGTTTTATTGAGTTCATATCTTCATTAGGATCGGTGATGAACAGATTTGCGAGACAAGTTTTTTCCACCTCCCCAAAATCGGCTTCTATAAGATGATCAGTTGATGGGGATACTGCAAGGTGATGATCACATACCTTGATCTGACTTCTTCATGTCTTTCACTTGTGGAAGAAATGATAATAGTGCCTTCGCATACGCAGCTGCAGTAAGAGCTGCATAGCCCTGCCACCCTTTGTGCTTATGGGAGTCGCAGTAGTCGCAGATTCCTCGTATGACCAGACATTGAAGCTGATCCATGAGTCCGGCTGCTTCCATCTCGAAACAGAGTACAGGAATATCTTCTGCAATAGAGTCTCGCATCACAGCATCCTTTATAACTTGATTGCCAGACGCAATCAGACCATAATGAATTTGTGGTTCGCCATTCATGCGTGATTCACGCGAGACAAGCTGGTTTTTGTCACATAACGAGCAGTCTCCACTGCCTCCTCGGTGTTCGTATGCCGAGAGAAACAGCCAGTCTTCGCCTGGAGGGGAAAATTGCTTCTGGTGACGCCGCAAAACACCAGACATTATCTTGCCAAGCGGCAACTTCTGCAGCATATAGTCGCAACGTATCTGGGAGAGAGCGGCCAGCAGAGACACATGTGGCTTATTGAGTGATCCCGTGCGCTGGAAGCGGCCCTGCTGAGACGCTTTCCCATAGTCGTACTGGACCACGCCACCAGATGTTCCCATAGGTGTGCTAACGACCACATCTCCTAGACGAATATCAACATTCTTGGTAGGTACTCCCCCTCCCACTCCGACCATCAACCCGAACTTTACGGAAGGGAAGGTTTGCTTCAGTTGAGTCACCACGGATGTAGCAGAAGTTGTCCCATAAACACCGGACGGTAAGCAGACGACCACTATATTATGTCCACTCAGACTCCCAAGCGTGTAGATATTGTGGTCAGTCTCAGGTTTAGGAAGCGAATTGTGAAGGTGATCGAGCAAACATTTCGCAGCCGCCAACTCTATCGGCAATGCACATATCCACGCGACCGTATAATCATGCAGTAATACACGTCGACGCGGCCTTTCGGACATAGTGAAAGCAAACGCAGATTTTCGGTCGGCTTTTGTGGTACAGTGCCGACCGCTACCGCCTTCCATGTCGAACAACACACAGAAGCTCTTTTGAACCCTAATCACATGATACGCTAATCCATATTTGATTAAAGTTATATTTCAATGTCTGTTTCAAGCGTGGATGGTATGACTCGGAACAGGTAAATTACCAACTTGGGTATCTATACATTTAGTAGTACAGATCTAAAACATACCAGGTTAACCATTAAACAGGTATCATCTACCGCACGGGACTCTGAGTAAATTAATTGTATCTTTCGTGCATCGTCCGTCCACAGGATAGATATATTCAGGCTTCGGTTATACCAATGATTTCGCCGTAGCCTTCTTTACGTTGACGCTGTGATATTATGATCCTGTTTAAGTGATACAGAAGATAAACTGCAGTGATGTAGCCATTTTTCCGAATTGCATTACAGGCATGCAATTCTTGCAGTCTTATTATTTAAAGAATCTAGCGAATTTCTTAATAGCCCGCCGTGCCGTACTTGCATTGAGATGTGCGACCTTCTCATTGTTTGGCAGTGCTGGCTGGGACATCTCCTCTGCCTCTTTCAGCTCCCCTTGATCTCTGTAGAGATTGCCAAGGTTGTTGACTGTGTTTAGAGTGGATGTATGATCTGGGCCGAGGGCCTTCTCCCTGCCTGCCAGTTCTCGCTGGTACATCTCCTCTGCCTCTTTCAGCTTCCCTTGATCAGAGTAGAGATTGCCAAGGTTGTTGACTGAATCTAGAGTGGATGTATGATCTGGGCCGAGGGCCTTCTCATAGCCTGCTAGTGCTCGCTGGTACATCTCCTCTGCCTCTTTCAGCTTCCCTTGATCTCTGTAGAGATTGCCAAGGTTGTTGACTGAATCTAGAGTGGATGTATGATCTGGGCCGAGGGCTATCTCCCTGCCTACCAGTGCTCGCTGGTATATCTCCTCTGCCTCTTTTAGCTTCCCTTGATCAGAGTAGAGATTGCCAAGGTTGTTGACTGTGAGAAGAGTGGATGTATGATCTGGGCCGAGGGCCTTCTCATAGCCTGCCAGTGCTCGCTGGTACATCTCCTCTGCCTCTTTCAGCTTCCCTTGATCAGAGTAGAGATTGCCAAGGTTGTTGACTGTTATTAGAGTGGATGTATGATCTGGGCCGAGGGCCTTCTCATAGCCTGCCAGTGCTCGCTGGTACATCTCCTCTGCCTCTTTCAGCTTCCCTTGATCTCTGTAGAGATTGCCAAGGTTGTTGACTGAATCTAGAGTGGATGTATGATCTGGGCCGAGGGCTATCTCCCTGCCTACCAGTGCTCGCTGGTATATCTCCTCTGCCTCTTTTAGCTTCCCTTGATCAGAGTAGAGATTGCCAAGGTTGTTGACTGTGAGAAGAGTGGATGTATGATCTGGGCCGAGGGCCTTCTCATAGCCTGCCAGTGCTCGCTGGTACATCTCCTCTGCCTCTTTCAGCTTCCCTTGATCAGAGTAGAGATTGCCAAGGTTGTTGACTGTTATTAGAGTGGATGTATGATCTGGGCCGAGGGCCTTCTCATAGCCTGCCAGTGCTCGCTGGTACATCTCCTCTGCCTCTTTCAGCTTCCCTTGATCTCTGTAGAGATTGCCAAGGTTGTTGACTGAATCTAGAGTGGATGTATGATCTGGGCCGAGGGCCTTCTCATAGCCTGCCAGTGCTCGCTGGTACATCTCCTCTGCCTCTTTCAGCTTCCCTTGATCTCTGTAGAGATTGCCAAGGTTGTTGACTGAATCTAGAGTGGATGTATGATCTGGGCCGAGGGCCATCTCCCTGCCTACCAGTGCTCGCTGGTACATCTCCTCTGCCTCTTTCAGCTTCCCTTGATCTCTGTAGAGACTGCCAAGGTTGTTGACTGTTATTAGAGTGGATGTATGATCTGGGCCTAAGGCCTTTTCGCATCCTACAAGATCTCGCTGGTATATCTCCTCTGCCTCTTTCAGCTTCCCTTGATCAGAGTAGAGATTGCCAAGGTTGTTGACTGAATCTAGAGTGGATGTATGATCTGGGCCGAGGGCCTTCTCATAGCCTGCCAGTGCTCGCTGGTACATCTCCTCTGCCTCTTTTAGCTTCCCTTGATCAGAGTAGAGATTGCCAAGGTTGTTGACTGTGAGAAGAGTGGATGTATGATCTGGGCCGAGGGCCTTCTTATAGCCTGCCAGTGCTCGCTGGTACATCTCCTCTGCCTCTTTCAGCTTCCCTTGATCTCTGTAGAGATTGCCAAGGTTGTTGACTGAATCTAGAGTGGATGTATGATCTGGGCCGAGGGCTATCTCCCTGCCTACCAGTGCTCGCTGGTACATCTCCTCTGCCTCTTTCAGCTTCCCTTGATCAGAGTAGAGACTGCCAAGGTTGTTGACTGTTATTAGAGTGGATGTATGATCTGGGCCGAGGGCCATCTCCCTGCCTACCAGTGCTCGCTGGTACATCTCCTCTGCCTCTTTCAGCTTCCCTTGATCTCTGTAGAGATTGCCAAGTCCATGAAACCCTCCCAAAATGGAAAGATTGTCGGCAGAGTATTTTCTATTGCGTACGGCAATCGCGTGTGGAATAAGCCGTCGCTCTAGCCTCGTATAATCGCGTTCACTTGCATTAGGGACCGAGTATCCAACACATACGAGTGCTAGTTCATCAAGCTGGAGGGAATCCACACTTTTATCTGTGCTGGCTATGTGGACGCACCAATCCTGTACCACAGGATGCATCGCATAGCTTCCCTTTTGTTGCTTTGTGTAAATAAGAGAGAATTCTATCAAGGGTCTCACGCAATCTCTAAACCCAAGTTCACTTGAGATGGCTCTTTCGAGCCAATCTGGAACTTCGGAGCTATTAGATGCATTTTCTAATAACTCGAACCAAATATCACGATTATCGAAGCAGGCAAGTAGCAGTAGAAGGTCTGCTGCCCTTGGGTCACGCCTCTGGATTTCTCGATATGAGATCATCCATGTTTGTAGCATATTGCCTTGCTGGTACTGACGTCCAGGATTCGATTGCCGCTGTAGCTTAGACCAAGATTCTTGGTAGTACTGCAAGTACTTAGTGATGCTGGTTCCAGTTTCCCGCATAAAAGCCCCGGCGATGACAATGGCCAAAGGTAGTCCATCTAGACGATTGGTAAGAGTAAGGAGATCTATACATATTAGTCTTATCTGTAACGTCTTTTTTGGATGTGGTTTAGTACCTGGATTGACATCAAATTTGCTGGTGGTGTTTCTTGCTAATAAACCACTGCTTTGTAGGAGTAATGCAATTGAGTTATGAGAGTCAAGCCTGTGAGCTGGGAAAGACTTCCCTAGCTCACTCAGAGTTTGAAGTCGAGAAGTGATAAGGATAGAGCCATGGTCTGCTTTGGGGAAAAATTCCGCAATATCGTATCCCTTATCAGCAGCGCTATTAAAAGGGGAGTATTGATCGATGTTGTCAAAAATGATCAGCCAGCGCGAGTTGCCCTCCAATGCTAGCCACCGTAGCATATGTCTGGCTCGTTGCTCTACCTCTCCTTCATTAGTCGCCTCCCTATCCCAACCCTGTCCTGGTAGTCGGTTTAAGGCAAAGCTTAACAATTGTAAGAGCGTATCTCGATCCTTGCCACTAAGCCAGAAGATAGCCGTAAAATCATCTTTATGATCTCGCGCGAAGCGAATCGCTAGCTGTGTTTTTCCCATCCCACCAAGCCCATGAACGATTGCAACTCTCCGCGATGGCGAATTTGTTGGTTGGAGATACTGCCATAGACTATCTAGCTCGTTTTGTCGCCCCATAAATTCCTCAATCACAGGAACTGCGGTAAGGTCTAGGGGGATGTTGAAGCGGTGGACTACACACGGAAAGCTTGATTTAGTCATCAATTCAAATCAGATAAGGAGTGCCACAAATTTAGATTTAGAAACTCATACCAGAGTCTGCTAGAGTATCTCGTGCTGTTGGAGTAGTCTCAATATGGTCGATTGGAACTATTAAAACAAGGTCCTTAGCATAGGCTGCTGCCACTGCTGCCGCATATCCTTGCCATTCCTTATTTTTATGTGAGTCAGCATAGTCGCAAATGCCCCGGATGACCAAGCAAGGAAAGTCATTCATAAGCCCGGCCGCTTCCATTTCCACACAGCACACTCCTAGCTCCTGAGCTAGCTGATCTCTCTGTTTGCCATCTTTCACTACTTGATTTCCAGATGCAATCAGTCCATAGTGAATTACCGGTTCTTCATGATCCCGAGAAGGCCGGAGAGTCAGTTTTGACTTATCACAATCGATGCACGTGGCTGATGCTGTATGGTCATATTCAGTTTGGTATAGAAAGTCGCCCTTGGTCGGTCGTGCAAAATTCGCAGCCGTCCGCGATTTTATTTTGGCTTGGGCGTCGGATATGAATTCAAAGACTCGACTGTCTTCGGTGAAGTGGTGGGCTTGGAGTGTAGCGAGGGCAGTCAGCAGGACCTTAGGTGGCCGGTTCAGCATCCCTGTTCGCTGGAATTGACCACCACTTAACGCTTTGCCAAGATCGTATTGAATCACGCCTCCAGATGTGCCCGCTGGCTGGCTCACCACAATGTCGCCTAGTCGAATATCTGCGTTGCTGCTTGGTACCCCTCCACCGATACCGACCATTAGACCGAACCGGATAGAGTGGAAAGTGGAGAGCAATTGCATCGCTACTGTAGCGGCTGATACGTTTCCATAAGCACCGATTGGTAAACAGGCAATAACGATGTTGTGATCCCCGATATTTCCCAGAATGTACGTATTTTGGTCTTTCGGCGGCCGTGGTAGACTCGGGTGTATGGAGTCTAACATCAGCTTTGCGGCTGCCATCTCCAAGGGTAAAGCGCATATCCACCCGACCGTGTAATCGCCATGGGATAGAGAGGCCCTGGCTGCCATGATAAAAAAAGAACGTTTAGGTTTGAAAATCGAATAGCCTATGAATTTCTCTGAATATGAGACAAACAGATTCATTATACAGCCTGAGTTTGGGGAATGAAATGCTAGAGTTCGGGAGTGGAGAGCGGGGTTAAAAAGTGAGGCGAAGTCAAAATGCCCTCACAACCAATCACTTTTGTGTAGTGGAGAGTGGAACTGTTGACAGATTGCCCTTTCAAGGGCTGCCATGTTTGCTCAATTTGCATCGAACTTCCAGTCTAGGCGTCAAATTGTAGACTTGTATCTTCCATACTGGTATTTTAAACTTCTGGTATTGATTACATTGTTCACTACAAAACGAATTATTTACGCGCTATTCTTGTTTGGATTAGCGTATCATGTGATTAGGGTTTGAAAGACGATCTCTCTGTTCCTGACATGGAAGGCGAACGCGGTCGCTACTGTAGAGTCGGTGTTGTGACAAGAAGAGGTAGGTATGATGTTTGAGGGTCGTCAGTTAGGACAAGAGGGAGTGGTTGTAGCGGCCATACAAAGCAGTGCAAATCTCATCAGCGCCTAAGCGCCCACGGGCTTTTCAGATCTAGTCAAATCAGCGTCGAGCATCCCAGGCGAGGCGAGTCACATGTACGTCGTCCGTAGCCTCACCATAAGGCAGCTGAACAAGCTACCCTCATACACGAATCTGATCTAGAGTGCATACTATATCTGATCGCCATTTGCCATTATACAATTCTGATGTAGCCCCTGAACTATCGCCTCTTAAGCGCCAAGGAAATTCTTTTTCAAGAGCCGTTTTACACCTACGCTACAGGAAAATCTAGACGTACCGCCAAGACAAAAAGGGAGGGTGATACGGAAGTACCTTGCCAATCGGACCGCTCATAATCAGCAGGGATTCGTTCCCATTGGGCTCTGCATAAGGCGGGCAGAGACCCCTGCTGCTTACACTACAAACAGGTAAGGCGCCTGCGCCGAACGACAGTGGAGGTCCGCATATCCGTCCTACTAAAGTATACTAAGATCTCATCTAGTCTCAAGAGTGCCTTTCTTTTGGTCTCTCATATCACTTTGGGACTCGCACAATGAACTGTGAACCGCATATTGCTGCAGTGGTTTGTGCGGAGAATATTGCTCTCAATTACTTGCTGCATGAAGTTCCTGAGCCACCGCAACAAAAGCCCACCGAACGTTTTCGAGGCTCTGAAAAGCAGTACATACTTTCCTTCTCTAAAGAAAAGGAACTTGTGGAGGTCCTCTCCTTTCTTGCCAAAACTAAAGATGGATCGGATTATATCCCTGCCATGTGTGTCGAGCAGGACCCCAATGGTGCAGCAATGAAGTCTCTGCTGGCGATCAATAAAAAAACATATTCAGATGGGGATGGCTTACTTCAAAGTTTGAAAACTGGATTTGAGAACATTTTTCAAGTACTCAAAAAATCACTATATGGTTCGTTAGTCTCTGCCATTTGTTGTAGCGTCTGATTCGAATTTAGCCAGAACGAGGCAGCTCCACGGAGATCACGAAACAACTTCTAGAGATGATTGTGCAAATGTGCTCTTCTCGAATCGCTTCTAGATTGCGGCTCACTGGCAAAAAATGGGAAGACTCCAAAGCGTCCATCAAAGACATTCTGCAAAAAGCAACAGAAGGCACTCGGCAAATACTTCCCCAGAAGCTAATTCAGTTCAACCTAGAAGAAAGCCTGTCGATATTCAGAGCAGAATCCAAAAGCGTGATCCAGTCCGTCAACGCATGGTCCAATCATCGTGTTTCGCATCGTCTCAATGACATTGTGGAAAAGATGTATCGATTAAACAACATACATGGCTTGCAGCAACTCCTCCATCTGATTCCCTCTGGTCCCACAAAGGTGATCAAGGAGGCAGCCTTCACAGCTACTCTGCTCAACATCATTCGAAAAGTATCCAGATATAAAGAAGCCGCTCAGGTGCTTCATCGCATTGCTAAGAAGTTTCCTCTTGTCCGGAACATTGAGATTCAACTAGCAACCCTTCCCCAAGAGGCTTTCGATCGACCCCATCACCCGACGTACTCGCCGAGTCTTCCAGCCGTGCTGTCTCGTTTGGGGAAGATCAATGGTAAACAGTATAATATCTCCCAGATCTCCCGATTCATGAAAAATGGCAAGACCAAGAATCCGAATTACCAGTTCTCTGAGCAAACGAATAGAATTCTCCAAGAAGCCAAGATCCATGCGGAGATCCAGCTAATCGCCTACTGCGAAATTCAATCGCCTCCGCTGTTCCCGCGTGCCATCGCTTCCAGCAAGGATGCTTGTTTCTTGTGCCATGCATTCATCCAAAATCATGACAAGATGCACACATCACGCACACATGGAAGATTGTACCCTGGTTGGCGTCTGCCAAAGCTTTTGTCTTTCACGACGCTGGAGCACCGATTCAATGAAATCCTAGTGGACCACGCTCGACAGACTATCAGAGCTCGAGACAAAGGTCAAATGGGTGCTCACCCCTACCCGAATGAAAGTACCTTACTTCCTATGTTGGTCTCGGCGTCGACAATGAGCGCTGTACAAGATCCGGTCGAAATCACTACGGGAGCGGTGTCGCTTTCTGGTGTCTCTCCAGGCTCCAGAACCGTGGAAACAGCGGTCTCAACTGCAAATCCGCCTGGGGATTCTAAAGTATTCAGTGGCTGTGTTCTAGCGCCCAGCGACCGGTTGACTGGCATCATAACTCCGACGGCGCCATCGCCGTTCTTCCTGGCTGGCCCTCTACATATCCACCTCGAGATGGAAGGAAGTTCGACTTCCGAATCCATAACAAGGGGTCTTTCGCTCTCTATTGAAAGAACGGACGTCGAGCAGATCATAAAATTTCCTACTGGGTCTCTAATGGTGGACGTGGTGGAACTAGAGAGGGATATGACATATGCCCTCCCGGCGGACGGGACGTTCTGCCTCACAGCTCACGGTATCGCAGTGAGAATTGAGTGCAAGCAATGGAACGGGTTATACACCAGCCTTCGGGAGAGGTAAATCTTTTGCTGAAGTTAAGAAGGGACGAGCAACGGCCGTGGTCCGAGGCGGATCTAAAAGGGAGTATAAGTTCAAGGAGCTCTATTGCCTGTCTTACTATTTTTGTTTCCGCGGCTTTGTTTGCTTTCCCTCCTGTTGCTGCTCTCTTACTGTATATAGGGTCATGAAGCTGACTGCGACTGAATCCAGGTGATTATGTGCACCGACAATAACTGTAGAGTGACCTTGCTTTCAACCGCTACGTGTTGGGTCTCTCAAGCTTAATGCTGGACAAGGAACGAGATAGCGAAGGCTCGGCCTTCTGGAAGGGACACGCAATTGATTAGGACTGTTTAAGAAGATTGTTTGTCCGGAACGGCGGTGGGTGGCGACTGACCTTGGGAGGAAATACTGCTTAGTAAATCTTACTACGCACCCGTGGACCAATTGGAAATCAACCAGTCTGAATTGTTATAATGCCCCTAGCTGGCAATTTAACTAACGTATTTCACATGCGAGCTGGACACACAAGCGAGCTGGACACCCCAAAACACCATAGTAAATGCGATATATTCTACACTGATATCTCAACAACCACGGTTTTATTTTATTTTATTGCCTGCCGATAACCATTGATAAGGATTTTGAACACTGTATATTAATTTCGAAGAGATCTAAAATCTACAAAGCTGCGGTATCGAAAATTACGTTGCCAGGAGCTAGAAATATATATATCTCTCAATTATTAAGGGATAGAAATTCATTAAACTCTTCCTAGAGACTAGATGCCACCTAAAAAGTATTCTTTTATAAGGATAAGTCCCTATAACCTATGATTGTTGTGATACTATGTTGTAATTTATCGCATTTGTGTCCAGCTCGCTTGTGTGTCCAGCTCGCATATGAAATACGTTAAGTTAGTTAACTTAACTAACGTAGTTCCTAGCCGATCGGGTCACCCCATTTGAAATCGCGTATTTCTAGCCACCTACCAATAGACTACGACTCCCATAGGAGTTGGCAAAGGTCTAGGAGCAATATAGGCGCTATAAAGTGAACACGGATACGGAGGCAAAGGTTTAAATTCTTTGATAAATGACCTTAGAACAAGTATATTAAGGGCGATCAAGGCAGCGGGATGGGGATAAAGGGTATCAAAAGACCCCGGAAGAGAGGGCGGATAAGGTATCTTATAGGCGCTCGATTAGGCTGGCCGAGAAGGAGGGGGCCCTAAATTAGGATGCAGAGGGGAGCCATTTTCGGCGTCGTTTGGTCGCCAGTGGAAATAGGGGGAACAATCATTGAAGTCGAGCGTCAACAGCTGGACAAGAGGATAATAACTAACGGTGCTGGTTGGGTACAGAATAGGGGCCAGTAAAATGGAGCAGGCGGTCAAGCAACGGCTCGCTGTCCAAAGTTACGGGTGGAAAGGCGGCCGTTTCTGGCGCCAGAGGTTGTCATTTTCGGCGTCGATTTCACAAGTCCCTATATTCTAGATGTAAACGGCGGACCTGTGAATTACTGTATCCGGTTAGTTTTGCCTTTTTGGGTTTAGCACCCCAATACGCCGTCACGTAACCAACCTTCAATGCCGCCGACACAAAAGACCTGTCTTCGCTGCTCCTCCTCCCTTTCTCCCACTTTTCCATTATTCTGCCTCTCTATCTTGCACTCATCGCCGCCCCCTTTCTTTTACTCTGGCCCCCACCGAGTACTGCACATGCTTTTAGCCCGACGCACTGCCCCTTTTATTCTACCGGAGATGTCGCTCGATCCGACTCTCTGGTCGTTCTGACCAGCGTGGGCTGCAATGCTATCCAGTCGCTGAGGAGCAGAAACACTGGGATGATCCAGCCATCCACCGCATCGCATGATTGTGTGTCAATACTCTATTTTCCAAAGAACTCTACAAAGACATCTAGACCGCTTTCTTTCTGCTGGTGAGGCCTTCCCGTTGGGTGTCTGTTATTCCGCTGACCTCCCTTGTTGCGAAGTCTCCTAAATTGTCCTTGATGCTGCATGCTCCGCTTTATCCGCCCCATCTCAGGCCCCACCTGAGGTTACATTGCACAGCCCTTGGCGTCGCAGATCTACTCTCGTCCGCTTGTTTGCGAATGCCTCGACCTCTCCGGTCTCTCCGCACCCAATCGGTGAATCTTGAAAGAATACCACGGCGATGCGAGCTAATAGCGAAAATACCGCACACTCGCCTGACCTCGGTCGATACTGCATCATGCGGCCAATGCTGAACTGCAACCGCGAGAACCATGCCACGATCGTGCCGTCACCTACCGAATGGAGAGAGGGCTGACGACTAGTGTGGGCATATGCCGCAAAGGTCATTAGCGAGGGTAGTGGGAATTGTTGCCGGTGAACTACAGCCCGTGGTTGTGAAACTGGTGTGGTCTCGCGTCTTGGATGCAGTGGCCTGGATTGTAGGAGCTGGCATTGTAGGAGCTGGCCGAGATTTTCTGCGGTGGGTAGAAGGTGGATTCCGCCTCACGGGCGACCGTCGTCTATAAAGAGACTACAAATCCACCCAAGTTGCAAAACCAGAATTCAAGCCCCCTTCAAATTCTCCTCTCCCCTGCACCTCGTCCCCTGTCCCCTATCCCTCATCCCCGGTTCCGTGTTCTGTGTCAGCTTCCCTGTTTTATGAGTGCCCACAATCACAACATCCCGAAGGCTTTTTCAGCCCTCTCTTCCACACAATGTCAAATGTTAGTTTTCGCCTGGAATCCTTTCCAGGACAAAGTCTTTGCGAGATTATCGATATTTGCCGCTACCCAAGTCCTGTTTTGATGACCGCCACCCCGCCTCTCTCTAACCCTATCGACCCCGTCTCAAATCCAAAAAAGTCGTTCCTACAAACCTGGCCAGCATCCCCTTCCTGCCCGCCCCCCATTGGAGGTCTGCTTGGATGGCAGTCTACATTCGGACGCACAAACCACTCGACACGAGCCTGAGGATTTGGGCCGCGCCCCCTCCTGATCTCACGCTGAGACTTTGGACTCTGAAGACATTTTGCAATTGCAAGATATACCAGGCACCGAAGACGTTGATTCTGCCACGATGCCCGATAATGTTTGTCTGGGTGCTAAGCATCGATCCCCTGGTTTCGGATCGTGACTTGGAACCTGCCGTTATTGCTGGTCAGCACCACCTCAAGCTGTCGATTCTAGAAATACTACCTAGACTGGAGAGCTTCCAACCACTGAAACAATCGATACCGCAATCCTCGACGAGCATGTCTTTCTAGGTGGTGAGCAGATCCAAACAACGGAAATTGCCACCGACATCGCAACATGTCTAGACAGATATCTTGGAGTGCTCCCGCTCTCTGAGTCAAGATCCACCTCTTCAATTCAGACGACAAATTGCAAAGGGAACGGCGGTTCCTGGTCGCCAGTCCAAAAAAAAAAAAAAAAAAAAAAAAAAACGTTCGAGTGCTGGGAAGAGATATTCGAAAGTTGGTGCCGCCCGGTCCAATAAAGGTCTCCATCGTCGCAGCAGCGTTTCGTTTCCTACCGTTCATGCTCAATTCTCGGCCCTTCCCGTCGAAGACCGGCTAGAGTTCCTGTCCTGTTATTTGAGGGTGCTTTGTCTCATTATATTTGTACGTCTTTGAGCACAGATGCCACTGTATCAAGATGCATCGCAAACCAATATTCAGGCATCACATACGACTGTGGCCGGCCAAGCCCAAATACCGAACTAGGCGATACCCAGCATACCTCTTGTACGAGAAAATGTTTATGATGGTCCGTGGAAGAAGTATCTTTATTGGTGAAGCTCAGGGAAGAACAGAATCTTGCTTGGTCGGAGGTGACGAGACAATCTGCACAGAACTTCGCCAGGAGGAGTAAAGGGTCCATACAGGTGTACTGGAGAACGATGCTCAAGAAACAGCGGCGAGCTTTGGCGGATGCCACGTAGGTAAACAAGCTGAGGACTGTGGGTTGCCTTTGGCTACTTCTATCAATATTGTACGGTTGATTATACTGTTGCAACAGCCAAGGAGCTGTTCAGACGTAGAGGAGCGATGCAAATCGAAGTCAATATAGTAGGGGGTTCGCTGTCTGGCGGCGGGTAGTGGCCCGTCGGGGCGGAATGCGTCCAGATGTTCACCAGCTTACTCACCCCCTTGGCTGGAGTGGATTCATGCCTCAGGCACTAATGACATCAACATGCTTTTGGCCGTTTGGTAGGCTGACGTTCAGAGGCCCTTTGTTTCGTCGTATACAGTACTGGTGAAAGTTCTCCGGTCCCCTCCGAGGGCTCGGAATGGAGGTGATTCTTACGAGCAGGTTGAAATCATTTCTTGCCAGAGACCTGGGGGGTGCGAGGGTATTATGAAATGCACGGATCTGCGCTTTAGGTGGGGAAGGGGCTCTCAACTAGCCAATCTTTTCAGTCCTGCTGTACTGCAACCACGTTGTACACCTTTGCACGCCCTCCTTAAAACGCCTGGTTTATTAAACGTTTAGTCACAATTTCACCGCCCGCCAATTTTCCTCATGTTAGAAGTTACGTTGAACGCTTGTTCCTAGGTACTCTCTTAGTCGCCCCGGGGATCTATAGCTCCTAGGAGTGAATAATATAGCTCCGAAAAAGGAGAAGTTCCGTCGCATTGTCAGGCGAAATCACTGCATTGTAGACGTATCCGTTTGATTTGGATGGTATGGTTGACACAGAAGCTAGTAAGGGTGCTTAAACAGGAACGAAATAGCATAGGCCGAGAATGCTATTCTCTTCCTTTACTAAATTTAAGCACATCTTCCCCATACCATACGTCGGTCCAGCCTTACTCCAAGGTGGAGAAAGGAGTGACTGCGAGCCAATCATAAGTTAGAAACGCTTTGACCCCAGAATAAAGAAACCAGCAATGTTCTATGCTTGAGCCATTTAACGGTTTTACCAACCAAGCTATAGCAAATTTTCACATTTAATATACAACAGCGATCAAGATGACCATATACAGCCCGTTTATTGTAGTATTCAAGCTAGGAGATTTGCCTTGCTTGGGTTCTTGTTGCAGTAAGTAACGCATACAAAGTCAAGAAACGCCTCACAGTCAGATTTTTGACAGCGCCTACAGTGCTGGCGAGTGAATCTGGGTGTAGCGCAATCCATTATGCACAAGTATCTGTAACTATCCTGTCTACTATTATTAATCACGTCATTCGCCCAGGGCTGACCAGAGCCATGACAACGGGAGTTCCGTTAGCACGCTTCAGCCCGTAACACGATTGGCTCTCGGTGGCAAGTCAGAGCCCCCCCAGTTAGTTGGCAATTCCGGTGGTTGTAAGCTCTTGTAAGCAGAACGCTACGGGTAATGCTAACAGATAAGATGTTGGATCGGAAAAACTTCTATCCGGGGTTTCTTTATAATCCTGTGCAGCCCTTGAAGGGGGTTCGTCCCTCTGCAATAATCCCACATTTATTGCTATCTATCTCACTAAAATGGAACTATCAATACGCCCAATAGCCCATGTATGTTTATTCATAGTTTGTTGAATACCATTTACTGACATGTCTACGCCAAGCCACAAAGTCGTGACCCTGATGGATTTTTTCCACTTGATGGAAAGGACCTTAATTCCGTCACAGATGAGGCTCTGGCAGCTCTTCTCACATCTTCTCCTATCCTCCACCAGCTAGGTGGAACGACAGTTGTGCGGCTTTCAGAGACATTGATCATGAAGGGTGGCGGGAGTGTCATGACTAGTGAAGCGGAAATGCTCCGTCTTATTGCTTCCAGAACCACCATTCGAGCCCCAAGGGTCTATCGCTCATTTCAGGTCAAAGATGATACACAATATTTTGGTACATCTGGGTATATTGTGATGGATTTTATCCCAGGTCAACCACTGGATGAGAGCTGGAACAGCCTATCCCGTGACACTCAAGGGGAAATCGCTGCGCAGGTTGCTGAAATAATCCAAGAGATGCAGTCCATTGAGCTTTCACAGCCTGGTCCCACTGGTGGAGGACCAAGTCGGGGTCGGTTCTTCACAGATTATAGTGCGGGGCCTTTTATGGACACTGCTGGAATGGAAGCTTGGTTTAACCACAAGCTAGATATCTGCAAAAGGGTCCATCAAGCCCCGAAAGACATTCCGCCATTCCATTTTACCAAGTTTGTCCTTACACACAACGACATCAGTCCTCGAAACCTGATCTTAGATCAACATGAACAAGTGTGGTTGATTGACTGGGCATATTCTGGTGCATATCCTCCTGTCTTTGAAAGCGCGGCATTATCAATACAGCCATTTTTCACTGATTTCAATGAAGCGGTGTTATCCCTTATTCCACGTTACCCTGAGGAGGAAATGCAACTTGATTCTATTGCATATGGATTAACCACCGCGGCATTGGCCTAAGGGAGGCTTAAATGGAAGCGGACTACACCCGTCAGGGCGAACCCTATTAGAATTAGCTGGTTGAAGGAAATTTAGTTGGACAACAATGACATTAAAAATTTGCTCAATGCTAGAATTCCTCTTTAGTCGTTCGCTTCTAGGGTCGCATATTTAAAACACGTGCAATTTCTAATTAGTCCACCTAAAAAACAACAGACTTCAAGCATCTCATTCGCCTCCTTTTTCCCTCGGGGACAATACTACCTAGAAGTGGAGATAGGAGTCAGGGTCAATGATATCTAGTTTATTCCCAGAATAGCGACACTCAGGCCAAGTTATGCTGGAAGAACACAGTACTGAAATTATTGTTAGAATGAAAGGCATTGGTCGTGAATTGAACAGGCCATACGCGAAACTATCTCGGGCATCCGCATCAAAGCAAGCGAATATCATCAATGTATTCACCGGGACATTGTGGTAACCAATGGGTGCAGTAGTGTATTTCCATCGCCAAATGGGACAATAATGATTCCCGTGTGATACATACGCACAGCCGAATGGCGGGCAGGAAGATGGAAAGCTGCTTGCTTCAGTTCGTGAGGGATCCTGAAACGGCGCCCAGAAATGAAGTTGCTTGGAGACTCATCAGCAGACCCGATGGAGCCGCCTACGAACCGCCTATTCATTTGTGGGCAAGGTGCAAGAAAATATGTAACGAGAATCTGCAACAAGTGATACAAATGAACGGACTAACTAACTCAAAGCATTAAAAATACCGAAAATGGAGTGAAGACGAAAGTTCCTACATCCCGTATGCCACACCCTGGGACTCACTTGTTAGTCCCAGGGAATCCTCATGCTCCCGGGATTCCTGCTCAGGAGGCCAGGAACCGAAAAGCGCATGTTTTTTTTTATCGGTTGAAATATTTTCCAGCGGGTGACCCCACTGATCGCCCACTGGCACAAAGCGCGTCTGGGAACTATACTGTATGGCTCAGAAACTTATCCGCATGCTAAGTGCTTTACTACCATGCCTAATTTTCACGGTAAAGAGTTCAATGATTCAGCTGTATGTAATGACAGTTTCTTGTGGGTGGTGAAACCTGGCTCAAATTCAAGAGAAGGGAGGCCGCAAAATAATGGTGGGCACAAGAGTGAGTAGAAAGGACTGTGGGTAACAAAGAAAAGTGTGCAAGATAGCAAGGAATGGACCTGGTGGCCCGAAAGAAAACAAACAAGAAGGAAAAATATCGGGAAAGTGGGAAAGAGAAAAGGTGAGGCTCATTGGTAGTAAGCCCCCTGGTCAAGGGGAAGTGGTGTCTGATCTGGCCACAGCTTGAGAATTCCTGCTTTTGCCGCCGCAACCTGGGATGCGTTACCGACAAACTGAAGTTGGTATAAAAGATTAATCTGATCAGTAGTCCAGCATCTGCACCCAACTCCCATTGCATCGAATTCGTATTTATGACGCCCATAGCGAGTAAATTCCCCCCAAACTTGCCCCACTGACAGTCCAGGGGCAACATCGAGAATAAATTGGGCCTGGGCATCAGTAGATATTTCATAAGGCAATTCTGAGATGATGAGGTTGGCCTTGGAGCCTCCCCGAAGGACCGAGCTCGGAACAGTGTGGCTTGGCTGGCAATCGATTCGAACCGAGCTTGCGGGGGATGACGAAAGGTAGAGGCACCAGTGATTAGTACCCCCTGCCTTTCGATGTGGAACGGCGAGGATGCGCTTCACTGGCATAGCCAATATTTGAGCCTGGCGACTGGCAGGCACATAGTGAACGGGCTGAAAACCAGACATGGATAACGAGGCAAGACTAAAATGATAAGTCAGAATGACCAAACTAACAATGAAACAACAATACAGAACTCACAGAATTTGAGAGAAATTGTATGTACAAATTAGATCTTGCGGGCCAGAGAACACAGATGGATTGTGAAGGAAGTTGAGGAAAACGCGTCCTTTTAATAACCATAGATCCGAAATGGAGGCCCATGTTAATTGTTTAAATAAAACTAGTATAAGTCGTTTCATGAGACGCCCATTGCCTTACCCATCGCATAGGCGTCCGAGGATTGATGCTCCTCAGTCCGGCGGTTAGCCAGGTCCCACTAGATAATCACCTTTATCTTGCCTGAGAATTTTATATCGGTAGTTTCAGCCAATGAGAAATGTAAAATGCACAACATTTTCCATTATGTAGTATTAGCGCTTGGGTATGAGACCGAGGCGGGGATTGGGTATGTGCACAGCATTTAATTGACACACACAGGACATACTGTACTAAGATAGGCACAAGCCAATAATTTTGCTACTGTAGGCGCTGAACAAAGCGCCTCAACGAAATGCGATATTATAGGGCTAATGTTTTATTTTTGAGATTCTCCACTAAGTCGATCCTTTCCAGTATGTCCCCCAGAAAGTTTTACCGAAAATAGAAAAAGATCGTTGATTGTTGACCAGGTCTCTAGGCCTTTGCTCCTGTTTTAGACCTTTGTAATCACAGGCGATTATAAGAACTATATCTGAAGTCTGCTCATATGAGATCAGACTAGGTGGGAAATGCATACCAATCATAATGCTAGACTAAGCGCCACTAGGTGTGCTGTACACCAGGCACAGTATATCAGCTTCTCGTGGCAGGTGGTGGTTAGCGAATAGCATGGGATATAGCCATTATGAATCTAAAACCAACCCCCTGCGTCAGATTGAGAATGTAGAACGCGAGATCACTATACGGCTGACGGAGTTCAGGCGACGGGACGGCCCCTTGTGCGGGGATAAACTGCTGATTTGGGCAATATGCAGCCAGTTAGCTCGAGACCCCGGAAGGATGTAATCGCATGCATATGTGAGTTGTGTAAGACCGTACATCCCGTACTAGGGATAGGCATCATCACAATCTCGTGTTTTCTCACAAACGTACCGAAAGACCGCCCCGATCAGCGCGTAGGCTGATAAGAATAAGCCTAGACCCTCGGTTGAGGGGTACACGACACGCCACAATTTTGAGAGACGTTGGCCTGGGCCCTTGACCCACCTATACACGGGAATATAGCCAATCCTCGGCCGCTTATCAATCCCCGCACAGACATACAACGTAGGCACCCAAACTCAAAGATCCACAGTTTAATGGTCAACATTGAACTGTGGAGTCATCCTATCGACTCCACTTTGTGATGTTGAACACCGAGATGCGGGGATTTGTTCTGAATCTTACAACATCGATGCTGTGTCGATGGAGACCCAAAAGAAAGCTTGACACCAAATTATTTCATTCCTCATCAAAATGGATCTCTTAGTAGCCTTGGAGACAATACGCAATGCATCCGATGCCATCCTTCACTGTCATGCTGCGCAAACTATTCTGACGCTCAGGAGTGTCAGCCAACGCCTTCAGTGCAGGCTATCCCCCGATTTCCACGCTACTCCCTGGAACCAACCAAGCCCACCGTCTCCTCCACAATCGCCTCATCTTCTCGAAGTTGCTGAAACACCAGCACTTAGAGGCCGGCCTAGTGTCTCTTCCCAATCACTGCTTCAAGTACAAGCCGAAGTCAGAGACCAAATCGCGGTGCTATCATCGCCATCACAATCAACTCAGGTCTCTGTTTCGCATGTTTCTGCTCAATCGCCCAGCACTCCCACTACCCAGTTGATACCGACTAGGGAGACATCTCCATTACAATCAACTCATGTCTCTGTTTCGCATGTTTCTGCTCAATCGCCGAGCACTCCCACTACCCAGTTGATACTGACTAGGGAGACACCTCTTGGCGTTATACCTCCTAAGCCGATTCGTCCTCAACCTGATAAGATCACTGATTTGTTGGGCCGTATAAAAAAATCCGCACAATGGGTTTTTGAAATTAGTCAGCCGCCCTTCAGTCAGGTCCTATCTTGTAAGCGAGACATAAGAGAGGACCTACGACTGGAGCATGTCAGGCGCCTAGAAGGTGATCCAAATCTTGACCATAACGCAAAATTATTGAGAATTCTTGCAATCAGGTCCATGGCATTGGAATTCACAAATGAGGAGGTAGCTGCCGAAGTGTTTCCAACGAAGCTCGAGGAAGTTTATCGGCATGCACTTTCCCAAAGCCCTTCCAAACCTCGTGTCTTTAATTATAACACCGAAGAAATCTCGACGAAAGCGAAATCAGCGGGTCTAAAACATTTGGTATTCGAAAAAGTCATTGCACACCGTTTAAAAGAGTGTGGTCTACCAGATATGTGTGATGCCGTTTCTGCTATGTGTGGGCTGCATATAGAGAAATTCCGAAGGTTTCCCTACAATCAAATGTTGGGCTTTGCGAACATGATACTGTCACAAGAGACACAAGTTATGATTTCGGACAGTAAAATAAATCTTCTCGACCTTATACGATATCTGAGCCCATGGTTCCAGCAATTGCAGGTACATTATGACCGTGAGTGGGTTCCTACGACAATTTCTGCTAATCATTGCTAAGTTACTACAAAGTGATTTACTGTAGGCCACCCGTCTCTGTGATCGATTCAGGCAGACATAAGTTCCCACAGCCTAACCGTACCTACCACCCGGATAATGTCGTGGGTCCACGAAGCTCGGATGGCTCACGACTAGATAGCAATGAACTGCAATTTGAGGATTTCGAAATTCTTCAGGATTTAGATTGTTTCCAAGACACCGGAGATCTTGAAAACTTCAACCCATTGCAAGATATGGATGTCGATCTTGAAAACTTCAACCCATTGCAAGATATGGATGTCGATCTTGAAAACTTCAACCCATTGCAAGATATGGATGCCGATCTTGAAAATTTCAACCCATTGCAAGATATGGATGCCGATCTTGAAAATTTCAACCCATTGCAAGATATGGATGCCGATATTGAGAACTTCAACCCCTTGCAAGATATTGAAGGTTTTCAAAACCTTAATCATTTTCTATTTCCCAGTGTGCATTCAGACCCTGATGCTGACGAAACACTTCCGGACCATACCCAGTCTACGCCGATGGTGTCTATTCCCAGTTAATATAGCTAAGTGGATAATCAACAAAAAGGTCATGGGTCATTTCTCTCCTCTTCAACCGTATGTGCTTATTGGTTTCTTGAAATTTCAGTTTGAATAATATCCACAACATACTAATACAAGTATATATCTCCATTTGATACACATGTATCATATGTTATTTTTATTCCTGCTTATCTGCCTCGAACGCGACGAAAACAACATCAATTTCCTCGCCAGAGAGCTTCGGAGTATTTTCGATGTAGCAACAGTTATCCGGCGGTATTTGTTCCCCCGGGGGATAGAGAGTTGGTGTTCCATTTATTGGGATAATTAAAAGTTGTTTCGTAGGATAGTCCGGGTTCTGTATATTCGCCCCTCGGGAGAAATGGCGCACGGTGCAGCCAACCACCTAGAAAAGTTCATTAGCAGCTTATAGGATGACAGATATTGGCGCACTCACTTTCGAGCCTTTGGGCTGGAAGTGCGTTTGCATCGATTTGACATATCTCAAAAACTCGTCTCCTTCGTACCGCCAGCTCGCTGACGTTTTGTTCGAATGTGTCGCGGTGCCTTTCGCGATAAGCTCCCGCATAGTGTCAACAACTTGCTTGGATATTTCTGAAATAGGTTCGAGACGCATTTTGGATGAGCAGCGTCTACCATCTACTGATTGATATTCTTGATGGTTCAAGAGCGGGGTGAAGGTGGGGGAAAGACTCAAATGCAGACCGGCCTAAGATTGGGTGTCCAACCACGTGACCCGTCACGACTAATAACCTCGGAAATAACTGTTTTCTCACGACTCTACCTCGAGAATCAAGAAGATTAGAATCAATTGTTATAGAAAATTACCCTCTATTTAGAAGAATAAAATATAGTATGGCCTTTTCTCGGGACTACATATATAAATGTCCATTTACTACCCACGAATGGCTCAATCAACTGAAACCCCTTTCACCGTGATATCCATTTCATCTCCAAGTTCCAATAATCCAACCGGATTTATACTGTTTTTTTTTATCCACTGCTCCATATAATTTATCATTGATTCAAATGAAGAATACGACTGATTCAACCCATGGTAAACCTCCAAGGATATAACAACATATTTATTTGTTGCCTACCTTCAATCGCTTCCTTCGTGGGAAAACCAAAACCGACGACATTGCCAATCCCAAGAAAACAGAATTTCAATAAAAAGGTCGATCGGCCAGTATAACAACCCTATTGACGCTGCTCTGCTGCCTGAACCCTCTCCATATTTGCATCACCAGAAACAGCCATTGGCTTGCTAAGAAAACATCATGGATTGTATTCCAACTTGCTCGCTACGAAGACTGCTTCCCAGCTGGATTGATTATTTTCTCTTTATTCAAGACGATTCCCCGTCCGTCAGGGGAAACCAAGAAGAGCAGAGCGCAGAAGGCAGAAACATAGAAGCTATGAACCCTAATTCTAGATATTATCCACCACTATTTCACGGTAGTATTCCCTACCCGAAAATACATATCACTAATGTGCTCCTTCGTGTATGCTAAGCACGCTTTTCTTTAGATACCACCAGTCAGCCCGCTCCCACCCCGTCGGCTCGATCTTGGATGAGTGATACCAATATTCTTCCAGACCCCTTCTCTACTCCAAGTCACCTTCAGATCCCTAAAGAGGTAATCAGGAAGTCGCTGCCTATTGGATATTTCAATCATATAGAACCATGTAAGTAAGCGTTGGGTAACTCAGAAGGGGTTTCTGGAAACGCTGACAATGCAGATCCAATTTAAGGCCCAGCTACAGGGACCAGTTTTAGAATTTCAGCTTCTCAGTGAAATCGCTGAATTTGAGAGATACAACTGTACAGTCTGGACCCCAGACTCCGTCTTTAATATGGTTGTCCCTCCATTTGTGGAGTAGCACCGTCAGAGTTTCACCTGCTGAAATTTCACTACAAAATTGGGGTTGCAAAGCGTCGTCTAGTATAGGGCCGGAAATACGGTATTGAAAGAGATAAATATTTAATTCTAAGTCTTGGTATGAATTTGTATTAAGTAATGAAATGTTAATAGGCAACCAACAAATAGAGTAAGGATACCGAAGCCCGTTAAGATAGATCGGTATTTCTAATAATTTCCTAGTGTCTCTTTTATCCAAATTGCAAGAGAACTTCTTAATCCACGGGTTGGAGGTTATATTATAAAAGTAGATTGACTTCCCAGTGTGTCAACCGCTTGGAATCCAAACCAAATGACTCTTCATCTACATTAAATTATGGACGACGACTTGATTTCCCAGTTTCTGATCTACGCCCTATTATCATGGTTTGCCTTGATCATTTTCTGCATTTATAAAACTCGGCTTGGGCATATATTAAAGTATTACTGGACTGGCCGTGGCCCAAATGTATGTCTGATATTGAGATTTGCAAATTATGACAAACTGATCATATCATAGGACTAAGATGTCGCCCGGTCTCCAACTAACTACTAGTTGATATGTGGAACCATGTAAGTTCTAGTGTATTCTATCTTATTTCCTCCTTTTAATTAAGAAGTATAGTTGTACTGGATCAATTGAGTATAATGTACAAACCAATCGAGCTTTCCGGATTCGGCAGCACATGTCGTAGAAAAATATATAGTTCCGTATATCAGCACTAACTCCTCGAGTCCATCGTTTTACCACCCTATATATCCGACTTCCATGGTCGCAACACGTGCTATGAAGAGGTCTGCCTCTACCATGCAAGGAGACCCTAGTGTTACTCTTGTATGAATGTCTCCTATAACCGACATGTTTGATTTATTCTCGCTGAGATACCATCCCGCAGCGGAGTTTTCCTATCTTTCATTAACCGCAAGGGGCTAATATACCCTTGGATGGTGGAAGTTTTCAAGCCACACGCCAAATTTCACTTCAAGTCCGAACTCCCCGCTGGGATTGCAGGCCGCTGCTGTCGAATTCCTTCGAGTTCTACAGAACAAATTGGTTCTATCAGCAATAGGCTAGGGTACAGTGACGAGGAGCTTGACTTTATCTGGGAAGAAAGCAGCACTACTGGCCAGGATTGGGATACTATCTCTGAACAATTTAAAGAGAGATTCCCCTACCAGAAATGTTCTTCTGATCAAGAAATAAAATGGGAGTACTATCGCTTGCTCACTTCGGATCTGCCAGGTCTAGACCAACCTTCGGCCTCATACACCACTGAGGAAGTTTGGTTTCTCTGGTTTTATCGCGTTTTTTTTGAGAAGCAATGTGATGTTGTCTTGAAGAGCTTTCATACGCGATTCCTAGAACGCAAACCTGATACCATAACCCGTATACAGAACAATTTCTCTCAAAAGATCAAGTCTGGTACGATACCATGCCGCTGTGAGGTTTTCCTATCTTTCATTGAGCTCAGTGATCTCAAATTCCCGTGGATACTAGAAGCTTTCCCGCAAGGAAGAGCAAGATTTTCACCAAATTAAGACTTCCTGAAACCTGTGATCGCTAGTTATATATCAAATTACTCTTTGCTAATCATTCTATAATCACTCAAAATGTAGTGACCAGTTTCGGTTTTCCCCAGATAGGTAGGTTCTATTCAACGTGGCGCGTACGATATAATGGCGTCAAAAAGCCGGGGATCCCGCATAAGATCTAGAATAAGGTTTCTCTTGTTGATTCCTTTGCCACTACAACAATTGTGATAGGTCTAGTAGAAATGCAAATTGTCTTTAGCTTTAGCCTAATAAGCTTACTAGCGCTAGCTGTCTAGCACGTGTGGATGTAGTGACTTCGATCTATTGAAGTTCCCTGTATAGGATAGGTGCATAGTAAATAAGACAGTTGTTGTAATCAGTCTGATGTTTGCTCGTCAAGGAGATCTGAAAGAACTTTGCTGGTTGAGTATAAAGCTAGCCACTCTCCTAGACTTCAGCGATACAGACAAGGATCTCGATACAGTCATAAGAGTAAGCTAGACTCTTAATCTAGAGGATAATATAAATTAAATCATACCAGCACATTGGACAGTCTCTTCTCATTCTTCTTTTTATGTTTTAGACTTCTTCATACAGACAAATAGCCCCCAAAGAATCATTTGCGGGACAGTCATCAATACTTGAACCAATGAACATTAGTTCGCTTTTAACCGATCCGACGGTTTGCACACCGAAATCGACGGTCTTACCCGGTAGCACCCAGCAACATTCAGACCTATCGAGTGACTTCAGCAAACACGATAGCCAAGCCTACAAATACAATGACGAGGAACTTTGGTTTATTTGGTATCAACACGTTGTTCTTGACCAGGAATGGGACAATATCCTTGAGAGCTTCAACCACCAATTTCCGGGGCGACAACGTCCTCGTGGCAAGACACTACAAGCAGTGTACTATCGGATTATACAAAGGCTAAATTCTCTTATTGGGGAAAACCCTTCCACCGAATCTATCATTCATCACGCGAAGTTATCGTACCCGTGGATGAGCAGTCAAGTGCAATCTTCGAATATGCAATCTTCGAATATTTCCTTAACCAAGACCAGCTTCAAAGGTCGAAGGAAATACGAAGATGAGGAAATTTGGTTTATCTGGTGGAAACGCATTGCTCTCAAGAAATCATGGCGCGATGTCCTCAAGAGCTTCAACCGCAAGTTCCCAAATAACCGATCTGTTTCCATCCGCAGAATTGCATCCAAGCTCGATCGAGAGATCAAGAAGAACACGCTCCCACACCCCTGTCTGATTGAAGCTGAGGCAGGCATTTCCCATCTAGAAAAGGTGACATCTTTTATTACTCGCAAGACTCTGCCGTACCCGTGGCTGCTGGAAGCTTTGGAAACTGCTTAATCTTCTTTTTCATATGATAGGCCAGATGGATTTGAGCTCAAACATCCCATATGTATAACATCATTGAAGCATTGAGTGCCTACGGGAGGTGACTGATGTTTTTGCTACAAACGTATTTGATCTTTTCTATTTTCCGTATAGATTGCCGTATAAAATAAAGAGTTGTTAATGCGTGCTAATTGGTCATGTAAAATTTAGTCTAGCTTTGGCCTAAAAAGGTTAATACGCGTGGGCTCTAGCACGTATAGATCTAGTGACTTCGACCAATTAAAGTTCCCTGTTCAAGATAGATGCATAGTAAATAAGATAGTTGCTGTAATGAGTCTGATGTTGCTCGTCAAGGAGATCTGAAAGAACTTTGCTGATTGAGAGATCCCACCGCTATTAGGGTTAGATTAAAAGATATCGAGATATTGCCGATCTTTCATAGCCGCTGAACTATTAAAGAATACTAAGCTGGCTACTCTGCTAATTTATTTTCTCTACTCATCTCAGAAACTTCTCGCGATGAATAACTCTCCAGATACCGGATTTGAACAGATACCAATAAGCGCAATCGACAGGCTCAGAGAGTACTATCAGAATGTGCTTGAAGAGCTTAGCCTTGATGAGCTCCGCTACCTTTCTAGCATGTTAGGCGGGTCAAAAAGACGAAGCAGGAAAGGTATAGAGCCTCTACAATAAATTTAACATTTACTAACCTTCAAAGCAGATACAATCAAGTATATTCTTTTCGTCTTGCCCACGCAGCTTATGGCTCTTTTACATTTGGGAACCTCTCCCAGAACTTCGGTGAAATTAAGGGAAATATTAGGCGCAATCACACCAGTCATAATACTTGAAGAAAAATACACGAATAAGGAAATGGGTAAGTCTTCTTTTCCTATTCTCTATCATCAGAACTAAACTATGTAGGGGACAATGTGGCTGTCAATATTACGAGAAAGAGTGACGGCGGTTATACATTTGAAGTATGTCAGATGCGTGAGTGTCAAACTTCGGAGTGGCCATACACGAGTAGCCAAGATCGGCGTCCTAGCACTGCTCGGATCCTACATTCGCAGAAGTGTCAATCGACCCTTACGATGGAAATCAATAAGCATTTGAAATAGGTACATTCTGCTCTTTTTCAAGGTTCTAAATTGCCATTATAGATCACAATGCCCTTTATTCCCTTTTGATCAAATCAAGTTGATTTCGCATCTTTAGATATAAACCTGAAGTTTCAGATATCGCCATTTCTATCGACACATTCTCAAGAGGTAAGCAGGCTAGTCGTTAATATGAGTTACATCATTGCAGCACATTGGGTACTACTTCAAGATGTTGATACGGAGACACGAACCAATATGCCAGTTTCCCAAGCTTAATTTTTACTCCCACTGTTTTCAATGTAGTGCTTGGTATCAAAAGTGCAAGAGAGTTGGGGACTACTACTAACATAGGAACTAACTATCCCAAGGTTAAAAGCAAAAATATTCCATATTTTGTGGCATTCAATAGCAAAGAAGAAATCGAAAAATATTGTCAGAATCACTTCTAATTTCCTAAGTACTCGACGATCGTTCTGTACTGCACGCTTCCTCGGATCCCTTTACTATATTATAAAGCGAGCATTTCGTCAGGTTTACAACACCTTAACTTCTTCTGCCAGACAAGTCCTGTGATGTTAACCCTTCCCTACTATTAGAGTCAGGCTCTAACCAAACAAGGTTGTGCGAGATTGGTTCCCGTCCGATGCACTCGATGTTATGGAAAACGGCCTCAGCAATGTGGCTGTTGATGCCGTTTCCCTACAAGGGCTTTGCGCACAGCATCAGGCCCAGGATAACCATAGGAATCCGAAGGATGCACCCTTGGTGGACCTTGCGGTGCTTGAGACTGGTATTGTACGCGTTCGGGGGAAATATGGATTCATTCCATTAGGTAGCGATGATCCGATTATCTTACAACAACAGGCAGAAGACCTTGACTCGAAGAAAGTTCTTTGCTATCAGCGCCTAGACTCAGAATACCAGGAGCATAAAATCAGTTTGGGATATAGGATGCACGAGGGGTTACCCGACTGGTATGGTGGCCATATCCAAAACTGTCTCAGGCGCCTAGAGCAACTTGCATAACTCTTTGTATCGAACTTAAAGTATCCTGGTCGCTCATTTATCTCTCATTATATGCGCATCCGCACACTTCTGCAAACGTAGCATCAATGTTACTTCTCCACCATGTCAATAATGCCCGTCAAGCCTATCACTGGAACATTACTACAGCTTGTAACTCAATTCTGTAAGTCGGTTTGTTTTAAAGTGTGTAGCACATATCTAATTACCTATACAGTTGTTGAAATGAGTGACCCTCAATTCAGCATTGAAGACGACGCTGTCAATGTTTACATCGTTTCTACATCCCCATGGGTGCACGATGGGCCTATCACTACCGACGTTCTATACGGTATCCTTTCTCAGCATATAGGATATGTCCCTCGGGAATTCACGGACTTGGATTGTATGGTTGTGGTATACAGTCTTTTGATGATGGATTTCCTGCCTCCTATTGATCTGCGTATGTCGGTCAACCGCATACTTTACTCGCTTAATGGGAAGGACCTTACGCGTTATCTTACGGATAATTTGGATACCGAGGATAGCGATTTGCTAGAAAGTCAGCTTCAAAGAATTCAATAAGACTCTGGGGTGGGTGATTGGCTTTCTGCTAAGAACTGTCCTGATCCAATTTAGTTTGTATGTGTTACATTACTTTTATTCTACACACAGACTCCACCATAATCTACCTTTGGCACTGTGGTGGCCCTCGAATGTCACTCGCAAGGAACCTGATCATATGAGGTAAAAACGTAATTCTATCCAGTACGTGCTAACATTTTATTGCAATAGACTGTGTCCAACTACTAGTTCACATTCTCTGTAAACTCAATAGCTATAGCATTATGGCTGATAAGTCAGAGGAAGTCCCTAGAGTCAGTAGGTTGAAGAGTACCAAAGCCGCGCCGTAATAATCTTCGAGATCGCTTGAGTGAGGCCAATTTAGTAGCAGTCTAAGAATAAAAAAGGGAAGATATAGATTTAGTTATATCTAACAAACTATCCCATCTTCTGTAAGGGCTTGATAATCTTTTTTTCCAGTCAATCCTTTCCCCCGTGAGGTCAATGCGCGTCAGCCGTTAAGAATGTGTAGATCCGTTTACTTCAATTGCTCTCTATGCTAGGATGGGTGTAACAAGATAGTGCCTATAAAGGTTGTTACTAATCGGATCGTATATCATAGTATAAAACTAGTACGATTCTCTTTCTATCTAGGCCTACAGGGCAAAACAATATTGCTCTACCCTCAGGTATGCGAATCCCCATACTCGATTCTTACATACAAACTAACTTAGATTCGTATACAGAATCATAAGTCGTCAAATTTATTTTCAGAATACTGAGCGTAAAAAGGAACTAGGATTCTCACAACACACGTCAAATCACTCTATGCTATCCATTCGATAGTCACGTAAGACAAAATACAAAGGGGCTAGTTATGGTTCAGCCTAACAAGTAAGTCCTATTTCTTCACTAGAGCGTTTAACCAAGCGGGTCTAAACTTTATAGACGTGGCGCATACGATACAACGGGCGTCAAAAAGCCGGGCGTCCCACCTCTACCGCCGAAATAATGCAGCGAAGTCTGGGTTGTGGTCCTGTGAGTGCCAGTATAATGGGGTTTCGCTTGCATCATTCGTATCATGCCCCTTAGGAAGGTCTTTTGCGGTTTGGGTGTTTGATACTATTTTGTTTTGTTATCTTTAGGCTTGTCAGAACGAATTCTCAGATTTGTCACTCTACTATTGAAGAATTCCCCTTGTCTTGCTTTTTACAGTGGTGCTTATCATAGCTAGTGAGTGGCAGTCTAAGTGTGGGAATAGCGAATCAAATTCCCTCTCGAGCACCTAATATCTCGGAACAAAGTCTTGGCCGCCGAAGAGACTATATCCGGACCGAACGAGATATTGAAGGTTGGGGAATAGTCGCCTGGCAAGTGGATAAGAAGTCAGTCGACCAGGACCCAATATCATTGTTAAAACCGATGGACAGAGCATGGTATCCTGAGACATATGTCTATATTCATTGGTATGGTAGAGAAGCAAGTTGGGAATCGCGGCTTAATCTTCGATTCGTTCATGCTGGCGATGAGCTGAAGACAGACATGTTAATCTACAATGTGGCGAAGGAGCAAGAGGCTAATTACTATGAGGCACTCACAGGGGTGAGGCCGGAGTATCCCCCGGCAAATACTCATATGAAAAACAACCACTGGAGGAATGTGAATGCATACCGAGGTGCATACTGGTCTCAGCCACGTGCTGAGAAAAACAGGCGGATAACTAGAGTCGAATATGAACCAGTTATCCCGAACTCTGAAGAAATTGATGAGGGTATAGGCATGAGCAATGGTAGTAGCTTCCAAGAAGCCAATGAAGAAACTCAAGAGGGATACTATGATGTTGAGGGAGGACAGAAAGTTCAGGACGAAAGGGAACAACAAGGAGATGATATGGAAAGTTTTGAGAAAGTTCAGTTTCAGCGTGATTTAAGCCCCATCGAGGAGGAAGGTCCCATCGAGGAGGAAGGTCCCATCGAGGAGGAAGGTAGTGTTTCTGAGGGCGGATCCGTCTTTACGCCTAACGGTAGCCCTAGCCGATTTCGGTGGCATGGTCAAACACAGCAGAGATACGGTATATTTACTCCAAGAGCAACCAGGTCGCCTAGCTCTGGTTATATACCTCAGGGGGGTAGAGATCAGGCCCGGGGAATACCGGAAACGCCAAATAACCGGGGTATACTCAACCGGGGAAATCAACAATGGATACCACCACGGGGTAACCAGCAGCGACAGACACCACAGTCCAGTCAGGGTAGCCAGCAGCGACAGACACCGCAGTCTAACCGCTCCAACCGCTCTAATTAGCCGGGCAATCAACAACGGACACCGCAGTCCAACCAGGGTACTCAGCAGCGACAGACACCACAGTCCATCCAGGGTAGCCAGCAGCGACAGACACCGCAGTCTAACCGCTCCAATCGCTCCAACCACATTGACCATCGCAGTACGGAATCAATCACGGCGATACCTGTGAACAACCCTCGTCCGACCCAGGTGCAACGCGGTCGAGGCCGCCCCCCCCCCCAAACCGTACCATACCACGACGTAGCGCTTGACTTATAGGGCGGCCTTAAGTCTGTACAAACCTTCGTTAGTTATTTCATGCTACAAATCGTCATACCAGATCAATTTCAAAAGTTCAATTGTATAATTTTGATTAAATATTGTAATGGGGACATGGAATGGGAATTGTGGACCTAGGGACGCCGCGTGAGCGCTGTTCCAGGATTACTGCGAAATTGACATCCGATGGTAGGTGAAAGGGAATCAGGCCTGGACTGATCAGGATTCGTCGAAACTTAAGAGCGAAATTTGCTTTGACTTCAAGGACCAGGATAGCGAGTACCAGCAATACTCCAGATCTGCCCTGAGAGACTGGGCCAGTAGTCGTATGAGCTAGATATAGACATTCGTCAGTAGCTTATGACAAAATAAAGGCTAAGATGAAGCACAGTAAAAGGAGACGTGGAAACCGTAAACTTGTGAAGCCACCGGTGTTTATCCGGAAGGCATAGGAACAAGCTCGGGAAGAATTAGTCCTATCGCTTGATTGAGGTTATCACATATAACGAGTTCAACTTTAATATTTCATTTGCTGAATTTTGGTACTTCGTTTTAAGCACAAGAACAGGGGCGACCAATATTATTGCAGGAACAAACCCGTATCGGCCGGGTACAATGACAGCCATGAGGGCCGCAAAATCCATAGCATCGCTAAAAGGTTATTAGCAGGTCACTGAGAAGCCAGATAAAGCAATCTTACCCTCTCTTCATCTCGGACTAACAAGCTTGGCCGTTCATTATGTTCAGAATCATCGACGTAGTCTGGGTAACCTGTAGCGACTGTCAGGTCGTTAGGTGGAAAAGCAACTAAGGAGAGGACTGGCAGGGCCAAGGCGCTGAAGAGCAGGACCCTGATGCTGGTCTGCATTGTCGAAGCGTGGAAGGGAATGCTTAAGTAGTTGGTGGGGCTAGAAACTATTCCCTTTTTTATACAGTATTCAAATGGAGTTATGTGACGTAGGGAGATCTAGACAAGGGAAAAGGCCGGAAAATTTAGATCCTTGTACCCTACCAACAACACCAAATTGGCCAAGTCGGATAACCTTCCGATAGGTCAAGTCTCAGACTGTTGCAATGTGGGGTGGTATTGTGTGAATAGCAGTACTACGTGTTATCTACTCAGTGTCACGTTCTCACATAAGACGAAGTGACTTATCTTTTTTTCTTCTTCCTGCCCTTCTTAGCATAGCCAGCACTTCCATTTTGTTATCCTATTTCAACGTTTCTTCGGCCTCTCTTAGGTTTCCCGTTAACCTGTTACTATTAACATGTCTTATACCAACAACTCCTATTCTCTCCCCAGTAGTCGCACCGAAAAATGTGCTCCTGACCCTACGTACCCGAGAGGAAACCTTGAAGACCTTCGGAACCTTCTACTCAGTATTAGCGAGTGGTACACCGAAGGAAAGCGGAGTGTTTCACTTATAGAGGACTACCTGCTTGATGCGTGGGACGTACTCATTCAAACCTCGAAGATGACTCCCTCGACGAGCCCAGAACAAGACAGCCTCGTTGTTCTTATCTCAAGCATCAAGGAATTTGGAATCCTTCACCGCAACGAGAGAGATACCCAGGAACAAGAGACTACAATGTTTTCAAACGGACAGAAATTCTGGATCGATCTTCCTTATCTGGCAAGAAAGATGCAGCATTCATGGATTATTGAGTCACACCAGTATACCACTACCGAGCGAGCCAATTTCGCAGTGTTGACTGCCAAGCTATGCGCTGGCGGGATATGTGAAGCTGAGCTGAGCTTCGTTGCTCTCTGGTTACTCAGAGAGACACTTGAGGTACAGCGGCCTCTGACGAAGCAACTGGATATTCCGAAGAGCGAAAATTCGCTGTCAATCACTGAACTACTTCCTGCCTGCTTCTCATGGCTCTCGAACGCCAAATTCAAGCTTATAAAGTTAGTAGCGCAAAATTACGACCCTACTTTGTCTATGGTTATTGAATCAAATCACCAAATCCATATGGACATCGGAGATCTCGCAGCCAAAGCAAACATCACTCAACCTGGTTTTAGTCTTCCACGATGGGTGTTCTGGAGACTACGTCTCAAAGAGTTAAGCCGTTGTGGAGATGCAGTTATCGCTAAGCTAGCGGAGCAGAGTTTTAGCGAGATGGTTCACACCGGAGTTGTGTTGGGTATTGTTGTTCATGGCGAGAGGAATTACTTTGAAAAAGTCAATGAAGCACTTATTGCGGAGTTCAAAGCAAAAGGTATGACTGAAACTGTTGATGCAAGTGATATCAATATCAATATGGACTGGGCAGACTAACTCCTTGGCGAGGTTTGTTTTCTTTCAGTTTCAGGATCAAGCTGCACCCTTAGCAGAATCTACTTTGGTCAAGATAAAGTTCGCGTAGAGATTTATGTTGGTAATCAGTTTTTCCATATGCCTACATCAATTCGTATTCTCACTTTGAATCCTAGAATACGGTTCGCAGACACACTACGGACAGCGGATAAACATCGTCATGGCGTTCAAAGATTCCTTCTCCACCTTGGAGTAGCATGACCCCATTATACTACTATATATGCATTGCCGCTTTTCTGTTGCCGGCACTTATAAATAAACATCCGGCGCAATATTCTTCCGGTGGCCGATTTTTACGAAAGCTGATCGTACCGGTGAAGATGAATGTAGCTTTTCTTCCACATGAAGTCTTAGCATATTATGTAATTAATGTTGCATAGTTAACTAGTTATCCAATGAAAACCATGCGATCCTAACAGAATCTCGAGAATATGGGTCTAACGCCACGTGACGTAGGTAAACATGTACAAAGGTAATAATGTACAGAGGTAAAAATGTACAGAGGTAAAAATGTACAGAGGTAAAAATGTACAGAGGTAAAATTGATCCAATGTAAGATATAGTATTAAAATTTTGGAGTCAACTTATGCTACATATAAGACTATCAAATGCCTAACTTGACAAAGTATAAACCTTGAAAAGGACTTCATTTGTAAAATTTCTTCAATACTAGTATTCTGTGGATAATGAAGCCTTCTTTGAGACCTACCCTCAAACCTGGACCTGCTCCTAGGCTTGCTGCCAAGCCTACGTTACGAGCGCCCCAGTATACCGAGGAGTATTATGATATCGCAGAGCCACTCATTGCGTCCATCCTTTGGGGTCGCTTCAACGAAAAACAACAGGCCTCTATTCAGCTTGACTCTGTAAATGGTCAGATTCAAGCAAAGAATATCAGATATACAGTAATATTCGAAATCAGCTTTACCTCTACACTCTCTTGCACTATTTCCTAGAGACCCACATTAGCAGCGCTAGTCCAAGCTAGGAGACCGACCCGCCTACATTGCATCCAACAATGTAACTTTACGAATCATAGTAAATTACAGTAATTAGCGCATCAATTAATTACCTACGCCACCTCGATTGGTTTTTACTCTAGATCAAATAAGCTATATCTTTGAAGTTTATGATCACTGACAAACCAATCTTATGTGGTGTCCTATTTACTTCTGACAGAACTCTTATGTAATGAGAAATTTCTCACATGACACAGTAGCCCGATTAACGATAAAGATCCTGTATATCCGAACGAAGTGTTCTCTTACCTCTCATTAGAGGCAAGTTAAGAAACTCTGTGGGCATATCATCATAAAGCGCCCAGCCATATTCACCATATTCCTGTGCCTGTAGCTTGACAACAAAAACGTCCCCGTAAAGAAATCGGTCATTCAGAATTTCTTGGGGGAAGTTGGCATTTTCTGGAAGATCATCAATGGCAAAAGTGAAAAAGATGATATAAATCCCATTACAAATCGGGTCCAACTGTTCGGTGACTTCAAATCTCACTTTGTCCGCGTAACGCCATGGATCTGGGGTAGACCAATATTCTCGCATGTCTGGTACATGTCCGTCAAAAGAGAATCTATGGTTGCTCTGTGACGTCGTCCGTAGGGGCACTAAATGGGGAGATTGTCCGTCGGCAGGAAAGCGGGCAGCCATAATCGTGACAGGTGTTGGTGTGGGTACCTGCTCTTCTTGGCTTCTGAAAAAGCTTTGGATGTAGGCCCACATATTCACAACCAAGTCAATAGCTATAGGAACGTTAATTTGAGTGAATGCAATATCATTCGACAATCGCCTCGTACCAGGAATATAGTGGTAGATGTACGCTGATATTGCCTGCTAAACTGATAGTCACAAGAGTAGGCGATTTTCCGAAAGGCAACGAGAGATGTTTTGGCTCGTGACTAGCGTGGGAGAAAAGCTTGGATGGGCAAATAGTTGTTTAAGAGGACCAAGTCGTGCGGGGAATTCGATCAGGATCCTGTTATCTGGGTTATGTAAGCTTATTGCTCTGTTTGCTCTAATCCTTGCATGGGCCGAAAAATTTAGATTATCTTTCATCACTATTACTAGAATTTAACCTGACTAATCAAAGGTACAAGCATTGATGCAATATGGGCGGACCCGTCTCCTAACGTGTACTAGCGCTGCTAATGTGGGGCTCTGGGAAATAGTGCAAGAGAGTGTAGAGGTAAAGCTGATTTCGAATATTACTGTAAGGCCCCTAAGGTAAATGGATGCATCGATATTGCCGCTTTCAAGGCAGCCGCAGAACAGCTAAATCAAGCTTCAACAGCCTTTGCGGGAAGCAAAGACACCAAATTGTTTTTTATTGCCAAGCAAGACCTGGAAGAATGCATCAGAATAGGCAAATTGCCCAAGTCTTGGAACATTGAATGGGAGGTGTTTTTGGATTTTCATCGTGAACGAGTTGGTATGACTTTCTTCACGGCCGACCTGATCCTACAATTCTTAACCGATATACAGGTCGTTCGAACGCAGACGGCAGTCAGCATAAAAGTATTTCGATCGCTCAAAGGGATATATTTGAGGAAGAGGAAGAGGGATACAATGATGAGGATGTAGAGGTGGAATACCATGAATATTCCGGTGTTGATTATGAGGAGGAAGAGGAGGAGGCCGCTGTCCAGAATGGTTACTACGAGGACGAGAATGATTATAGAGATGAATACGATGATGATGACAATAGGGTGGAGGAGTATGGCGGACATACTGACGAAGAAAATGAGGACGGGTACGACGAATATAGCGGGGATGATAGCGAGGACGATGACAAGGATGAGGACTCTCACGAGGATGAGACCGATCAAGAGAATCCAGGTCATGATTCTATCGGCGAAGGCCCAAAATTTGCCTACCACACAGAGCGTGAGCTAGAGTGTGTCGATATTAGTTTGATCAGACGTCGAGCACAAAATCATTATGGGTTACTTTTGACTTCGGGGTCCATCTTAGGGTGGCGAAAGACTAAGTCCGAAGGTCTATTAGCAGTGATGGGATATGAATGTCGGGGTAATCGGACTTCCCGTGTGAAGCAGCACAAGGATACAAATGGTGCGCAGGAGTCTGTGATGAAAGACCGCTCGTTATCAATTCTTGGGGTTGGTCTGATAGCTTGGGAAGTGGATGCAATGTCCGTCTTTGAACCAATAAAGTCTCTCTACCCGACTCCGAACGGGACATATCCGGCTACATTTATTGCAGTGCGCTGGGAGGGTGATGTCTGGACATGGGAGTCTCGCGAGGATTTCCATTATTTGATGGGGGACCTTAGTCAGTTCGAAGTCGACATCCTGTTATACTTCATGGCAATATCTCAGGAAGGAGACTACCTCAAGTCCATGACTGGGAAGAGACCGAAATTCCCAGGTATCGCAAGCACCTAAGGTATCAATTGAACTGGAGGGACCGGGATGATTGCCGAGTTGGGAAGAGCTCCTTATTGCGGTTAGGATGATAAAGTGCTTTCCGCCACCCAATGTTTTATGTATGTTATTTCAGTTTTGTGCAATCTAATCGGGTCACGTACATATGCACGCATGATCAATCACACAAAGTAGTGTCCAATCGTCTCTTAGTCGAACAGTTGGCTCTCGGGTATATAATGAGCCTTATGCCCCAACTGTAGCTCAGCCAGACTTCTACTTTCCTCCCACCTGGGTAAACGTCTCCTCTTTTCAAGCCACGATGACCAGCCCTACAAGCACGATTCTTATTGAGGATGACGAACTACCCCCGAGCTGGCGGCTAACCGATTCACAGGTCCAAAGGACGTCTCCACGTACATCTCTTGAGATTCTGATTCGACCAAATGATGCTACAAGTGGTGAACCATCTCGCAAACGAAAAAGGGTCAATAAACTACCTGGCACTCTGGTATGGGTTTCTCTCGTAAGACACTCCGTTTTCTTGAGCTAATAATGGACCAGGACACCTGTTTCAAGAAGCTGCGTAAGACATTTGACCAAGAAATTGAAACGCGCGATCAAAAAGTTGAAGACCTCGATCAAAAGGTTGAAGACCTCGGTCAAGAAGTTGAAAAGCTGGAAAAGCAAGTCCAGGAACTTCAGAGTGAGCTTCTCCTACAGAATGACCGGCATCAAGAGGAGCTTTCCCGACGACGCATCCTGGAGTGCAAGATTTGCCTCGAACAGCCAGATGGCTGGCATTATCTACTTTGCGGGCATATGCTTTGCGAGCCATGCGCAAAACGGATTGGTCAAAATCCATGCCCTTTCTGCAGAACAAGGTTTTCCGGGTTTGTCTACTGCTATCCATTTGCATGATATATTTTCTATTCAAGACCGAATTTGAGCTCGATGTACTTAGTGATTTAACTCGAAATCCTCTTTTATCAGCTTAGGAATGATTATAATTCGCAAACCCTATAGTATATAACCAGAGGATAAAAGTCGGCACCGCATCAGTTGTGGACCCTGAGGTCATTTTCAACTTTCTCTTCGATATCAACGTCGTCTGACGGTTCAAGCTTATCACTCTATGTGAAGTCGGCTCCAAACTCGGTAGGACCTCCTGATGCAAAATAGGTTTTATATGGTTCAAATGCACCGTCACTATCTCTCGTGATTTCGACAGCTACATTGTCCATATTGTCCCTTGCGTAGTTTAGCTCCGGTTATAGAGACTAGGAAAAGAAGACTTAACTGAAATTAATTCCCCGGGTGTGTCTTGCCAAGACTGGATTGCGTGCCAAGGGACATGTGATCTCATTTCGATATCCCAGGATACCGAAATATATAAACTTACCCCTTTTTTGTATTCATCAATGGTGCCTAGTATATCACCCCTGGGGTTAGATTAGGCTGGCATGCTTCAATTTATAAAGCAGCGTATTAGACGTCATACAGTCACCCGCCAACGGAGCTTAATGAGATGTACCTTCACTACTAGAACTGACAACTGACGAGGTATTATATTCATCTATGGAAGCACGCCTCCACATCGGGATCATGAAAGTAGCCATCGACAAAGGCTAATGATCTGCTTTTTCCCACTTGGCTGCTTCTTCTGCCCACCTGGATGCTTCTTCGGAATCACTGATCTGGTGCGTTTTCTTGTAACGAAGTGTCAACAAGTGTTCGAGTTGGCAAAAAACCTCTGAGCGTGCGCCAATAGCACTTACCGCCTTGCGAGACCATACAATGGCCTCATCGAGGTGATCTATCATGTTTGTTGCTTCGTATAGAAGTCCGAGCTTAGTCCCGAGCTCATAGAAACAATCTCTAAGCAAATAATACTGAGGGCTGATGACCTTCATTTTGTTGATTACAATGTGAGCTTTGTTGATCGCATCCCCGAGGTCAGAGAGCCGTCCGATATGTCTGTATCGGGCTTCTAAGTCTTTTCCGAGATCGCGCATGCAATCTAACCACAATTCATCTTGATCATGGGTAATCTGAAGAGCACGTTCACGTAGTGAGATCGCGTTATCAAGATCTTCTATATTTTCCAATGTGTCATGTCGGAGATTGAAATTGAAAGCGAGCTCAACCAAGAGATCGAAGAGGGAAGGGGACTCTCCAGTGGCCTCTCTAACTGCTAGGGAAAGGTACCAAATAGCATCGTTGAGATCGGCGATAGTTCCTACAGAACCAAACCGTCTTCCGAGCCTTTCCCCGAGTTCGAACCAATACAGTACAAAATCATTATGATTTGTCCTGCCAATTTGTGCAGTACGAGTAAGTTGAATCGCTCGATCAAGGTCAGGTAAAAATCCCGTGGTTTGGAATCGAGCATCGAGTAGTCCCGCCAGAAAATCTAGGCGCATTTTGTACTCAGGATGGTCGTAAGTAGTCACCTTAGCCGCAAGCCAAGAATAGTCGATCGCTAAGTTGAGATCAACGATATCCTCTGTTAGATGATATCGCATATACAGTTGCATCCCAAGGTCCTCGAGGAGCGCGGGATCAACAGCGGCCCGAAGTGCTAGAAAGCCAAGCTGAAATGCTTCATCAACATCACCCGTCGGGTTTGTAGGCTGAACTGGAGCGTGGAAGCTGCTTTCTAGGGCGTATAAGCATGGGGAAAGCTGATCATCGCTCGTTTCGCGACATTGGCTTTGGTCTAGGTATTGGAATCGAGATTCGAATAATCCCACTAGACGATTTAGGTGCGCTGCATAGTCGACATAGGAAGTCGTTTTAGTCGCCAGCTGACAACACTGTACTGCTGTGCCGAGTTCAAGCTCATTGGGATTTTGTGTTTGCTGGTATCGAGCATCCAGCTGCATCCCAAGGTTTTGTAAGAGTGCAGGATTAACAGCGGCCTGAAGCGCTAGAAAGCCAAGCCGAACTGCTTCATCAATATCACCTGTTGGGATTATAAACTGATGTTGAGCGTGGGAACCGCTCTCGAGGGAGTCTAACTGTAGAGAAAACTGATCATCGCTCGTTTTGCGACATAGGATTTGGGCCGGGCAGTGGAACCGGGAATTGAACAATTTCACTAGACGATCTAGGCGTGCTGCATAGTCGAAATAAGTAGGCGTTCTAGTCGCAAGCTGGTAACACTGTATTGCTGCCTCGAGATAATTGGGATTTTGTGTTTGCTGATATCGAGCATCCAGCTGCATTCCAAGGCTCTCTAAGTGGGCGGAATCAATAGCGGTCTGAAGCGCTAGGATACTACGCCAAATTGCTTCATCGATATCACACTCCGCTGAGCTTGTAGATTGATCTTGAGTGCGTCCAAGGGCATCCGAGTGTGCGGGAATCCGGTCATTGCTCATTTTGAGAGATGGGTTTTCGGCTGGGTATTATATGAGGTAAGCTTATGGACGAGAATGATCAAAGAAGGTACTTACAATGACAAGTCTTCGCAGCAAGTGATTTGCGAGAACACAGATTGAACAAAGTTGAGGCCGGAGTCACGGAGTTTGTGGGCAACGATGCGGAAAGATTCTCGGGTATGTTGAGAAAAGGGTGTGGTGAACTACCTCAACGTGTGAGATTCGACACCTTTATAGTCCACCCTCATTTCGAAAAAGGTCCAAGGTGCAAGGCAAAGGGTACGAAGTAGGTATCAGGGAAATTACGCCTATTACGCAGCCCTTTAGATCATTGGCTTAATCAACTGATATGACGGGTCTCGACAGGCCGATTCGGGCTCCATAAACAATATAATTTCTATGTAGGGTATGCATTCCGAGCTATACCGTTGTGGGATTATGTGGACCTTCGATAATGGTAAGCATGACTATGTGTGAGCTCATGTATGCCGGCTGTAATTTGAATGCACATAAGGGGTCCTTAATGAGGCTTTCTTTACAGTCTTCTTGTCTCATAGGTGGCTCCTGGTAACTTTCGCTCCACGTAGTGAGCAATTACCACTGATCTACACATTGCAAGACTTTACTTTTTTTTCCTTGGAAAACCCATGTCTCCTAATCGAAAGGTCATATAATCCTAAAATGGTATAGCTCAGAATGCGCACCCTACATAGATATTACGCCGTCTACGAAGTCCGAATCGGTCTGTCGAGACCCGTCATATCGGTTGATTTGGCTAGATGCTGATCCTTCTTGGGTCTTCGGACTATAGTGATCGGCATGCTCTTGCCTTTATTCATACATGAATGGTGATGTTCTGTGACAATCCTCCCGCGAAATTCCGTCAAGGATTTTCCAGCTTTGTCGTGTTCCAAGTTGGCCGAAATTCTTCCAGCGCTTCCCTCAAGCCGTCACACGTCATACAGTCACCCGCCAACGGAGCTTAATGAGATGTACCTTCACTATTAGAATTGACAACTGACGAAGTATTATATTCATCTATGAAAGCACGCCTCCACATCGGGATCATGGAAGTAGCCATCGACAAAGGCTAATGATCTGCTTTTTCCCACTTGGCTGCTTTTCCTGCCCACCTGGCTGCTTCGTCTGCCCACCTGGCTGCTTCTTCACAGTCATTGATCTGGTGTGTTTTCTTATGACGAAGTGTTAACAAGTTTTCGAGGTGGCGAAAAACATCCATGCGTGTCCTAAAATCAGCACCCACTTCAGGGCTGATGGCCACCATTGCCTTGATTGCATTGTGAGCTTCCCTGGTCGCTTCCTGGAGGTCAGAGGGTTCTCCAGTATGTCTATATCGGGCTTCCATATCGCTTCCAAGACCTTGCAGGCAATGTAACCATGATTCGTCCTGATCATCGGTAGCTTGAAGAGGACGTAGTGAAATCGCCTTATCGATATCTTTTAGCTCTGCTAATTCCTCGAATCGGAGCTCTAAACAGAAAGCGAGCTCAATCAAGCGATCGAATAAGAAAATAGGATCTTTAGTGACTTTGACCGCTTGGGAAAGGTACTGAATCCCTTCGTCGATATCGGCGATAGTTCCTCCAGAGCCATATAGTCTTCCGAGCCTTTCTCCGAGGTCGGACCAGCGGCACACAATTTCATCGTCGTTATGATTTGTGGCGATGACTGCGTCACGAGTGAGTTGAACCGCATCAACAATGTCAGGACCAAATCCCTCAGATTTGAATCGAGTTTCGAGTAGTTCCGCCAGAAAATCAAGGCGCGTTTTGTAGTCGGGATGGTTAGAAGCAGTTATCTTAGTCGCAAGCCGAGAGTACTCGACCGCTAAGTTGAGATGATCGATATTTTCTGTTTGGCCGTGTCGGAAGTATAGTTGCTTCCCAAGATTCTCGAGGAGCGCATCGACATCACCTGTCAGTGAACTGTTTCCGAGAGCGTCTAAGCTTGGGGAAAGCTCCACTAGACGCGCTGCATAACACTGTAACGCTGCGTCGAGATCATTGTTCTCTAAGGGCGGGGACTTAACAGCGACCTGAAGCGCTAGAAAGCCACGCCGAACTGCTTCATCGACATCACCCATCGGCCTTGTAGGTTGATCTTGAGTGCTTTCAAGGGCATCTAAGTGTGCGGGAATCCGAGCATTGCGCATTTTTGTATGTAGGCTTTTGGCTGGGTATTATACAAGGTAAGCTGATGGACGGTCATGATCAAAGAAGGTACTTACAATGATAAGTCTAAGCGCCTAATGTGAGATTCGCAACAAGTGGTCGTCGAGAAAACAGATTAGGTTTGAACGGGCTCTGAAGGAAGCTTGGGCCGGAGTCACGGAGTTTGTGAGCAACGATGCTGAAGGATTCTTGGGTGTATTGAGAAAAGAGTGAGTTATCGATCACCTTTATAGTCCACCCCTATTCTAAAAAAGGCTAGGTGCGAGGTGCGAGGTAAAAGGTACGAAGCAGGCATAAATGTGAAATTACTCTAATTAAATGGGCCTATTACGCAAACTTTGGATTATTGGCTTAATCAACTGATATGACGGGTGGTCTCGACATGCCGATTCGGGCTCCGTAGACGACGTAATCTCTGTAAAGCGCGCATTTTGAGCTATACCCTTTTAGGATTATATTAAGGATTACTAAATAAGCTCTAAATGCGCCACGTCGCGAGTGACTAGTCCGTTTTTGGTTCTAAATTTAGAATTTTGTATGCCCAATCAGCAAGCAATAACAACTTTTTATTTCTATACCCTGATTTCTGGCAATTTGTGTTGGGTTTTGACTAAGATAAAAAAACACAATAAACATTGGAAACATGTAAGGAAACATAAGTAGCACTGACAATTCCAAGTTGACCTTAAAACATCAATAAGCTAACGTGAAGTATCAAAAGAAAAAGGATGGGTGACAAAAGGGCGTCCTTCAACATAAAGCATCAACGAGTTCCTGTAGGGTTCCCATTGGTTGCTGCCAATTATGTGGAGAATGCAGCATTTCGCACTTGGCATACCAATTGTCTTCTCCTCCATGCAGCGAAAGGCTAGTCATACTATATTCGCTTATGAGAACCGGCCCTTTCACAAGATTAGCAATGCCCTGGGTCTTAACAGGCTGCCCTAGTTGTAAGGCAAGCCTAGTTAACAAGCCCTCCTCGGTAATGGAAAACTCTTTATTTTTAAGCCAGCGCCTCATGGTGAAAGACATTCCTAAGAGTAAAGACTTCGGGGATCTACCGCGAATCGATAGATACGCGTATATTTCAGCAAACCTAAGTTGTTGTCCGTCTCGACCAAGCGCATAGAGGCGATAACACTCGCTTTGTAATTCCTTCGAAATAAGTTTGTAAGAATAACCTCCTATAGGGTCCAGTCTGTTTGTGCGCATTATTATCAAGTCTATCCTATGTTAGCCTCTAGCTTTAACTTAACAAAGTCATAACACGCTTCTTACCGTCAGGGGCTGGATAGAGACCTGGCTTCTTCGAGCATATTTCTTCCATCTTCGACTCCCGGGAAATTGAAAAAATGGACTGTTTGAATAGATCCCAAATGTGGTTACAGCTCTCGGGTCTTAGAAGGACTTCGTATATCTGATCAAGTGTAAAATGCGTAGTAGTGCTGCCTCTTCCGGCGCACAGAATCCATAAATTGTCATCGATAGGCTCATACAAAGTTTTATCGAGTCGTATGACAAAGTCTGCAAGTTATTAGCTAATATAGCCTCGCCTAGTAGGTACACTCTTTCTGACCATCTGGAACGTCATAGATGTGCGGCTTTATCTCTCTAAATTCTCGTAAGAATATATCAGGATCTAGGGGTCCTTAGGTTAGCTTTATGATAGTATTATGGTGATTTGAAGAGCGTACCACGAGGGAATGTGAATTCCATTTTTCTTGATCTGACGCTTGCTTTTCTTTAGGACATTTCTGGGAGAGGTCTTCGTCTTTATATACTTGGAATAGGTACTTACCCTTTTCACATCCTAGAAATGTTTGACATTCCATAATGGCCTTGACGAGCTGTTACGTTACAAAAATTGTTTATTCCACAAGCTGATGTATGTGACTTCCTAGGATACTGCGTAAAGCTCAAAAGCCCCCGCGAAATTGCCTATTTCGTAAGGGCTAGGAACAGGGTAAAATGTAGTGTTCAGCTAATAATTAAGGGCTTTGTAGCTTTAGGTTAAAGAGTAAAATTGAGCCAATTATATTCCTATACTGGGCCCTTGTGTCATTGGCCAGCTACTACTCCTTTCTCCACCTTGGAATAGCAGTAACTACTGTTGTTGGAAAGGGATCAGGGACTGTCAAAGGGTCAATGATCTGTCAATTTATATTTCACTCTGTTGGGGAAGAAGAATTTGCTGAAACGCCAGTAATAAAGCCATAGGTTTCCATCCCCCCCCCCCACATCCAAACTCCCCCACATCCAAACTCGAAGAATAGGCATCCAATTCAAAGGGTAATTAGTAGAATATCGTGATATTTCTATTTATGAAATGTGTATCAGGACTTATGTATTTGGCCACAAACATTAGCCATATAAACTGTGATTATACCGCGAAAGTGCCGGAAATATTTCCACACTAGCCGATCGGTCACTAGAGGCCCGGCTATCGACAATTAGATTACTTCGACAAGCCTGAGAATAAAGAAGAGCACTTACTGAAGACTCGATCCTTGTCTAATGTTTGACAACATGATCACTGACTTGTCATTTCTTGTTCAGATGCAAGTGTTTGTAGATCTGCGACAGAGCAAAGAGCAAACCAGCGGAATTTTGAAATATTAAATTGATCGAGAAACATATTCCACTAACTCGAATGAAGCGCAAACTATTACGTTCGCCAGTAAAATTGAAATAAACTTGGGAGCGTGAGTACCAGCCACTATGAACTGACTTTGGTGAATGCCAAATGCCATTACTGTATGAGACTGACCATCGTGCAAAATATATAACTTGTTTTAACATTAAACCCAAAATACCATCTAGGAGTCCGCGCAGTCTTATGAAAGACCATTTTGGATTAGTGTCCTGCAATACCGCTTAGTCTCCAAAGCCATGTCACATGTTTGGACGTCCTTTTCTCAGCTATGACATTGCCCCTTCTCCCTTCCCTGCTTATCATCCTACTATGGCCTATCTCCAGCAGCATCACTCCCAACCACCGGCATCGGTAAATAATAACACGAGCTGCCCTTCTAACGGCGATGTTATCGCAGTTTTGAAGACCCTGCCAAAAGACCATCCTTTTGGTGTTGTGGATGACAAACAGAAGCTCGAGTTTCTGCGTCAGCTATATGTGCCTCTTCGCAGACTGTTCAATACCACTACAACTAGTTCCAAAGCGAACCGCGACCGAGTCAAGAACATCAATCATCTCGAGGTGCTTCAAACCCTGCGTGACCGTTTCCCCCGCTTTGAGGAAAACCCCTTTGAGTTCTGGGAAAGTCCCATTGAGTCATTACCACGATATAGCGAGCAAGCAGAACGAAATAGGGCAAAGACTTTCCTGGAAGGTGCAGCTCAGTTAGATAATAATATCGATGAGCAACGCATTCTGCGAAGATTCGTGGCTGTCTCCGCCTACAAGCTGTTTAGACGAGCGATTCCGACGTCAGAGTCTCGGGTTATGACAACGAGCGTGAAGCGATTTCTGATTCGTGCGGGTCTTTCTATCTCAGACGATGATGTTGACAAATACGGTGACATCATTCGACGAGGGCAAAGACACACCAACTTCTGCCAGGAGCTTGCAGCCGGTGTATTGGTCCATAAAAGTGTGGAAGCCGTTGACATTAGCGATGGTGGTGTGGTAAACAGGGAAGAATACAATGAGATTTATGGGCCTTTATTTTTCCCATCTATTCCAGATAGCATGTGAGCTTCTATTCGACGCACAACCACTTCTCTACTAACTGCTTTAAAGATGGGACGATAAAGGTCTCGTTGGAGAAGATTTCAATCTGACCATCCAATATCTTCGTGGAATTGACATCAACAAGAAGTCCGAAGAATCAAATGCAACCTCTATGGCTAAGTTCTTGTTAGATTTTCATGCTAAGTTCATTTGGATTGCCGAAATCGACCCAGGACAAAGCTTGACAGGCAAAAGAAAGCATGATACGAAGATGCACGCAAGAGCTGGCGGAAAGAGAAGTAAGAAACGGAATCCAGGGTCCTTTTCTGCTGTCGAGACCTGCCACCCAGGGAGTACCGAACGACTTGGTGAATTTATTCCCGGCGCGCAGCTTCCCGCACGATTGCCAAGTGAGGGATCGTGTGTGCCCGATACTATAGGGTCTGCTTCAAACTATCTTGTGTGGCAGGCCTCAGGAGCCAGTCAATCCAGAGCAGGACCAGCGCAGCAAGCGGAGCATGGATCTGGGAATAACACACAGGAATCAGTCAGCAGTGAAGTTCCGTCCCGGTTCAACACTTTGGTTTCGGCTGCATGCTCTGCAAACCCAAGCCAAGAGGGATCAACTATGGATTTCGTCCGTCCGCAGTCACCACAAGTTGAAGAAACAGTTCTTGACCTCGCTGCTCTTGATTTCGTGACCCCGCAGTGTCCTATATCGAATAATGGGAATGTCCTTGATCTAGCGGATCTCGATTTTGTTGCTCCCTTGCTTGATATGACCGACCTGGATTTTGTTGATACGCAGTCCTCTTTCTTCCCCCACTTTTATTCTTTTGAACAAAATGTACCGCTTGCTCAAAATCAAGATTAGCTGGGGTTTGATTGCAGAATTCTCAGCGACTCGAGTTCTTAACCTTCCATACTAGATACAAAATATTTCCCTCAGGAATCCCCACCCGAACTTTCTTTGATATGCACATCTTTGTTCCATTTGCTAGAGGATACGTTCGGTCTTCGTATCTAATAGTACAGTCTTGACTGTGAGATATGGGAATGAGTTCTCCTTCTTTCAGCTCCCAGCCTGAGTGTGATGACCGAAAAAGAGCGACGCTGGAGTTCTGCATTTGTCAACACGTAAACTATCTTAGAAATACGACGCGTACTGACCTGCGCGAGCTGCTGGAGAATTTCCCGTAATTTAATTTCCGAACATTGCTCTACAAGTTTGAACCGAGGAGACTGCTTCCATTCCGCGTGTAAATTCGCATCCAGCCAGGTTTTCAACTCCTCCACAACCCCGTGTTCAACAGGATCAAGGTTTTGCTGGAGGATCTCGTCGCTGTTGGGCAAACTCATATGGAAAGGTAAGAGATGATGAACTTTTGAGAACGTGTAAGCCCTTATCGCGAGAACACCGTGCGCTGGCAACTTACCTTCAAAATGCTACAAAATTATAAGATACCTAAATGTGTATCCTGCGCGTCACTGCAAGGCAAAAGCAGTTAACCTCAGAGCGCTCGCCAGACAATGCGATCAAAAGGCTTTGTATAAGGTATGGCACGACTGCTGATTCCAATCTGCCTAACGGCCGGTCTGGCAGCAAGGTTAGTTTTTCGACTGCCCCGCGCGAAAATCCATCACGTGGTGCTCTGAGAGCCCCACCTGCTTATATCAGCTATAGTGGCCGGATTAAAGCTTTATCCTATTTATCTGACTACTTCAGGTTAATTTCATGTGAAAACGCAAGGTATACAGTCCCATGCGGGATCCATGGGAATCCGAAAGGGAATCCAGAAGGGATTAGTAAATGAGGAAATATAATGCTGCAGACAGGCGTAATGCATCCCACCATGTTAAATAACTTTTAATCATTTTGGGCAGCGCTGGCTGAAATTGCCTCTCGTTTAACAGGAAGTGTGCGATATCATTTGCGACATCACGATCAAAATCAGTGCATAACGGCTTAAGTGGTCCGGTGTTAAAGCGTCCGCTATTCGTCCCCACTCGTACCAAAACGCCAGTCCACGAGCACCCAATCACTAAGCGCCGTAGTGTCCCATTCCCACGCTCACTAGACATAGAATGTGAAGGAACAATGAAATTTTCAACCGCTAAAATACATGTTTCAATATGATCACATTTCTACTCTTTGCTTGATTACCGCGGGCAATTATAGTGCAGACACTGCGTCCGACGGAGGAATAGGCGGAGCTGTTACGGCCTAACATCACATGACAGGGGCCCAAGTCGGAATAATAAGGTAGTAATAATGAAAAATCTTGAGGCATGTTGGTCCTCAGTTCATTATACGGAGACGCATGCAAAATAGAAAGTAGTATTATGGTTTTCTAACTTTGTTATATAGCAAAGGATGATGTATTGGCGAGTCTAGAGCAATCTAGAGCGGACGTATGATTAGTAGCGATTCTCATGGTCCTCATTTCCCCCATCTCGTGCACACATTTTATGTTACTGTAACCGCTACTGTAGCTTGTGGCCCAAGCACTTCCAAAGTCAGCTCGTTTCAGACCCCCGAGATGTATAGATATACTCCGCAATAACGTTTTTAGAAAAAGGAAGACTACTTGAAAACACAATGTAAAATTGTTCACCTCGCTAGCATCTGTGTGAATCAGAGGACCAAAAGTTTGGGACAATTTAGGACCCATGAGATAGGCAAAGATAGCCATTGAATCGCTTCCTCATGCTAAATCATTTTCAATTGCTATCGCCCTGGACTATGAAACCTCCGCCACGCCCGGAATCCTCAGTCAGTTGGAGATGTAGACTCTCTAACTCCTTTTGCATTGACTCCCGACTAGCATTTCCCTGAAGGCATTCAAAGTCGAGAAGTTTTACCCCCCCTTCCGCTACGAGAAAGTTGTATCGGTTCGCATCCCCATGTAAAAATCCCAATTCGTGGAGTTTCCCCAGAGCTGTTTCACAGATATCTAGATCCTGAATGGAAGCAGGGCGTCCTTCTATTTTCTCTAATAGAAACCCCATGATGCGTCCATTTTCATGAATATGGCCGAGGAAGCGCGGCGTCAGCCCGGAATACTCCAGCAGCTGATATGCCCTTGTTTCTCGTTCGATACGAGGAATCTCCCATTCGAAACGAGCTATTTTAGCGATAACGGTCGCTGGCGTTTGGAAGATTGTTGGGAGAATCGGATGCAAGACTGCTTCGAATGCCGATGCCGTGAGCAGCTTGGTTCTCTCTAACTCTAGGCAATCAAATAGGGTGTGATGCCATTGACACTTGACGCCGGCTAGTGGTCGGTTCGAGATGGAAGTTCTCAAGTCGCCGCTAGTTTTGTCTCGCGAAATGTGGGCTACTGTCCATTCATCGTACCAAGGAAGACTCGGCAGGGACTGAATAGGGAATGAAAGCGTATCTCTATCGAAGGTTTTGGGAGATATGATGATATATTTGACTTGATTTCCGATTCGCAGTCGATATTCACTTTCGTAAGAATCTTCATCATCCACTTCCATGGAGAGGACAGCCGGATGCATTGCGTTCTCTGGATGTTGATAGGAAGACATTTGCCAATGCCCCCCTCACTATGGTCGAAAGCTAGGTTTATATTACATGCTTGAAATTACCTTAACCGCCGCTGTGCTTGCTATTTTTCCATTTTTGTCTAAAGGATCGACATCCTTGGAATTCACGGGATAGGAATGTCGAGCGGGGTTAGGCAGGCCAAGGAAGTCTAGACCCTGCCACCGTCTCAGCTCAGCGGCAAGGCCAGTACGCAATTTGCTCAATTAACTCAGCCACATATACATACCAGCGGTTAGCGCAACTTGTGCATATAAATCAAGTCGAGAACTCAGCAGGTGATCATCTTTACAGAGTCTTCTGCAGTAGTGATTTTAGCTCCGCGGTTACCTGAAACACCAAACCCTACAAAACCCACTCTTGGTGGATCTTTCATTGGTCCAGGGTTTTTTTTCTCTCCAAATTTGGAGGAAATGGAGTTAACTTGACAACAAACGACGACCGTGAACCTCGTATGCAACACCTGTGGTACTTTCCTCATCGTTATCTCAGTGTGCTAGAGTCGCCAGTTCCAAATGCTCCCGTGCTTCCTGAGCCAACAGGAACCGAGGCAATATTCGGCCTGGTAGATATAAAATGTTCGCCTGGGTCATCTTTCAAACAGTAGCAGCATCGGGTTTCAGTCAAGCTCTTCTTTTATTGCATCAGCAAGAAGCAAACGTTTAGAACGGCCCTCCACCACCTTACGAGTTTCTCGATAGTGCAAGTGAAGCTCTATTCTATGCACTAGTCGCTTCTACCGATTATCAGCGAACGTACAAGTCGTTTGACAGCAGAAAATCGTAAGGAGAAGATTATTCCCCATATCTAAGCTCCAATTAACTTCGGATACCTTAACAGGTCAAAATGTGCGATTCAAAGTATATCCAATATACGTGTGGCTGCAGGAGGGAGTGGGAGTTCGTCCAGTGTTCGGACCGCCAGGGAACAAACGTCAAATGCAGTCCAGTCAGAAAGGTATTTGGCAAAAACTCGAGCAATTACTGTTCAAGGCACCTGGTCAAGCCAGATGCAGAGGTGAAATTCATGGATCAAATGGGAGAAATCATCGAGGAATAAAGTACAGTATTGTACGTTGGATGGCTGGAATATGTCCGCTTTCTAGGCTCTCCTTTGTCAATTCTAGGTAGTGTGGCTGCAATATACTAGTAAATAGGCTCTATATGATGGTCATTCTCTTCTTCGAAAGTAGCCTCCTGTCCGAGCAGACACAGGTAGCTCGGGTGGCCGGTTTTTACCCTCGCCACTCGATCTCCACAGGAGCTGTGCCTGTTCACACCACTGAAAATGCCCCAAAAAGCTGTCTTGCGCATATACTTTGTCTCGAGCCTCGTATCCCCATTTCGTGTCCCTGGTGCCGATAATACCTTTTTCAATACCAAGTTGACACCCAGCACACGAAATCCCGCGTTCCACTCTGCAAGTCTGTTTGTCGTAATAAGGAAGTGCACACGACCCCATGAAGTTGATTTTTTGATTTCGGTTTAAGCCCGCTGGTTGGGCTTGCGGAAGTCTAGGCGGTTGCCGTCTGCAAGCCAAAGTGGCCTGATAGAGAGAAACGATCGTAATGCGGGAATTTTGTACAGATTCATTCATCGAGTATATTCCAGGCAAGGCCTTAAATGATCTCAGTTGGTCTGATTCGGCCTTGGTCATATGAAATTGCTTTCGGACTGAGGCGAGAGTCCGCACTTGGGTTTCCGAAGACCACTGGAGGCAATTAAAACAGCACCTCTTCCAAATTAGGAGGGATATAAACCCGCCGAATTCGCCGCAAAAATTGCATGCTTTAGTACATAATGCGTTGTAAAAGTCGAGTAGAGAAATGTGAATGGCAAGTCGTGTTCGTAACAAAGCACAGAAGAGGTTCAGTCCATAAGAGACTACCCTCTGATACTGCTGGAGAGAATCTACCATTTGTCTTGATCGGAGGTTTATTTGTCGAAATTTAAACAGAGAATGCATGTCCAGACTGTACAATGTGTCAAATAAGAGCTCGAGGGGTAGCCGATCGAGGGAGCCGACTCCAACATTTGATGTCCGCTGAAAGGGTGTTGCTATTGACGGGCGAATATCGACGTGTTCACGGAGCGAGAACCAGATAACGGATAGACAGTAGTCTCTGCGGTGGTAGGCGGTGGTTCGAACAATAGCTTCGGCTTGTTCTTCGTCGAAACAGTGTTCGGTGGCGGAACGATATCCGCGGGGCAAAAGGGTAGTCATTCTGGAGGTTTGTTCGGTACGGGGTACGGGGTGGAAGGGGTAAATCTCGACAAGAATCGCGACTCTCCAGTGTACCTCCCTGAACACTTCTTGGAGGCCAGTATTGTCATATAAAAGACGCGCTGGATCACGGACCTGGGTGGCTAGAATTCATTGCACGGGAATTTCAATCCCGTTAAGTGGGGTTTTATTGTTGATAGGAGCTCTTCGCGGACTTGGATACTTTTTCCTGATGACAATCTGGGTTTTGTACCCGCTTAGGTAATCCCATCTGGGCCAGCAAGTTAACTGTGTCGATTCTGGCAGGATAAATCACAGTGAGCTGTGATTGACTTTGGGCTAGTATGCATACCTGAATGTGAGATCTGAGTCATTTTCCGGAGGAAAGTATTTTCCGAAACCCGAGATCTGCTGGCAGAAAGCTGATCGGACCAGATCGTCAGCCGGGCTCTGACGCACTTGCGTTAAGGCATGACTTACCCTTTCCAACAAATCGATGGCCGACCACAGCTCTCCAAATTACAAAGATCTTTACCTTAGGGCAGAAGAAGGACGGAAGCAGGCGGAAGAACGCGAGAAGCAGGAAGCAGAAAGGAGGCGACAAGCAGAAGAACGCAACCAACAGACCTCTTTCACAGAGCTCTTACAGAACTGCCATGACCTTCTCTCTCGCCAATTGCGAGTCGAGACACCATCTCGCTCAACCACTGGAAAAATACCCCTTCCCACTGGAAAATACTGCCCAACTCGATTGGAACATTGGGCCGACTGCCCAGAGCAGCTGCTAAAGATCTACAGGTCTGTCTGCCAATATCTACAGTCGGAGCTAGGGCAGGCGCCACGCTTATTCTCGTCTCTACCGGAGCTAGAAGGACTTGGCCGTCGATTTGCCCGCAAGTCCCTCAGTAGTGAGCAAGATCTCGAGGCCTATGAGCGATTTGGGGTGGAAGAACACGTCCATGATATAATAGCCGAGTTATGCAAATTTCCAGCGGCATGTGACGAGTTCGGCCTCGGTGATGGAATCCAGTTCAACAATCACGCAAATTCTTTGAGCAGGAACGAAACATTTGAAGTGGATACAAGCCAGCTGTCAAGCACACCACACCCACGACCAGACCAGTTCTGCATTCATCGTGTCGACGGCAACACGACCACCGTGCTGACGACCGTCGAGTACAAGCCGCCTCACAAGCTGCCTGTCTCAACTCTTCGAATGGGACTACGACCAATGGATCTGTGGAAGAAAATGGTCAGATCAAATAAGATACCCATCGAACAGGATGCGAAGGTGAGGTACAATGCAGAGCGGCTTGTATGCTCTGCTATCGTCCAAGAATACCACGTGATGATTCATGAAGGACTCGAATATTCCTACCTGACAAATGGAATTATTCGTGTACTACTTCGTGTTCCACGAGACGAACCTACCACGCTGTATTACTTTTTTTGTGATCCCCACAACGAAGTGGACCCAACAGGCGATACAACTCATCAGCTGTCGAAGACCTCTGTTGCGAGGGTATTATGCCTTTGTTTGATGGCCTTCCGTTCACCCACACGTGGGCAAGAGTGGAGAAATCGCTTGTGTCCCGATCTTCATACGTGGGAAACAAGCTTTGAACATACTCGTTCGCAGATCCCGAGAAATGAATTACAGCAGATTGCTCACTCCGATAGCACTAACCCTGAGTTCCCGAGCCCAGGGTCTGGTTCGTCCTATGAATTACCGTCATCATCTCCGCTGCCGTCTCCTTCAGAGGGCCGTCGAGTGCCTACACGCTCTCAAACAAGCTGTGCACCTTCGGAGATCCGACCGCGCTCGCGGTCACCTAACTCGTCCGGGTCCGACACAAATCAAACTGGCCATAAGCGGAGGATCAGTCAAGTCACGCCTTCACCGTCCACTCGACGATCAGGTCGCCAGCAAGAGTCAATGCATGGCCAAGAAGAAGATCATTCCCGACGCCGCGCTGCACAATTTTGCACACAGCGATGTTTACTCGGCCTGCAGACCGGAAAATCACTGGATGGGTTGTGTCCAAACGTGGACTATCACCGCCGGGGCCAAGACAACCCGACTCAGCATCCTCTCTCGGCTGAAGATTTGATGCTTTCACTCAAGGGCCAATTGGACGAAAATATCGATCGTTGCATTCCTCTTGGCGGTTGTGGCTCTTACGGAGCCCCATTTAAACTGACTTGCACAAAATATGGTTACACAGTTATCGGCAAAGGCACCACTTCCGCGTTATGGAAAGAAGTTTCACGCGAAGCACAGGTATATCAGATCCTGCGTAAGGCTCAAGGATCTGCTGTTCCTGTCTTTTTGGGAACGATTGACTTGGCAAAAATCTACTTTCTACATGGTGCTGGACAGATTCGCCATATGCTCGTAATGGGCTGGGGCGGTAAGTGCACAGCCGCGATGGAGCTGACGCAACGGCTTCGCCGCGAGATTTACAAATCGAACAAGGAAATAAAAGCTCTCGGGATAATACATGAAGACCTCAGGCGAGATAATGTCCTTTGGAGTGAAGAGCTCGGGCGTGCTTTAATCATCGACTTTCACCGTTCTACCCTGAGATGCCGACTGGCTACGCAGCGACCGGGTGCCGCAAAACGACGACTATATCCAGTGGAGGCAGGAGATGCAAAACGTCTTCGGGTTTCGTGATAAGGAAATCTATTTTTTACCTGTTAATTTAGCGATCTTATTCTTGTGGCTCAAATTCCCATGGCCGCCTATATATTCCGAGGCGAAATGCGCTCTTAATTTATGTGCATCGACACCACCCGACTTATTATGTGAGCCGGACCCTCGGAACTTGAGAACTTTTCGGAATGATATGACCATTATAAGAGCATTGCAGACTGTCATTCAATTCTGATACCTAAGACTCGTGTACAAACCGAAAATATCGCGGTAAAGGTCCCGGGTTGTGAAAAACCCCTGAGAGCAGAATTACCTGCTCAAGTTTGCCATGCATGTCGTTAGATATACATTCCGTCAACAAGACCCTGCCTGCCAAACTCGCAAAATTTCTTATTCGATTTCGAGGCCAATTCTAAGTACTTATAGCTGACATGCGTTATATCTGCCGACAAAGCCTAAGCCTTGACTGATATTCGACGAAGACTAATAACTACTGCCAACTCAAACCGGGGAATAGCGGTCCACCGTTTGCCTGCGCCGAGGTGGACCGTATCGCGGTCTTGACACACCTTCGATGCCTTTGGTCTTGCCACCCACGGCTTGAACTGCCTCGCAAGGTGCGCCTCTGTATGAAGATCCGCTCACGTTAGAACTTTGCCCAGAATGCCCAGAATTTCCAGCCTTGCGGCCCTTGAGGCGTGTGCAATAGCGCACCTGGAGGGAGCCTTCCGACTTTCCAGGAAAATACTCTGCGATTCGCTTCCATGGCAGGCTCCGCTCTTCCTTCAATTCAATCAAAAGCTTGTCGTCCTTGGACAGTAATCGGGATGGCCCGGTCGTTTTCCTAGCGCGGGACCCTTTCTGAGGGGGTTGCTTGGAATCCTGGCTGCCAATTTTGTCTTCATAATGTGGCGTAGGTAAGCCTTTCCTGGTAGGGGTAGATTGCGTATCAACTAGTTGGGTGTTTGAGCTTGGATAGTCGTAGGAGATGTCCACGTGTTGACTCGGAATGGATCTTGATCCCGAGGTGGCATCTGTGTTGGCACGCGTAGAAACGCAGTGTGATAGAGCACCCTCAAACAGCCAAGAGAGGAACTGTAGCCGATCTTCAACCGAAAGGGCCGAGAATTGGGCACGAACGGCAGGAAATGAACCGTTTTTTCCACGACCGGGCCCTCTAGTAGGCCGAGAGGAACTATTGTTTGCTTTTCTCTTCCCTGTAGGTGAAAATTTCTGTACTTTGGAGGACTGGCGATCATGATCCACCGTCTCCTTTGTATTGTGTCCACTGCGCTGGAAAGACGGGTCTCGATTCGGGAAGCGAGAGCAATTCGAGGGACATTCGTCCAGATGTGTTGCGACACTAGTGATATTATCCGTTGCTTGGATATGCTCAGAATCAGGGCAGCCATGATCGCTTAGGATTGCGGGATCGATGGCTTCATTGCCTAGAAGGTCTCCAGTCCGGATGTGATTGCTAGAACCGAGGGCTTGAGCGTGCTGGCCAACAATAACGCCAGGGTCCAAGTCGGACGATTCAAAACCGGGGGATCGATGCTCAGCACCCAGACAACCATTATCGGGTATTGGAGCAGAATCGATATCTTCGGTGCTCGGTAGGTCTTGCAACTGCAAAACGTCTTCAGAGTCGAAGGTCTCGGCGTGAGGACTGGTCAAGGTGGTAAAGCTCAAATTCTCCGGCTCGTGTCGAGTGGGTTGTGCGTCAGAATGCAGGCCATCATCCATGCAAACCTCCAACGGCGGGCGGGCAGGAAGAGGATGCCGTCCAGGTTCGTGGGCATGAAGATTTTGACTCTTGGAGACGGGGTCGACAGGATTGGAGGGAGGTGGGGTGGGAGTCATCGAGACAGGACTTGGGTAGCGGCAAATATCGAGAGAATCTCGCAGAGGCTGGGCTTTGTCCTGGAAAGGATTCCATGGCCGAAAGGATTCCAGGCGAAAACTAGCGTTTGACATATTGTGTGGAAAAGACGGCTGAGATATTCTTCAAGATGTTGTGGTTGTGGGTAGTTATAAAACAGGGAAACTGGCAGAGAACAGATAATTGGGGATAGGGGATGGGGAACAGGGTGTAGGGGAGAGGAGAATTTGAAGGGGTTTTGGATTTCAGTTCTGCCATTTGGCTGGAATTGTAGTCTCTTTATAGACGACGGTCGTCCGTGAGGTGGAATCTGCCTTGTACCCAGCGCAGAAGATCCCGACCAGCTCCTGCAATCTAGGCAACTACATCCAAGAGGCGGGACAACACCAGTTTCCCAACCACGGGTTGTAGTTCACCGGCAACAATTACCACTACTCTTCCTTGCGGACGACCTTTGCGATGCATGGCCCACACTAGTCGTCAGCCCGTTCTCCATATGGCAGGTGAAGGCATGATCGGGGTACGGTTTCCGCAGTCGCGGTCAGGCATTGGCCGCATGATGCATCGTCGACCGAGGTCAGGCGCGTGCGAGGCATTTTCGCTATTGGCCTATATTCGCCGCACTGTGCTTTCGAGAATTCATCGATTGGGTGCGGGGAGACCGGAGAGACCGATGATAACGACAACCGGGCGCCACGGGATTCGCGACGAGGCAACTAGAGTTCTGCGACATCAGGGGCTGTGCAAATGTAACCTCAGACGGGGCGGATGCGGATGAAGCGGGGCATATGGCATCGAAGACAGTATGCCGGAAATTTGCAGATGCGATGGAGGCCGGTGGAATGAGTGACACTCAACGAACAAGGGGCTCTAGCAGAGAAGGCGACCTAGATAGCTTCGTAGCACGATGCACTATCACTTCCCTGGGAAAAGAGTAGGAGGGAGTATCGACACGAAGCCGAACGATGCGGCTGCGGGCTGGATCATCTCATCCCAGGGGTTCTGCTCTTGGGCGACTGGATGGCATGGCAGCCAGGCCGGCCAGAACGAGCTGAGTGTCGGATCGAGCGGCATCTCCGGTAAAATGAAAGGGGCAGTGCGTCGGGCTGAAAGCCAATGCGCAGGCGACGGTGGGGGCGAGAAAGAAAGGGGGAAAGGGAACAGGGAAGGAAAGAGAAGGGAAAGTGCGTCGACAAGTTGAGGGGAGAGGGCGAGCGGTGTTATATAGATGGATGGCAGATGGCCGGGGCGGTAAAAGCGGCCAGGGACGGGGCTAAACCAAAACGGAGGGAGAGTGAGGGCGCCAAACCCGAAGGGGCAGGGAGATGGTGGAGACGGGCAGGCGGTCGGGGGCGGCAGGAGGGCGGTGCAATGGGAGCGGATTCTGGCGCCCCGCTCACCGTGTCAACTAATACTTATATATTTAAAACCTAACGTAAGACTTACTCTTTAGGTATTTAAGGCTAGTCGAGCGCTACCTAAGAGTATAAAATATCTCCTATCTATAAACTTAATCTCTATTATAGACCTACGATATTATCTTTTAACTAAATAAATCCGAATACCCTCTATAAGAATTTATATAAGGGTATCCTAGTCGATAATAGCGTTACCTCAGAACTAAATAATAATCCGGCGATAGTTATTCGCTATCTCGCTTATTACCCTATTAATAAAGATTTCTAGCTCTTATCCTATAGCTTAATAGTCTTACTTAACTAATTAGCTATAACGGTTAAAATAAATTATTATTAGATTAATTAATTACTACTATTAAGGATTATCTTTAGACTAAAGGAACGGTTCTATCGATATACCCCCCTAGTCTAGATCTTTTTATATAACTATTTTCGATATATTCTATTAAGCCTTCTACTACTTAGAGTAGTATCTATTCGGGATTTAAGATTATATCCTATAACCTTACTATTAGATTATTCGATAAGTAGCGGAAGTTCTAGATTACCCGAATACTATAGCTCTAGCTATCGTTTTATTAGGGGGTTAGCTAAGTTTATATAACTAGTTAGCTATAATAGAAATCCTAGTAGGTTATTATACCTTATAGCTTCTTAATATAAAAATCTAAGATATCTAAATACTTTCTAGGCTAGCTTTAATATCTAAGTCCTTTTTATATCTTTAATAATATCTTCGCTTATATTTAAATTATAGTAGTAGATTATCCTTTTATATTCGTTAACTTTAAGAAGAGAAAAGTGATTCCTATAGTTAATAGGATAGTAATAAACGAAAGACGCTAAGGAATTTAGAGTATTTATATTTTTTTACCGATCCTCTTCGATATCCTTTATCTAGCTTACTAATAGATCTTTTACTCTTATTTTCTTTTCGGGTCTATCCTTATATAATAGGATACTTAAACTATATCTTATATACTATAGTCTATCCGATATTAGTATCGCGGTATATATAGTCTAAGAGTTTAGCTATATATTAAGACGAAGTAGCTAGAAAATATTATAAGATATTTTAGAACCTCTATAAATTATAAACGTATTATATTTATCTAACTTCTATCGACTTAATACCTTATCTTTAAGGCTTTTAGTTAATATATTAATAGTAACGTCGAGTTTTCTAGATAGTAATTTATCCTAAAGCTACGAATTAGTAGTATCGACGAGGATAATTAGGTTAGTACTTACTTATTTTAAAATATATTTATTTTATAATTCCTATATCTCGCTCTCTAATAATAGCTTTTTACTATTAAAATCCGTATAGAATAAGTAAAGATTAGGAAGACTATAATTAACTAGTCGTTAGAGCTATAGGCTAAGAGTAGTAAGGAGTTCTATATATTCGCGATTATCCTTAATATTTTATATCGTAAGATTAAGATCTATAGTACTTATTTTCGTATATTTCTTTAAAACTATTAACTATTAAATAGTACCTTATAATTAGATTTCCCTTACTAGATAGATAGACTAAATAATATACTTAGTCCTAAGTCCTTAACAATTTTTATACTAAGTTTATAACCTCGAGATAACCGATTATAAAGGGCTTTTCTTCTAGCTTCTTTCTCTATCTTTAGGATACTAAAACTAGGGTTAGGAGACTAATCGCGAGATTTATCTTATATTATAATTAGTCTAACTCTATATATACTCCGACTTCCTCCCTATATTTAAATCCTATTAAGTATCTATATAGTTACTTATCGATAAGTTATAATTCTTATAGTAAGTTAGATCTAGCTTTCGTACTACTCTAATACCCCTATATACTTAAGTATATTAAAGATAGTAAGTTAGACTTTTTTAGATATTCTTTTCTCGAGAATCTCTACCTAGATAGAGCCGTCCGACTATTCGATATTTATAACTATACTTAAGCTTTAGCTATTTAACGTCTCTAGGATTATTTTATAAACCTCCCTCGGGATACTATTATTATATATACTAAGCTAGTAGAGAGTTCTAGTTACCTTAGTTATTAACTCTAGAATAGGCCTAGGCCGAGGATTATCCTCGATAGCCGGTCTAGGCGATTCCGGAATAGTAGGTATATCGTTTTAGATAGATCTAGAATAGTAATAATCGTTAAGTAAAGTAGTTAGTAAATCTATTTTCTTTTTAGTATAGTCGACGCTTTAAATATCTAGTTTACTAGATTTTAGTAGACGATAAAAGGGGTCTTAGGTAAGCCTTCGTTTCCGCGGCGTTATATATTCCTCGGAGCTTTCTCGAATAGAGGTATCTTTCTTCTCTTATATAACTTCGGTAATAGTATTCGTAATATTCGGTACTTTTTTATATAATACTCGAATCAAAGTTCGAAACTAATTTAGTTAGTCGAAAGTTATTACCTAAATATTTATTTTCGTACCTTTAAGCTATCCCGAATTTCGAAGCTTATATAAGAAGCAAAGTGACTAGCTAGTAATATTAGCTTAGTCTATAAAACTTTTAATAGATCTATATCTATTACGATCTAGGAATAAATCTATATTAAATAATAGGAGTAAAAGGGGGTAAGTTTATATATTTCGGTATCCTAGGATATTAAAATAAGACTATATACCCCTAGGCCTATAGGCTAGTCTTAGTAAGACCTACCTAGGGAATATATTTTAGGAGTATATATTTTGATAGGGGTAGTTATAACTTGTTGTCGAACAATAAAGGACCAAAAATGACTTAATACCATGAACTTACTATACCGAGTAAGTGGTAAAATGAGTATATATTTCTAAAGAGCAATATACTTAACTATATAACCCCTGAATTGCTTACTAAGATATAGCAAGTAATTTAGGAAGTGATCTATAGGGGGATCCTATATATAAGAAGTGAAGTCATATAAATAACGGGACGGAGGAAGGGTAATTCCGGCTAATATCCCCCCCTAGGAGCCACCTTATAGGTTCTCTAGTATTACAAACTCAGCTTTCTTATATAAGTTATTCTATCACTAAGTACTATATATTGACTAGCCTAAGAGCTTTAACAAATAGCTTATAAGATTAAGTCGTAAGAAGTTTAGTAAGTCTATCTACCTATATCTAAGTAGTAGGAACCTAACGAATTGAAAAATAGCCGGTATCTACTTCCTAGCGTAGCTAGTAGTTATAAATATCGATATAACGAAGCTTCGTACGAAGCTATAGTTATTCCTTAGTAAGTAAATCAACCGTCTATTAGTTATTATAGTTAATTAATAATCCTATATTATAGTCGAGTCCGACTATATAAAGAAGCCTCTTCTACTATATTACTAACTTACTAGCTTCTAAAATAGTAAGTAGCTCCGCCTCTATTATCGACGTTATAACGGTTCTCTACTTACTAGCTTTCTAGTCGACTATAGTACCGAAAAGCTTATAGAGGAAGTCTTCCGAGCTTTTACGATTAATATAGTCGCCGAAGGAAGTATTACTTAAGAAGTAAAGCGCGGATATATAATACGTTAAATAGTATTCGAAAGCGAGGAATCGAGTATTATATAAATACTAGATTAAGCGATTTACTACCTCTCTATACTCTAGCCCTAGGTTCGTAAGGAACTCGGCTAAGTAGTTAGCCGCTTTCGCCGCGTTTAGGCGAGTAATAATAGTAGGGTAAAA